GACCACGGCCTACAACTCCTACACAACAATGCGCAATTGAGGTTTGTGAATTTTTTGGTTTAAAGGGACTGGCAAGGCAAGCAACTATTTGAATGTTTGATGGTTTCATCTATGTTTTTCAGTCCTTCGCCTTCATCTCCCAAGAAGAAGAGGAACGCCAAGAGCGAGAGCGCCAAGAAAAGATCAAAGTCAAAATCCCGGCCGGTATGCAAAATTTTAGCCCACATTCAAAAATTCGGGTTGCTAGGTGGCAAGCGCCGAAAATCGGACATGTCCTATTCTGAATTCTACGACAGCATGAGCAGCCAAATCCCGACACAGGTATATTTTTAGTAGTTGTGGATGTTTGCTTTTGAATTTGCATTACTGGACTTAAAAAAGCCGTAATAAGTTAATTACACCCTTAAAATGGCAGGTTCGTCGAACCGGCTCTCAATCCGGACGGACGACACCTTTAAACGATTATGAAGGGGATATTTTGGAGGAGAATCCACAATATAGGTGGGTCATTCGATATTTAAAGATTTTTACGCGGATCAAAAATTAAAAACCCATAATTCACATGCTAATTTTGGCACTTTTTAGGGAAGTGGCACCCCCAAAACCCGTTGTAAACCGACGGACTAGTGTCGAATGGGAGAATTTTGAGGAGCGAAAAGCTGGTGAGGATTTTTAAATAGTGTCTAAAGTATTTTAGCGGAAACCGAAGCCCAGGCGAAATTGGAAAAATCTTTGAAAGGGAAGAGCCGAGAGGAGGCGGCGTTTGGAGGGGCAGCAAAAGTTTCGGTGAGTTATGGAAGGATTGCTTGCATTTTTATTCAATGATTTTTTTATTTATGCAATTGAACATTTTTGGATTACCAAAAGGCTTAAAACATTTTAAAAGTACTATAATTTTGAATTTTTTGGCTAGTTTGTTACATTTTTGACGAAAACTGGAAAAAATTTTGTCAAATCCCCTCCCGCTAACACTCCAGTACCTTATGCAAACCCGTAGTCCCTGTAGACATAGGGCAAGTTTTAGGGAATCCAAAGACCCCGTCCCCCATCCCCAATCCCTCATTCGGATAATTGAGCCCTGGGAAACGGGCCTCGGGTCCCTTGGAAAAGCTTTCCGGGCTTGGCTCCTGGATCGGCGGAAAGCTATTTCAGGGCTGCTAGCGGCCAATAGCTCGCCTTCCTTTCACATTCTAGCATCAACATCCTTTCCCTCCTCTCCCACCGTGTATGTCCACCCGCCCTTCTGCTTTCTAGATATTGGATTCTTTTTCCCACCTTTTCCAACCCCCTTTTTTCCAGTATATCCCAATCACCCGCCATATTTTGCTGCTGCTGTTTTCCGTATGGGTACCCTGTCATTTTGGCGCGGCTAGGTGGCCACCCTCATTTCCGCTCATATTTCTCTTGGCTCTCCCGGGGGCTACGAGATTAGCATGTGGGCGTTGGATTTGGTGGGGCTAATTTATTGCTATTATATAGCTGTAAATCACGTTTTAAATTTAATCCTGAATAGAGAGGCTAAATTCAGATTTAAAATAAAATTTGGTTCCCACTCTTCCGTTCTTTTTTGTTTTTATGATTTATCATTCACTTAATGCTATTTTTGATAAACCGTCCTTAAAAAGCTATTTTTTCCCTATTTTGCTAGGCCCCGACAAATCCATTCAAACCGCCCGGTTAATAGAATTTTTTGGGACTGACATGTCATCTATTGGATTTTTGTGGGGGAGCGGTTGGTTCTATATTAATTCGAAATATATCAGGACTTAAAAATAAGTGCTATTTCTTGCGTATTTTTTCGCTTTATGAAGTTTCATTTATTGAACGTTTTTCTAATCACTAGCCAATAATTTGGCTCTTAAAACTAAAGCGAATTACCTTAGAAAAAAATAAAACTTAAAAATACGTCTTTACTCCTGCAGTTTTCCTACTTGATTTTATAAAATGCAAACTATTGGAGCGCTTTGCTAGAAGTTTGAAGGTATTCTGTTTTTGTCAATGTAATTTATTTTCAGAACTTATAAATATATTTTATTTTATTTATATTACCCAGATTTCATCATACCTGGCCCGTCACAACCTTTCAAACCTAATGACGTGCGCTTCTCCTCCCCGAAAACCCCCTCTTTATTCATGTCTGCTTATTCCTTCCACCCCTTTCGATAGCGGGAAAGAGAGAGGAAGTACCCGCTTCTTCTTCCAACCGAAAAAGGAGAGTTGCCCCCCCTCCACACGGCTTTAGGAGACATCGATTTTGGGGTGGCTGAAGGGGCCCAAAGGCTATGCGCCATATACGGGCAAAAGGAGGGAGGGATGGCTCGAGGAATCCCGGAGAGAAGAGGTGCCAAAAAGAGAGTGAGCGGGATTTGAAAGAGGAGGAGGAGGAGTAGAAGGAGAAAGAGGTATGGGGGAGCACTAAGATGAGAGATTTACGTTGAGAGAAGGAAAGAGACATCCACTTGGGGGGAGGCCCACCAACCACCACCACCACCTAGTGTACTCATACTCAAATAGGTGTCGCCTGGTTTCGTTTAAATTTGTCATTTTTGTTTTTTTTTTTGAAAAGTCGCCAAACGGTTTTTTGAGCCTGATATGACCCCTAATTATCTATTATTTAACATTGTCTCTACTTTTTACCACCCATTCTATAATCCCCCTACTATCCAAACCCTCAATGAAAACTAATCCCCCCCCCCTGCTGCTCCCAGTCAGCTACGCTTCGATACGCTTTACAATTCTCCCTTGCAAACTGCACGCGGCTTGCTATATAGCTAAATAAATTATTAAATAACTGAATTAATTCTTATACAACTTAAATGCATTTTTATTTACTGTTAGATTGATCATAATTTTATATTGTAGAAAACACTCGCCTCTACCGGTTTTGACGATTCCTTCGCCGCCGATACCTCGACCACCAAGATGGATGATGACGATGAGGGCCCAGAATTTTCTGAAGACATGGCAGAAGAGAGGGAACGCTTCAGGAAAGAATCCAGGCGCCTGAAAACAGTTGGTCTTTGTTAAAAACTATTTCTAACTGGCTTTAGGATCCCTCAAAGGATGACACAACCCAAAAGCCCGAGGAACCAGCGAAAATTGAACCGGAATCGTCTGGAGCCACAAAGCCAGAAGAAGCTAGCGAAGCAGAAACCCAAGAACCAAAAACGGAAGAAATTTCGGATACTAACAACTATGAGCAACAGCCGGAACAAGCGGCTACTGAGGCTGAGGTAGCGGCACAAGAATACGACTATTCTCAATATCCCGGTGAGACGCCTCAAAAAATTAATGAATTTTGTATAGGGTGGAACCCGGAGACGCAGCAATTTGAGGGGACGTATATTGATGAGAACGGGGATGAACAGAGCTATGCCGAATATTATGCACATTATTTTAGGTAGAGCATTGTAATTTTTATTTTTATTTTATTTAGTCAACAACCATATTATGATGGGAGTGGGCAGGAGGTTGGATATGAGACGACGGAGGTGGAAAGTTATCAATATCCGGATGGAAGCTCCGCGGAATACTATCAACATGCAGAATATCCAAGTCAACAGCCGGAAGGGTCGGATGCGGTACAGTATCAGGAAGAACAGGTTCGTTTCAAAATTCCGATATAATTATTTGATATCAAATTATCCTTCTTAATTTGGTAATTTTAGTATAACGCAGATCCGGGTACTGAAGCGGAAGCCCAAAACTACGATTATAATGCCGAAGGCGGATATGATGCTGAATATTATAATTCACCAGAATACCGTAAATGGTATGAAGAAAATTATGGACCAGGTGAGCACCGGAGTGTACATAAAACTTGATACATAGCTCCGGCTGAAGAGCAGCAATACGACCAAGCTGGTTATGATCAACAGCAATATGACGCGAATCAACGTAAGACACTAAATCATTAATCGTATAATAGAAAAATCCAGATTAAGGATTCTATGAAAACCTTTGAAATTTAGAATATTATGAAAATGGGCAATCTGGTTATGACCAAGAGCAGACGAGCTACCACTATGATCAACAACCAACCGAGGCAGAATATCAGGAACCAGCTTATTCTGAGGTATTTAAATACTAATCTAATTATTGACATTGTAAAATTAGGAGCAAAATTATCAAGAAGAACCCGCACAAGCTGAAGTTCCAGTCGAAACCCATCACCAACCTCCACCACGACCGCCCACCGTAATAAAACCACTCTTTGAAGCGCCGTGAGTTTTACTGAATCGTAAAAAAAAGCTTAAACGTAATTGTTTTAATCAAACTAAATCTTTTAGACCTGTCAAGTCAGATGAGTTTGGTTGGGGATCCGAAGAAACGGCAGAAGCACATCAACCTACTGCTCAAGCTCCACCTAGACCTCCTCCATCTCCGGCTAGACCTCGCAACCCACTCATAAAGAAGCACCATCATCTCCTGAAACGCCATCAAAACCTGTTGCTGGTAGAATCTTCGACAAGTATAGTTTTATTTAATTTTAGCCCCCGACCGACCTCCCCCAGCAGCTCGACCTCCACCCCCTCGACCAGCCCCACCACCTGTACCTAAAAAGGAAGAGCCGAAAAAGGAAGAACCAGAAGAAGATGCTTGGACTCAATTCCAGAGAATGACGGCTAAGGTAAGCAAGTGACTAGCCTTAAAACCAATTTTTAGGCCACGGAAGCTGTAAAGTCAACTGGAGAACGACTAAAAGATCTTGAAGAAACGACAGCCGCAAAAGACATCAAAGATGAGAGTTACTTGGCGGGAGTCGGGTATGTCTGAAAAGAAGATTAATATTTATCATTGTAATTATTCAGCGGAAGTCAAGGCTATAATGAAAACCTGGCCCAACAAGAAATCCGACGTCGCCTTGAGGAGAAGAAAAATGAAAAGCTATTGAAGAAAAAGATGAAACAACAGGTATATAATAATTCAGTTCGCCTCAACCATACCTTTAGGGAAAACGAGCGGCTTCTCCAGAATATACACTGGACGATCAGGAGAAGATGGATCGGGCATCTGAGGAATTGGCACGGCAAATGGCTGCGAAGATGGCGGTCGGTCCTGGAGATGCTGCTCTGGTCGGGTGGAAAGCTCCTGAAGCGCCGCCACCGAAACCGACGATAGTTCCGGCTCCTGATCGGAAGGATTCTGCACCACCAGATGCAATTCCCCCTAGGAAAAAGTGGGTTAATATTAGATGGGTTCCGTATTGCTGTTTATCCCCGTCACTCATAGAGCCTTAATTCAATTTATAGGTCATCAATCAAAGAAGCCCATCAGGAATCCTCTTCTCTCGATCTCCCATCTCATGCTCCTTTGACATTCCAGCAAAGTGCGGATAGTGCCCAACCAATCGGAGATTTGTGAGTTCTATGCTCTTCAAGTCATTTCCCTAAACCTTAAAGACACTATCCCTTTAAAGCCACCTTTCCAGCCATCCCGATGACCCTGCCCTCACCGCGCCAAGCTGGGCTGACTTTGAAGCCTCCGCCCCAGAACTTCCTCCTAGTGAATCCGGCTTCTTCTCGAAAGATTCAGAGGTAAATAAACACATCGATATCCATATTCAACATCTTCAGGGAACATCAACCGTCACAAAGGCTGGAGATCCGTTTGCTATGCCACCAAAAGAAGACCCATTCGCTGCTCCAGCTGACGCAAATCTTTTTGATGATGTAAGCTTTTAAGAATTGCAATTTATCATCGAGTTTCTAGAATTACGACCCGTTCGATGTACGCCCTGTTGAAGATATCGTAGCAGCAGCCAAGGCAAAAGCGGAAGCGGCAAAAATTTCGTCAGACGGGCAGGATGATGATTATTTTGGCGCAACAGACAGGCGGTAACTTATATATCTGTGGATCCACTGTATTTAATAAATTTAGCTCAAATCTATCTACGCCTACCCAGGAAGGCGGGAGTCCGATCAGTGCGAGGCCGACAGGGTTTGAGGATGAGTTTAAGTGCGAGGTATGTGTTATAGATTTATGGAAACTTGTCAATAGCGAGGCTCAAATGGTTCGACGCCAACGCCACTTTACGATGAGGATGATTCGCAACCGCTGGACGATTATATCCCGAAATTTACTGGGGAAGGCTGGGAATTGATGATAAGGTAGGTGAGAGAGAGAGAGAGATATTTAAATTGTTTATTCGAATTACCGATGACTTTCCAGACATCCATTAAAAAAGAAAATCATGGCCGACCGATTCTGGAAGCCGTGTTTTGTGCGACTACACGGCAATACCCTCATCGTCTTCAACTCCAAAAATGACAACAAGCCCATCCAAGAACTCCTCCTCCAGGCCACCTACAGTCTATCTGACACCACCCTGCAGGTAATTTTCAATTCATGTTGTCTTTTATGCAAATTTAGGCCTACGATGTCTACGGTAAAATCCACACCGTCAAACTGCAGTACGTACAGTATAAAGAACGCGTCGGTATTCGGCCAGGTTTAAAATTCTGCATGAATGTTATATATTTTCATTTAGGCCAAATATCGAGGCTCGTCGAAGGGCATGTCACAAAATATGGGTTACCGTTGGAGCATTCGGCACAGTGTAATGTGTTGCTGAAGGTACTGTAAACATTCAAAAACTGAAATAGAAGAATTGCAGTTTGGCTCGCTGAATGCCGATGAGTTGCAATCGTTTGTGAACACGATTGAGGATGTGCTATTTAAATGTCCGGCGAAGAGGGACACGAAGCCGCAGTATAAGCAAGATGAGGTTCAGGTGAGATTAGGTTTTTAGGGTTGTTACGTACTTGAAAGCTGGCATTTATAAGCTTTTCTATAATTATGATTAAATTACATGAGTAGCTAATAATAAAAATTTTAATTATACAATCAAAAAGCATTTTTTAGATCCACTGCTACGATGAATACACAGCACACGTCGATAAACTCGGAATCGTCTCGGACCAACGAGCCAGAGTGCGCATGTTCTGTCTGGCCTTCGTTTCCGGTTCCCCCTTCCTTGAAATTGGCCTCAATGACAGAAGACGACAAGGAAAGGTATAATAAAATCAATGTCGACATCCTAAATTACTTTCCAGGAAATCGTCCGACGAAAAGACATCCTGCCCATGTATACCGAACGCTGGATCCGATTCGAAAACCTCGAGGTAGATTAATAGCAGTGAAAGTTGATGGAAAAATGTCGTGTAGTTCCACAACACTGTCGAGCAGCCAGCTTTCGAAAGTGAACAGGTCATCCGACTACAGCCACCAGATGGATGTTTCTTTGAGGTTTGAGGCTTACCTACACCTTAGATAATTTGCGGGCCAATATTCTAAATATTACTTTTTCTCATAAAACATATTTAGATCATGCGCTTCCGAGTCCGACCACCAAAAAATCGTGAAAAGGCATTGACGGTGAAGTGTATTATGAAGATTGCTGGTTCCAAGGTGGGTTCCAAACAATTTATCTTCCTTTGTCTCTGTCTCTCTCTTTGTCTCTCCGTCTGTCTCTTTAATAAGTTATTTTTAGGTCGAAATCCGTATGGAAGCGATGGCTGCTGCTCAAGTCGAAAGGTCGAAAGGCGGAAAAGCCACCCGACGACAAATTCCTTGCGAGGATATTGTGATACGGTAAAATCAGCGTATCATAACATCCAATTCGGCTTAGATTCCCGATTCCGGAAGCTTGGATCTATATCTTCCGCGAGGAACGACATTGGGGCGTTGGATCTGTGCATTCCAAGAAGTTGAGGCCCGGCAAAGTCAAGGTGGGCTGTTCAAACTACTAAAACCAACTTCATTTTCCCTTCAGAATTTGAAAGATCGGCTTCTCGGAGCTGTACAACAAAACGAGAGCAACTTGATTGAGGTAAATTAAGCTTAATATCGTAAAAACACGATTTCTAGGTAGCAATCGGCGAAGCAAAATACGAACACGTCTACCGTAGCCTCGTCTGGCGTATCCCACGCCTACCCGAGAAACATCACGCCGCCTACAAAGCCCATCTCCTAAAATGCCGATTCGAGCTGTCCTCCTTCGATCTAATGCCCGAAACATTCCTCCCCAACGTTGACGTTGATTTCACGATGCCCCTGGCTACTGTATCCAATACAGTAGTCCGATCGGTATCTGTAGAACAGCACGAGGATTCGGATCGAGTCGAGAAATACGTGCGCTATGTGGCGAAATGCCGGAATAAGGTGGAGATTGACTACATTCAATGTGCGGATCTGGATGTGGATGCGGTGGCGAATTCGGAGGCTAATCCTGAGGATACGATTGCTATTCCGGAAATGCATAGGCCGGCGATGCATACGACTGATGTAGCGGATATGCATGAAGGGTTGGTTAAATCAATAAAAGTACTCTGTTTAGAACATTTTAAAGGGTTAGGAAAATCAGCAGCTTAACGGAATTCTTAAAATTATGCAATGTAAATTATAAACGGAAAATATCCTTCTATAAAATTCAAAACCTAATGAATGCAAAAAATATTTTACTAGTACTAATAAATTAATTTTGTTGTGATTTAGTTTTGCGTTTTAGCCCTAAATACATATTTTCCTATGATTCTCCGTTTAATTTCACCTTATAAATCGATTTCCAGCTACCGTATCGATTTGCCCGAGGCCCAATTTAAACGTGATGATAGCAGCTCCGATGAAGATGAAGCCAAAACCCAATTCCCAACAATCAAAATTGACATGAGCAATTACGGATATTAACCCATATGTCAAAACCATTTATTTATCGATTTATTTGTATGTTAGAAATTACGTGCCACTATAGTCTTACACCCCTGCCTCCCCCCAATGCCCATTCACTTTTAGCGCTCATTTCGACGGCCATCCCGCCAACAGAATTCTATTATTTATTATTGATTGGAAAATAGAATTTACCATTAATTTATTATTTATTTATGGCATGCAAAAATTGGATCTTTCAGTGTGGACTTGACTTGGATCAGTAGCAATATAATTTTAATTTATTATGAACGTGATTAGGGTGTTTGATTGGTTATATTTATGGCCGTTTAGAGCTGTTTAGTGGATGCAGAAATGCTAGCAATAAAATTTTTTGGCTTAAAAGATACCGAGACACACACGAAGATAAAATCGGTGAGAGAGCGAGAGAAAAAGGGAGAGAGAGAGAGAGAGAGAAAGAGAGAGAGATAGAGGTAGAGAGAGAAACCAGGCTCCAAATTACAAGGTTTTGCTCCAAAGTTCCTGCTTCCTTTAAAAAATTCCACCTCCCACATTTCCATTGCCAATTCCAATTCCCGTTGCTTCGTCAAGTGGCCCCCTTCTAGTGGACAGTTATTTTGGTTGGAGGGCATCGAAAAGGCAAGAGAGACAGAGACAGACTAGTCATTCCCAAGCGAAACTTGTCCTCCCCCTTCTTCCCCAGAGGCTATTGTCATTACCGTGTGCCATTGGCTGAGCCAGAGGCTAAGGAGAGGACTAGCTCTTGATCCCCACCCTTTTCCCCTCGCCCATCCTTCTTTTTTATTCTGTGCTCAATCCACTACAAAATAATAACCCCTCCGGTGGATGTACCCTGGTTCTTGGCACTTTTCACTTTCGAGGTGTGGGTTTTCTGCTATTGGTTTGAGGGCGGTACTCGATTTTTATTATTTTTAGGTTTTAACTTGTTCCTTACCCTGACCAGGGGTGAAAAACATTGCTTATTTTCAATAAAACCTCACCTTAAAAACCGCCTTACTCAATTTCGAAAAACGAATTTAACCAAATTATACCTTCTTCTTTTTATCATTGCTTTATATCGTTTCTTTCCTGGCTTATTTAAAAAAAACAAATAGGGTTTTCGATTTTAGTTAATGCGAGAATTCGTCGCTTACCTACTTTTCATAGCCGTCACCCAAGCCAAAGGTCCGCCAACTTCCAAACTAATTTGCTGATTTGAATTTTAGCACCAAAACCCAGATGCAAAGGCGACATCGATCCAAATTTGGTACGCAAAATTCAATTCCATGAAATTTTTCTATCAGGTTGGCCGCTGCTTACGACCGTTATTAGACAAATGGGAATCTGTAAAAGAAGAGGAAAGCCATGCGACCAGGATGCGATTTCCGGTAATTACTGAAATAAATTAAAATCTATTGTAAAGCCACGATTTTGATATGTTAATTTCGCAAGTTTTAGATAATCTTCTATACCCGAAATTCCCTCCTTGAACTCTGTGCCATATATTCAACAATCGAAGACGATTGCCTAATGATGGAAATGGGGCAAAAGTTGGTGAAATAAACTTGGCTCTGATTTAAATCTTATTTTTACTTTTAGGTGCTCTGGTGATGAGTTGATTATGTATGCAAATGCACATTTTCGATTTTGGTGCGGGCCAACGGCGCCGTTGGCTTTAGGTGGGTTTGGACGTTTCAAAAAATTTCAGATCCTTCAAATCTTCATTCATGGCGTTTTTAGATCATTTTACATGTATATCATCTTCGTTATTAAAAGCCCGTCATTGTCAGCGCCATTTAATTGGAATGTCAACTATTGGGAATTTTGTAAATTTAGTCAAAAATGAAGAAAATTAAGATTTTTAGCAGGAAGAATGCCAAGGCGTACCAGAATTTTATAAATGTTCGAAACAAGCTGTCGAAAAGGTGTGGAAACCATTTAATTCAGCAATAAATCGCTATTCAGGATTGCGGACAAAAAGCAAGGGCTTTATTTTCATTATCAATCGTTAGCCATGGTTGTACTTTGCCTGGAGGTTTGCCGATTTATTTTTTTACTACTTACTATCGGATAATAAATTGATTTTACAGTAGCGGTTAATTTATTTTGTGTTTTTAGTTCATTTCGAGAGGGAAATGAGCTATCTAAACCGAGCGAATGCCACCGGAAAGCTGACAATGGATTTGGCTAGAAGTAGGTGCGGCTAATGCCTAAAAACTGTAGTTTATAATTTTAAGTTTATCACCTATTGTAAATCATAAAATGATATATGTGCTAGAAAATATTTGGTAGATGAAAATTCTTCCATTTTCCACATTTTAGAATACATCCGCAATGAATTGACGCTCCAAAAGCTTGCCGAAATCGAAAAGTTGGATATGGACGCGCATTTTTTACAGAAAAAGGCGGAATTCGGTATTAGAATGAAGTTTTTACAAAGTTTTTTTTTAGTTGAAACACCCGCCAAACACCAGGTTTTTAAAGACACTGAAAATGGGTGCACAAAAGCCATGGAAAATGCTGTAACGAATTGTTATTTACCAATCGCTGAGTGGGTCTTTGGGTTTTAAACGGCCATCGAACTTTAGTCGGATTCAAGAATTAACAGCGAGTGTGGCCCCGCCAATACGATTACCACTGTATAATTTTAATGGAAATGAGGTCAAACTACAAACTACTCTAAAAATTACAGTACATTTTTTTAGATAACGGAACTCTGTAGTCTACTCGAGCATACGAAACGTAAATGCATATCGGCTGAAGTACTGTTGCGTTGTGATGAGCTAAAGGTAGTACACACAACAACAATATACTTTATTCCACCCCTAGATTCGCAAATTTATTCGACAAGCCCTTGGCCCAACCTGTGAAGCCCTCCAAAATCAACCCAAAATGGCCCGTAGAATTGATTGCACTTGGAAGCAGCTCGCAAAAAATACGGTACCCTCTCGCCTACATTCAAAAACGCTTCATTCAGCATTGCAAAAAACTAATATCCGGCGAAATTGACCCCGGCGCTGATCAGAAAACAAAATGCGACGGAATGACGGAGTTTTTGAGTAATTTCCGGTCTCCTTACAATTTCTGCACGTTTTAGAGTGCTCAAGAAAAGATGTGGTATACTGCGGGGATGCTGCTTTCCTATTTTTACAGCAATTAATTGCCGGATATGGCTGTGATGTGGAAAAAGGGATTGAGTATGTGTTTTGAGCTCCTGGATTTTAAGTTTTGAAAACCAAAACTTTAGAGAAAAGGTGGTAATGGCTATAAAAATACGTGAGACATCAACTAGTGCTTCTACGAGCGTATCGTCAGCCATTAGTGCATCGACACCAACTACAGTAACCGCCATCTTAAGTCGTTTTACTGAAAAAGCCAGGGTAAGAAAAAAAATTCTTTTTTACTTTTTATTAATTTAGGACTCACCAACAAGTGCTGAGTCCATTGAAAATAAGAAATCGATGGAAAAGCTACAAGCTACAAACGGAGGGAACCTGGAGCTGGACATGCAACCCGTTACGATAATAAGCCCCAATTGCTCAGATGAAGCAAGGAACAAGTAGGACCAACTTGCGGTCACGGTCCCTTTAAAATAGATCACGAACGTGCATTCAACCATTAATGGAAACGTGGAAAGGAATTCGAGAACAACGGCCGGCACTGGATACAGTAGTTTAAAAACCTAATTCAAATGGCCCATTTTTAGTTCAATTTTCCGATTTATCAATATACAAAAGTCGAGCTTTTGGAGTTGTGCGATGGCTATGCAAATACGTTCCTTTGCGCAGGATTTGAGCCAATTGAGCAGTGCTTGGCTGAGGACAAGGTAAACATTATCAACTTGATACTAATTAATTTTACAAATTTTAATTTAAGATTCGATTAGCACAAGATCAGCTCGGCTATCTCTGCAGTCCAAATCACATTGGCACCTTTATGCGGCATTTTGATTGCATTTTCCATGTGAATGCCGAGACGTCGTCTTGTCGGGCGTTCCTTGAAACTACAATTTCGAGGACTAACACGGTAATGCAAATTTTGTTGCGTATCATGTGATATTTTAGGAGCGATGCGTGGGAGTGAAAAAGTATCGTGAATGTTTACTGCCGGAATTGAAAGAACATTGCGATCGGGGCGCTGGAGATGAATTTGAGGAAACAATATTGCAATATGGATGTAATTTTTGATGATATGGCAATATATTTTTGCATATTTCATGGTGTCTTTTGTTTCTAGTTTATCCGTTGTTAAAGGTACACCAAAGTCTCGTTGGTTTGGTTACCGGCCGGTAACCGTCCGCGGGATAGCAAACGGGGTTACGGTAGGCGCTCGCCACGGAGCGAAGCCGAACCGGGGCCACTGGCCTGGGGCAGCATCCTAAACCAAAATAAAAAATAATATAAATAAAAATCGTTTCGAAACTTGCGGCAAACTCACCGTTTCCGGGGCTTTCGAATGGCGTGACAAACATTCCGATCCGCGACTTATGCGTTGAGTCGAGGGTTGTGTTTTTTATGCGAGTTCTTTTATGCGGATGTTTACCGTCGAGGTGAGAGGAAAGTAGAAAACAAGAGCCTTTTTCGTTTTTTAATTTAAGATTATAAAGCAGATTTATCTAAAATCTGCCTGATAATTGCTGATCTCACACATCGATCAATTTTGTAAGAACGCAGTTAAAGCGCTCGAAAAAGATGTACTTGGTGAAAAAAGCAAAAAATTTTGCCGCGGGCGGAAGTTCCCCGTTCCCCTGTGGCCATCGTTCTCCAGCCTTTTAGATCCAGCAGGGGACTTTAAAATATAGAAAACAAAACTCTCGTATTTTCCCCTTTTCGAGAGCTGTAGAGTTGTGTAAAAGTCATTCCGAGACCAGTAAAGGGTATTTTGGAGACCCAGAAGCGAATTATTTTTCATATAAAAGGTTTCGGTTCTTTCTGACTTGTCTCGGTCATCAGCCTCTCCTCGGCACCCCTTACTCTCTTCCCTTGCGCTGACTGTCCGTCTGACTCGACACCCACCTGGCCCACTTGGCCTCCAGAAAGGCAGCCCAAGGGGGCATCCCTCAACGGCTGAGCCCCAGTCAGCCGCGGTCGCGATATGACAGGCGTAGCTTTAAAAGCACATGCACTTTAGAAGGCATCCGAACGCCCGGAGATAAGCCCTTCGTAATTTTGGACAGCACCCCAGCCGCCATGGGGTGCGCTATGAGAAAGAACCGCTGGTCCGGCGTAGACAAAAATAGCTACACCATTAGAAAGCCCTTGAAACGGCGAGTTTGCAACAATCTTGAAGGCCAGCTTTTTATTTAAGCCCTCTGATTTCAAAGCTGTAACATTTTGCGCATTTCCGGAGTTGCATACGAACCAATTTGCCTCAATTTCTCCAAGCAAACCGACCGGAAGTATGTATGCAGAAGCCGTGCCTGAATGTTTTTAAATGCGAAGTAAAATGGCGCGTTTAAATAAAATTACGGATAGGAAAATTGCTACAAACTCGCCGTTTCGAGGGCTTTCGAATGGTGTAAGTATCGGTCCGACCCGATACTTCTGCGACAAGTTGGCGAGGGTGTTTTTTTTATTGGGACACCCTGTAGACTGTTTTAAAACATTAATTTAACTCCTTAAAACCCATTGAAAATCCGTACAAACTTTACATTTCAGCCATTCTACGCAGTGAAAAGCAACCCGAGCCCTGTAGTCCTTCGGGTTCTCGCCGGCATGGGTGTGAATTTTGATTGTGCGAGCCGGGGAGAAATTGAGCAGGTTTGCGACATGAAAATGGACATATTTCTGTAAATTCGAGGTTCTCTCACTGGGTGTGTCTCCGGATCGTATCATCTTTGCCAATCCGGCAAAACCAGCTTCTGATATTCAAGTAAGTAATTTGCTCGTCCAGTCGCATTCTCCCCTGTCGCTCCCCGCGCTCTCTCTCTCGATCTCTCTCCCGCTCTCTCTGTCTCACTTTCTCTCTAGCTCTCTCTCTCTTATCTCGCTCTTTCTCTCTCTCTCTTTCTCTCTCCCTCGCTCCCTCTGTCTCTCTCTTTATTTCTCTCTCGCTCTCTCTTTCTCTTTCTCCTTGTCTCTCCCTTTCTCGCTCTTCTCTCTCTATCTCTCTCCCTCTCTCTCTCGCTCTCGCTTTCTCTCCCTGTCTCCCTCTCTCCCTGTCTCTCTCTCCCTCCCGCTTTCTCTCTCTGTCTCCCTCTCTTCCTGTCTCTCTCTCGTTCACTCATTCACTTCATTCACTTTTTTTCTACAGTACGCCCAGGACGTCGGTGTCTACCGTTCGCGCCCTGATTTTTTTGCACGAGATTTTAGTGTACCTTTAAGGGCAAGCTGCCAAAAACTCAAAAGTCAGAAAACAAGAAAATTCGCTATTTTGAAATTTGTATTTTTTTTAGATGCTGAGCCACAATTTTTCTATACTTATCTTTCATGTCTGAGCTTTAATTTATTTTCATGATGCCGGTGCTGCATTTGAATAAAGAACAACCTCAGAATCGGGAATCTCTGAACCCAGACCTCATTTCTGGTCCCCTCTCGAGCTAAAGAGAAAGAAAGCTGTTCCTCCCCCTCTTTTCTGCCCGCCGCCACTTCAGATCGTCCCATCGTGCGTCTTCTGAATTTTACTTTGAAAAGGCTAATGGGGGAAAAGGGGGGCAGGCTCTTTCCTTCCTTTTCCACGTTTTTTGCTCTGCATTTTGCGGGCCGGGAAATGCCCCAAGGGCCTACTTCGAACGGCTCGTCGCTCCGTTGCACCGGATAGGCGACGGAGGCTGGGTTTTGGGCTTTAAATGGTTAGAATTTAATTAGTGCTTTTTTGGTTTGAATGGATGTGTTAAGCTTTCACAAATAACATATAAATATGCAAGATAATTTTTCGCACTAATTAAAAAAATCACGGTGAATAACTGAATTTTATTTTATTTTTATTCAAAGCATTGGAATGAATTTTATTTTATTAAAGACTGTTTCTCCATGGATTTTATAGAGAGCCCGATTTTGTTTCAGCCGCGACACGCAACGCATTTAGCGCGCGTTGCGTGTGCTGACCATCCTCAGCAGCAAGGTCATACATATCTTTCCCGTCCCCTTAAAACAGAATATCCCCATCCACAAGCTCTACTATCATCTCGAACCCCTAAAAAGGTAGACAAATTACTTTGAAGAGCAGTATCTCTATCTGGCCCTCCCAATGGCAATCGGATTGTTGGAGTGTCGAATTGGCAGGGCTCCCCCTCCCCTCGTTTGTTTCCGATAGACCCCTCCCCTTGAAACAGAGCCCAGCCCGCCGTGACGAATGAATGGATGGACCGCAATTTCGGGATGTTCACACTTCAACCCTCTCCCTAGCTACGTCACTGATTTTTATTCGTTTTCCGATTTAAATCCGCAAAACTCCAGTGGTCACTTTACTGGGATGGAAACAAATTTTACAGTTCTAAAAATTATTTTGCGATTTTGGAAACGTCATCGGATGGAGCGTAAAAAATTGATTACGACATTTAAATGCACGGTGAGAAAACCAATTTACAACGCATTTCATTAAGAAAATTTTACGCGACAATAAAGTGATTCTATTAAATTATGTTATTTCGGGCTGAAGTTAAACCCCTTATGATAAATTTTGACGCTCTATCCGATGATGGTATTTATGAAATCCCGAAAAAGGCGAAGGTCTCGAAAAAATGCCGAAATTCCCGAAAAAAGCGTTTCACCCGCCGACGGAACAAAGGCTGCCGTTTTAATTTGTGCTGTTTAATCCGACGCCGGCTTGTAGATACCACTAGTTCCTATAGTGTAAGACCGGTTTCGCTCTGGTTCTTGTCCCCCCCCCGGTTAAGCAACCTTTACCCTCCAGCCTACATGTCTTAAAAAGCAAACGTCCCCAGCTGCAACTTTAAAAGCCCAAAAACCATCATTTCCACGAGGAAAGGGGGCTCCAGGAAAGGTTAGGAGGGCAACAAGGCCAAAAGAGGATAATAGACTTTGCCAAAATAGGGTCGGTTTAGTGTTTTTTCAAAGGGGTTGGCTGCCTTCTGGGGGGAGCCGAGCCCTAATGAGAATGTTTTATGCGTCCTTCCACCCCCTCCCTCTGTTTTCCACCTTCAAACTTTTGGAGACCCGCCGCTTTTGTGGTTTTGGTGTTAGTGGACGAGGCGGGGGTAGGGCAGAAGATTGGATACTTCCACTGGTTTTGGTCGGGCCCAGTTCTCTTCTCTAAAATTCCATTTCCACCCACCCAACCCCGGTCACGGCTTCACCCCCGGCTCCACGGCTTTTCCCCCAACTCTGAAACTTTTTGTTTTGTCTGGCCGAACCTGGGTTCAGCTTACGTCTGCTCCTCAGCCATAAGTCGTATTAAAGGGGCTCCGAACTGCCAAATCAAAGCCCTTTTGGGAGACCTCTTTGATTTCTGGCAAATTGCCAGCGGGCGCTGCGGGACGAGAGCCCTCACTCTTTCGATTTTTGCGCGAAGTTGTTTTTGCCCGGTTTCTTTGTGAAAACAATATAATTCGCACATTCTGAGCCGATTTTTGAAATCCTCACTCAATTTTGAATAGTTTTGGTGTTTTAATCAACAAATTTGGCCCAGAAACAGCCGAGAACGTGATTTCGAGGTGACAACAGGCCATTTCAAATTTGCGAGCTTCCCGCGACCCTAGGTGTGCAGAGGCTTCCCACGTACAGGGCTCCGATTTTCGGGCCGTCACCCAATTTTTGGCATTTCGTAGCCCCTTTAACGTGCCTCTTTTCTTAACATCTTCACCTTGGTCGAAAACCCTTGTAAAGCTTGATTTTTTTACATAAAAAATCGTTAACTTTGTGACCAGATTTTAAAAACACAAAGATTTAGCCGCTGTGATTCAGTTTACCCGCGGTTTCAAACCAAAATATTTTTGTTTACCGCAATTCTTTGACGCAAACGTACCGTATTCATACTCTACAGATCCAGCGCCACGTTTTGGTATACTTTGCAACTTTGTAGCGTTATTGGGAGCGCAGATCGACAATCTCACTTCTGAACAGTGCGAACTTCCCTACTTTTTTTACCTCTAAAACCTAAAAACAAATACTATTCATAGTTTTATGCAGGAAAACAATTTTTTTTTCTTGGGTTTCGACCACGGCGAACTGACCCGTCATCTAAAGTCTATGGTACAGTATCTTAGTAGTCCACTCCTTTTCAGGCTCCAAAGAGCAAAATAGCCTTTTTCACTTTTTCATCTCTGACTAAACGAATATCGCCTCCCCGAACGCGTCAACTAATCCACTAATTTTGGGTTTCCGTCCCATCACTTTTTTGTTCTTTGAAACGAAATGTTGATGCTAGCCAAACACATCCATGAGTAATTGTCTGACCGACTTTTAAAGTTAAGAACGAGTAAATTGAAAATCTTTTCCGGAAATCCTTAGATCCAGGCTGGAAGGCCCCCAAAATCCGGGCCGACAATTTGTTGATGAAAATTTGAACCGACGTGATTTCACATTTCCAATTTTTTAATTAACTCTGGCAGGTATAGATTTTCTAGATTTGCTTTAAAAACCTGAAAAACAGAAAAAATTTTCTTTTTTATTACGTCAATTTGCGATTTTCGGCTATTTGTCCTTTTCTATGTTGTACCGGATTATGATCCAGATCCACGCGAGACGACCCTTGTGATTTCCGGTCGCTACGCCCTCAGAAAAAGGAAGTGGATATTTATTTACGCATTTCCAATCGGGTGTGCTAGTGGACAGCCTAGGACATCTTCACCCTAGATCTAAAGCCAGGGGAGAGGAAAATGAAGATCAGGTTCCTGGTTGAAATGAGAGTAAGAGTCAGTCGGCCTCCCCCTCTTTCTCACTGAGATTTTCTTACTATAGGGGAGGATGAGGAGGAGGGGGGTTTGGTATCAAAAATTCGAAATATTTGATGACACCTTTGTGAGGGGAATGATGGCATCAACGAGTCTATGGGATAGAGAAGAATCTTCTCAATCCCCTCCGCACCTTCCGGCAAAAAATTTCCCTAGGACTTATGATCCCGGCTTCGGAGCAAAAGGTTCCATGGCCTCCAAAAAATCTATTTTTGGTTTTTGGAGGCCCGTTCTCAGCGGGGGCTTCGTTCTCAAGTGGGTCCCGTTATGGCTATAGAGAAGGGAGGAGGAGGAGGATCTTCTTTGGAATTTCTTCCTTTTTTGGGGCATCTCACACTCGCCGCTATAATTTTATTGGCCGCTACGGGGTGGCTTTTGTTGAGGGGGAGGGAGAGGAAGGCATGGAGCAAAGCTTAAAGATGGAGAGTTACTGATTTGGAAATGGGGGCGGAAATTGGAGCGGGCGTGTGATAGGGCACTTACTATGGCGTCGAGATAGTTTTGCCAGTTGCAAATTAGGTATTGAACTTTTGGGATATGTTGTTTATGTCATATTATGTCGTTGTCTATGTCCGGGCGCATGAGACGTTCGTTAGGGGGTAGTGCGTGGAAAAACACTAGAAAAGAAGCCTCATCGAGTAAAAGGAAGAAAACGTGATTTCCTTTACTGCTTGCTACCTCTATTTTTGTAGCCAAATGCATAGATTTACGGCTGGCATAGTTAGCACGCATTAATAGGCAATATACACAAGCTGATTTGCGATCAGTTTGTCCAAATTCTTTTTGTCAAAATATCTTTTCGAAATTTTGATTTACGCCTTTTTGAGATGAATATTTGAGGCGAAAAAGCGCATTTATATTTCGACAAAATTATATTTCGTTTTTGAATTTGAAATTAATTGAATTCGAAAAAATTTATATTTCGACAAACCGATTTTCGACGTGATGTAAATAAACCACCCAATTTCTGAAACGATCCCTATTCCCCCAACATGCACGCATTACGGGGTTTTAAATTATTAATCCACTCCTCAGGTATCACTTTCCACCCTAAAAAACATGTTATCCCCTCGCCGAACCCTTTTTATCCGCCACGCTGTTCCCCCAAAAATCCGGCCTAATTAGAGATCGGATGACAAGTTGTTTGTATCAGCTTTTCCGAAATAGGCTCAATTATTTTTGGTTGAATCTTTGTAGGAAGTCTATAGACATATTGCCCTTCGAGACTGACGATATAGCTTCCTTTTGTGTTTTTATCATTCCCTCTGACCCTTTGGTCTTTGCAGTAGTCTTGCTCCATTCCTCGTTCCCCGTTGGAGACGGAAATTGGAGTTTAAAGGAATGCGGGAAAGTGGTTACGATTTTGCATGGAGCCCCGGCTCCTTTTGAGGTGTGCGCGGAAGTTGGGCCCAGACTGCCCGCGTCTGGCTTTCACTTTTGCATATTTCGATTTTTATTTATAAAACATGTGATTTTCAAATCCACCAACGTGTCTCGGAACAACGGGGGAGCAGACAGAGCCCACGCTGCTCATCAGTTAATAGAATTTCTGAGCACCGGGAAGTTGCTTGGGCGGTGTCTGTTTGGTTTCTGATGAACACGATGGTTGTATGAATTATTAGAGGTAGATGGGGAGAAAAAAGAGAGAGAAAGAGCGAGAGAGAGAGAGAGAGAGGGGGAGAGAGAGAAAGCGTGGGCCTGGGGTTTCTTTGGGTGGGAGGACAACAAAATGATGCGAGTTGTCTGGACTTTTTTGGAGTGTAAAGGGAGTGTGACACCAAAGTTTCCACGTTTGCAAAGAAAACAGAGTAAATATAATATCAGAGCTTCAATTTGCCTCTCGATTTTCCGCCCCATCCTTCTAAGCGCTCGATTTGCACAAAACCATTTTTTTGGGTCGCTCCTTTATAATTATGACAAAATCTTATAAAATAGATTCTAGATTCAAATTCTGATTCTTCGCAGTTCTACAAATTGCAAAACAAACTTGATGTTCAAAACCCCTTTAAAACCGCAATTCCCTGTCCCACCTTACGTGCCGATACTCTCAAGCCCTAAAAGTCCCAAACCTTGCTGTCAGCATCCCTTGTGAATCAAAAATTCTTCAATCCCAAAAGTCCCACCCTTTCTAATGCCACCAACAAAAATTTCCGCTTGTTTTTGATGCTTTTGACGTGAAGCATCCGGCAGGGGTTCTAGCGGGGGAGAAGAAGCATTTGGAATGGAATGGATGCGGCCACCAAATTTTATGACAACTTCCTGGAGCCGCGTTGGGATGTCAAGACACGTGGGCCGGGTTTCGTTTTGAAAATTCGAAAAAAGAAAGGGGGAAGATGGGTTGTCCATGCCGGAACAGATCCCGCTAGGCCCGTCATCTTGGGTGGAAGAAGCCACAAGTTGGCCTCCAAAATCCCTGGGGCTGCGTTCCTGAATTTTCGAGGTTTTGACGGGTTCGTTGACTCATTTTCGATTCAAAAAACGTGAGGAACGGTGGCTACTCTGCGGCTCTCTTATTTTTGATAGCATCATATCCTCTTCCGGAAGTTTTCGGGCATTTTTGATTTTCAAAAATAATATTTTTAATCGGATTTGCACTTATAACTGTTATGTTTATAGTTATGTTTAAATCCTGATGAAAAAGCTCTGTATCTAGGAAAAATATTTTCAACGTATTATTTCCGTTTCGATGTCATTTTGTTAAAATTTTCTTATTATGATTTGTCAAAAAAATATTGGACTTATATCCGTTGTAAAATAATATCTCAAGGATAATCCTAAAATCCCGGCTTCCGGTAGACTTTTGCAGGGATGTCTCGATCCAGAAGTTGCCGCTTTCTGACTGATTTTTGCCCAAGTAACGGCTCTGGAAGTAAAAAAAAATAGATAGTCCGGATGTTGTTATCCGGAAATGACGGCCGAAGGTATGTAAAATGGATTTATAGGGTTATCTGAGAAATCTTAGTTTTCAATGGAAGATCCTTTCTAGTTTTGCAGCCTTTTAGCTTGTTAGAAGTATTTCTCCCGTTCTCTAATTAATTTTTGAACATAGTCGAGGTCAGTACAGCGTAGCAAAAAAGTTTTCAGCTGTTAAAGATCGGAGTGTCGCGTAGCCTTGGGTTGAACCTTTCGCCGGGTTTCCTGTTTACGATTGGCGGCTGGAATGCTTGAAGTTACTTTTGCTTTTTCGTAGAGCGTTAATTTTACGTTACTTTTATTTTTGATACTTTCTTTTTATCGTATTTTTTCGAATTTTAAAGATAGCTTTTGATATTTTAATCAAATAAGGAAAATAGGAGGTAAAACCAAAATTTTGGCCGTATTCATAACCCTTTATGATCTCAGACCGCCTAAAACCCCAGTAAAATAAGACAGCGAGAAAAGCAAAGTGAATTCACATTTTGTCCAATTCTAAACATGATTTCTAGTTTTTACGACGGGAGGAGTTTTTATTAGGTGACATCCTATATTAAAGAAAATAACAATTCACTTCTTAGCTGATTTTAGCGGCCGAACCGTAGATTCACAATATATCCCCTTTTTCTAATTCTCTCCCCCCCCCCGGCAAACCCGTCAATAGCAACATCGCGTAACATTCCATCCAACTTCCGGCACCCCTCTTCGTTGGGTGCATCATAAAGGCATTTAATGGGCTTTTCACTCGTCCCCCCCCCACCCCGTCATTTCGAGCCCCGGACAACGAGTATTTTTGTGCACGACGGAATTATTGCGTAGCATTGGTGAGCATGCTTTTTTTGGGCTTGATATGGTTCCTTGTTCTACACACGCCATCCATTGCCCTTCTCATCCTCCTCCTCCTCCTCCTCGCTATTCGTCTCATCAGAAATGCTGGCCGCCCGGCAGTAGATGACCTTTTGTAGGGCTGGCAGGATAGCTCCCATCATCAGAATTTTGGATTTGAACTCCCACTCGATTCTTTCAAAGGCCAGGAAAATTTGGGTCATTTGATTTTTGGAAGTAGATTTTTGCTAAAGCCAATTTTACACGTAGTAAGCGTCTGCCTAACAAGGGAAGTGCACGACCGGCCCACGAGAAATCGACATGAGACGTAGTCGATCTGATAGAATCGGATACGGGGATTCCGAATCTGTAATCAGAATTTGCTAAATAAAACGGAGAAAAAAGTTATGAAGCTTCAAAGTTGGCCAAATCGCCAAAAACCGTACCTTTAAGGGCCCGTAAAAAACAGGGGAACGGAATTGAGGAGAAAAGAATTAGTGCATCTTGTTCAGCAGAAAAAGCGTTTTCGAATGAGTTGTAATACGTAGCATTTGCAAACAATTCACTGAAAAAAGTTTTTTTGGATTCGCGGGCAAGGGTATGGCCTGTCAAGTTCATAGAAGAGATTTCCGCGAAATCATTGTAAACTTGAAGTACGATAGCTCATTCAAAAGCGCTTTTTCTGCTGAACAAGATGCACTAATGGGTTGTGGCAAATTTCCATTCCCTGGGCCTTTACAGGCCCATAAAAGTCCGATTTTGGGCGATTTTGCCAACTTTGAAGCTTCATAACTTTTTTCTCCGTTTTATTTAGCAAATTCTGATTACAGATTCAAAATCCCCGTGTCCGATTCTATCAGATCCACTATGTCTGGTGTCGATTTCTCGTGGGCCGGTCGTGCACTTCCCTTGTAAGCCTAACCTAAGCTCAACTTTTTCGAACCCCACCCATGTCTGCGCAAATTTACAGTTCACATTCTGCGTAACAATTTTTCTAGTCATTTTTACCCATTTAAAGAGAACGTAACACGAATTTTCACCTGCTAAAACTTGTCTCTTCACAAAATAGAAGCTGGCTATCGCAATTAGTTCAGCCAATACAGCCGCAAGTCTTCGGTATGCTGTACAACCTCGCACCCCCCGCACCCAAAATAATTTTTTTACCGGGGTTGGCCCAACTTCCGCCCTCATTTCTGTGGCTCAGGCCTGGCCTAAATAGCAACCATCTTTTGATGTAAATAGCTTCCTAGCTGTTGGTCGAGCTTACGGCCAACATTTGCAAGACGGGCAGGTGGTGCTCCACGCGGGTTTGCTAGTTTTTTAAAAATAAATCAAGACGTGGGCGAGCTCCCACAACAAATCCCCGCCCATAAAATGGTCATTTCGGCATTTATGGTGGTGGGTGAATTATTTTTATAGGGGTTTTTGGAGGCACAATTTTGAACCCGTGCATTCAGAACCCTACATTCATAATTCCAGTTTTTGGGAATCGGGTTTCTACGAAATTTCTAACTAGGAATCATTTTGGGGACAAGTACAGTTTTCTCACATGTTCTGAAGTTGCCGTCGAACCCGGTCGTTAGTCGAAAATTTCTGTAATTACACGCCGATGTTTTAATGGGTACTGTAGGAGGGGGTTCATTAGAAATCGGGCCGTTCGAAGGAAGTATAGTTGCAATTCTCCCAGCCGGAAAATCTTCTAAAATTTTTGAAACTCGGAGATTTCCGGTCTGTCCATTTTACGCGCACTCTCCCTTTAAAAAGCTCATTTTTGAAAAAATTGGGACATAGTCCAGGGTCCGTAATTAAGTACACACGACAACATCTTACACCATTCTCACCTGTCGTAGACTATTTGGCATCAACTTCGTTTCTGGTCCAGACAACGCTGTGATCCCAGGTGGTACTCGCTTTCTTGGAATTTGTATGCACCCAGAATCCTTGCAAGTACTCTTCGCACTTAGACCTTTTCTACATCATTTTGTAATTGGTGTATATTGCTTTCTTTGCTATCCATTTAGATACAAATTTAAATCAACAAATTGCAGATGCCAAACGGTACCCCGGTGGCTGCCCCGCCAGCCCACCTCGAGGGCCCATCGGTCGTTTCGTTTGCGCTGCCGTATTCCTTTCTTTTTCTCGTCGGCACCGCAGGAAATGTGGCGGTTTTGACATATGTGTTTTTTGTGACGCGGTAAGTGGATTAGAACCTTATTGGCTATTTAGATAGCATCTAAATTTCACTGAATGAAATGGATCAAATTCTATTTTCAGCTCCTTACGCTCGTCGGTAACAGCACTTGGAAATACGTTTGTATATATGGTAGTACTCTCCGGTGTTGATCTACTCGTCACAATGTCAATTCCATTCCACTTATCAAGTAAGTTTATACTTTGGAATTATTCAAATTAGCGCCTTTTCTTTGCAAAATGGCTACCCGCTTAGCAAGTCCGACAAAATTAACTTTTTGGCACATTTCAATGTTCAAATGGTGACCTGGAATTGGAAATGTTTCTGAAAATGGATTGTGAGGGGGCACGGGAGGGCCGTTCCTTTTTTGGGTTTTTGGGGTGGGCGATCATTTTAGCGGAATGGCCATTTGGCATGGCTGCCCTAAATTGCATCCGGACTTCCAAAACCGGCAACGAGAGATGGGAAAGTTTAAAGGACAAAATTAGCCTTAGAAAAAGACGAAAAAGGGAATATGTTTAAAATCCAAAAAGCCTGTCTCCTCCCAAGACATTCATGTTTCAAACTATTTTTTTAGTGACCGTCCTTGAGAACTGGATCTTTGGCCACTACGCCTGCAAGGTCTACTTCTTCATCGAACTCTCCAACAAGGTACCAATCACACTTTACAAAAAACAAAATTTCAGATTTGTTCATCGTTTATCTTAACTGCTCTGGCATTTGATCGCTACATGGCAATTTGTCACCCGGAAATGAAGCGGGTTTGTAGTTTAAGAACAAAAATCACAAAATAATTTGAGCGACCACTGTATCAAAATTAATCGTATTAAATCTTAATTTTCAGGTTCATCAAATGCGCCAAACGTCAGCAATTGTGGCTGTGATGATTTGCCTATCGACTTGTCTTATTTTGCCCGTGGTCTATTCATCATTTGTCCGTGAAATTACAACGAACAACATTTATTCCCGATGGGTGGATGCTAATAAGACGGTATTTTTAATTTCTGGATTCTATGTAAATTTTTTCCTTTAGCACGTCAATTATCCGGTGGTAAAATCGAGGTGTATGGACGGGATGACGCGGCAATTTGCATTTTGGGTAGGTTTATTTTCATTTTCTAAACTTTCTTGTATTCCAGCAAGTCAGCGCGATTGTCGTATTTGCATTTATACTTCCCTGCACATTGTTGACGTATTTTTACGTGAGGATTGTGGTTCGATTACGACGGCAAATGCGGTAAAAATTATTACCATTAAATTAGCATATTTTCAGGTCAAGGACCATGTTGCAATCTCGGATTCCCATTCGGAGAATAACAATTTACACTCTTGTGGTGACAATTTTTTATTTGGCATGCCAGGTTGGATTTTAACTTACGGGTTTTAAATGAATTTAGATACCGTATTGGATCCCGCAGATCTATCTAATTATGAGAAGGGTGATGAGCATCCCATCAAGTCCAGATTTCATTAAATGGACTTATATAACGCACATGCTACCATTTGTGGCCGCTGCGTTTAACTGGATCTTCTACGCCCAGTTGAATTCACAATTCAAAAAGGGGCTGATATTGGTGACGGAGCGGATGCATCGGAAAATGACAAGGTTTGATATTCTAATCGCGAAAATCAGAATCTATAATATAATGTAATCTAATATAATCTATAATATATAATATACCAAATATAAAAGAAATTTTCAGATCCGGTGTGAAAAAAGGGCCAGACACAATGGACGAGCTATGCATAGAAATGATGTCCCGAAGCGATGAGGGCCCAAATTGTGTCTGCCCCAATTGCGAACATCCGCTTTCAATAAAGGTATGTAAATTCACTTTAAAGAGAGGGTCAAGCACTGTCACCCTCCCTTTAAAACCATGCCCCATCCCCCAAAATTAATTTTAGGTTCAGAAAATCAGCTCCTCGGTGGCGGCCGTGCAAAATGGAAATGGGAATGCTGTCTAAAAGATAACTGTAAATCCATTTTTTGCTTACTATATCATCACAATATTATGTGTTTTTCGTTTCATGTACAATATTTACTGTATCTCCCCCAATTTCTCCATCTGGTCACTGCTTCTAGATCTCGGATTCACACGCGCGGGTTCCCCCTACACTGAAAATGCGGTAAATGTAGCGGATTTCCCGCTCTCCTTGGAATTTACATATTTATTTGTGATTATGTGTGGTGAATTAATGAGAATAAAATATGGAAATTAGCATCGGACGGCAAGATATTTTAACACAACTTAATGTTTTAATTTTTTCTGGAATTTTGCTAATATCATCAAAACCTGAAAATATATGTTAATTTATTTTATTGAAATGCGTTTAAAGCCGGAAAACACCATAAGTTGTATTACAGATAACCGTTGAGTAACCGTTTGTATCAAAAATATATTACTCAGACTATAAAAGACATAATAATTGCCGTACCCAGGCCGGATCAGATTTTCTTGTACTATCTGTTTGTTTGTGCATAATGTAGAATATCTGCTCGAAGAAAGGCCACCGCCCCGGGTTCCAACGCCCCAAATAAAATATTCATTCTCGTCCCTCTGGCCGTGGGGCCTGTTCGCACCCCTTTCACATTCCCATTTTGTACGTTTTTCGGTGTGTGTGCTTAGCGCTGAATTTTGGGCGTGTTAAATATTTAGGCGACCGCCCGGGTGTTTGAGCGCCTATTTTTGGTGGTTCTTGGCATGTTTTATGCAAATTTACGACTACGACTGCGTTGGACCGGCTTAATTTGAATTTGGTCGTGATTTAGAAAATCTAGGAGAGCTAGGGGTATTTTTGATGACTTAGAAAGGGTGGGAGTGCCGGGGTAGAGGGGAAATGGTGCGTCCGAGGGTTGGTCAAAGGGACAATTTTCGGGGTATGCAAATTTTCGCAGCGGAATCTCTGAAGGAGAATGGGCTTTGACAGTTGTACTGCGTTTCCTTGCAATGTTTTAGGCTTTTGAAAAGATTTTCTATCGGCATTACAAAATTTGAATTTGGAAAATCGAGTTTCGAATTGTTAGAATTTAGATCTTACGTAATCTCAATATTTGCATGGGCTGGGTGCTTTATATATGTTTTAATCGTGACATTAAAAAACCCAAATTTCGTAATAGTGACAATTTGGGGTTTTGAAAAGCAGAGATCGAAATCCAGATTCTATAAATGCAAAATGTTTGATTCGGGATTTTCTATTCAGTTTCTCAAATTTTGGCAGTTACCGCTTTTGAAAATCAGCCTTTTAAATTTTTCATTCAACATCCCTCAACAATCTCTATCAATATTTCCTCTATTTACATCCCAGCTTTGCATTAGTGCAGCGATGATAGTTAGTGCAGGGTATGGGTGAGGAGGGCAATCAGGGCAAGCTAGTTGGCGCAAGGGGGTGGCATAGAAGTAGGAAAGGCCAGGCAAGGGGGCAGGGTGAAATAATCCGAAGAAAGCGTCTTGAAATCAGAGATGCTTTGGGTGGGTCCTAACCATCAGGCAGGGTGGAGAGAAGGGGGAAGGGGTAGTCTTTCCTCCCCAATTCCTAATACAAATATGAGCTTCGGGGTCCTGGGTTTTCACGCGGGTTCTAAAAAAATAGTGCATTTTTCTATTCTTCAACTAAGTATGATATTTCTGATTTAAAAATTATTTTTTACGGTTATGTCAACCTTTTTTAATAAGATTTAACTATTTGGTACTTGCTGAATTTTATTTAGTGGCGAATTTCTTACTTCAAATGTGCTTTAAAGGGACGCGCAACTTTGGATCTAAGTTCTTCTGTCTTTAACGTAGATTTTCTAGCAGCTGCGACACGCGACGCGGCGGCGCGGCGGATGAATTGCGCCATTGCAGAGCCCAGCTTCACAGTACGTGGAGGGTCCGTTGCGTGTTGCGCTGCCAGTAAAATCCTAAGCCATCCCCTGGCCAGAAAAATCCATAACCACCTTACCTATTTCTCTAATCGCTTTTCCACCCCAAAACCACTTTCTAAACTTTCAAATTTAGTAAAAAGTTTTCGAATCCAACGGCCGGACGTTGGAATGGCATCCCAATTAGGGGGTTCTTTCTCCCCTCACGAAACCCAAAAGAACCACCCCCTCCGTCGGAATCAGAGAAAGAAAGCGAGAAAGCCATCGAATAGAATAGAGACACCGCGAGCTTCTGGTGAAGACAATTTTCCCACGAGATTAATTGCTCACCCCCATCCTCGCACACCCTCGCAATTCTGCACCAACCATCATCTAACCCCAAAGATAGTTAAATGAAATATATTTATGATTTTATATACTGAATTTTCTCTATCATAAGCAGCTTCTAATAAAAAACGATAAAAAAGAGTAGATTACGCAATAATACGGCGCTTAACATATTTTAATCAAGCTATAACAAGTTGCCAAGTGGAATTTTAGAACGCTGAAACCCAAGCGCTATGTTTGCTTTTCGATGGAACGCCTTTGACTTTGACAGCTTCCGGTCCCTTTTTTTATCTCAAATTTCTAAAACTCGAATTTTACGACTAACTCTCTAATTACAAATTAGAATAATAATATGTCGAATAATTCAAATTAACATCCAGAAAATGTAATGCCGCCCTGGAGAGCCATCCTCCCGTTACTTCTCCTCTTTTTCCAACACCCCGAAGCCAAAAACCCCGAGCGATGCCCCTGCGCCCCAGGCAAAACTTGTGCACTACAGGTATTACAAAATACAATTTTATTTGTAGCTCATTTTTAGGGCAACTTCTACCCACGCAGAAAAATTCGCTACGAAAAGTCGGCGATTCCCGGAAACCCTAATCAAGTTTTGCATGTGCAATTGGCTTTGAAAGTGAAGGGTATGGTTCCGGATAATTTCAAACACGGAAGATTTAGAATTCCCTACTTATTCATTTATTGCCTTCCCAAATGAGACTTCAATTGATGCAACTTGGCTACCATCTCGATTCGACACTTCGATCGCTGATCGGATTCCACCGAAAATTGCAAATGTTTCGAAATTTATCGATGCGGTAAGCACAAGACTTTACAAAAATTATGAACGGCATTATTTTAGAAACACCGAAAATCCCGACTAGTCATAGACCTCGAATTCGATGAAATCAATATGAGATTGAATTCAACATTTGAAGTTCGGGTTTGTTTAAGCATCAAAAGGGTATGTATTTTTTAGGTATTTTCGGTGTATCACAGTGGTTGCAATCAGCTGGTACCTTTGAGTCCACCACCAACAGCACTCGTCAATTTCGATTGTCGATATATTAAGGGGCAGCCATGTCAGCAAAGTGAATTACTTACATAAAAAAGAAATTTTTAAATTCAGGACAAAGTCCTGTTTGCAATTTGCATCCAACGTACAACACAAGAGTGGCTGAAGGAGGAGAGAGCAGTGAGGTATTATTTTACTAATGTTAAATTTTAAAATTAAAATTTGATTAAGGTCCGAATCCACTTTGAATTGCCAAAAGACATAAAAGACGTTGGGATGGCGCTGTATTTGTTAGGGATCTGGGGTGGATGTTCTGGGAATACGAAGGATATGTTCAAGGGGCAATGTCAGCTCGATGTATCGACAGCTTCATTACAAAGGTTGGTTAATAATCTTTTTCTAAAAATCGTCAAAAATCCAAAAAGCCTTTTGAAAATGTCATTTTTGAAAAGCGGGTTGCTTAGCGCCAATAAAAATATAGCGCAATATCGCCTTGGATTCCGTTCTATCCCTGATGACAGCCTAAAACGTGACCCTTTCCACGTTGCAACCGCAATTTAATGACTCGCCGCCCATATTATGAGCCCTCGAAAGTTTCTGGATGCGCGTTCTCTCTCTCTCTCTCTCTCTCTCTCTCTCTCTCCCTATTCTCGTTCAAAGTAATGAAGCGTATTGTCTCAGTTGAGCGCACTCTTCTCCTTCTCCTCCTCCTTCTCCTCGACTTTTTGAGCTTCTTTCCCTATTCCACTCGTCTCCAACTTTTTTTTGAGCTTCTTCGAAATTCGTCCGTCGGATATGAGCCGGCTGAACCCCTCCACCCCCGGAATTTTTGAGAATATCTCGATTTTAACTTCCTGAACGCTTTTCGGAATAGGTTATGGTTACCCCGGACACTTATTGTGAATATTTTTGTATCTGGGTACAAATTTTGGTGGTGGCCTTCACAAGGAACGGGGGAGAATTATTTAATTAAAATAAACCTAACCATTTATTTTTACAAGTTGTCGTTAAACGGTTTTGATAGATTTTAGTAAATTTAATGTAATGTCTATTATTCGATTAGCCGGCCATGCATTAATCCTCTGTGCTCATAAAAAGGGTCCCAACACGGCGTCATTATTACGATTGGGTGGCGTCCGGGGCGGCGGGTCGCTCATCCGTTCATTTTTGGCTTTGTTAATATTGGCAGTGGAATTAGGTTATTGATTTTTATGATATTTGGTAATTATTGTTTCGAAAAAATTGTTTACTACGCTAATAAAAATTGAGATCCATAATAACTCTATGACGATTATGCAATTTTGAGGCAATTTCAATTTTTCAATCAAGTGTTCTATATTTTTAAATTTAGATTTTGCCTTCCCGGTCGACCATGCACACATTATGTAAGTTTTTTAGCATATTTTAACAATTCGAAATAAATAAAATCAATAAACCAATGTACAAAAATTTACCATTTCCGCTTTTTCCAATGACGCAACTCCCAAAAAACATTCCCATTCACTCCCGGGTCAATTTGTATTTTCCCGAGGAATACCGCCGGCTTTTTTCGGGGCTTGAGGGGGGCCTGGCCTTCTCCAGCGTGCCCGGAAATTTGCGGCCGACCCAATTGACGCATTCGCCGGGGTGGTGCGCCTAATTAATTGAAATTCGCCTGAAATTCGTTGGGGGGAGCTAGTATTTTTCATGGGATAATCTAATTTCAAAGATTTCACGTTAATTTTCAGGAAAATAGCCACCAGCTGGTGCTTCGGAGGGTGACGACAGCAAAAGTCGGAGTGTTGTTATGCTTGATATTTGATAAAAAGTTAGTATTTTGACTTTAAAAACTATATTTTTACAATTGTCGCCGCTTTTTCAAAATTAGCTTTTAGATACGAGTGGCCTGATATGATTAGCCGATCAAATTCTACCATGGCTGAGCAAATTTTAGGTATTATTTTAGAATTATGTTTTATGCAAATTTAGTGGCATTACCATCAAGATCAACAGCAGCTCCATTGCCAAGATCTTTAACCACTTATGCGATCGTTTTTGGGTTAATGGTTGTATTCTTATTTTTGTGTCTTATGAAGCGGTGCATCCGGAGAAGGGCTGTTTTTAAGAGGCGTACTTTACGGTAGGTGACGCGTATAGTATCGTACTGTATATTACCGTAAACTCACATACTATAACATATTCCACTTATCCTTACTTCAGAGATCCCTGGGAAGTTAATGAAACTGACATTGACATCGCTTATGAAAAATGCCTAGGCAACGGCCAATATTCTACCGTATTCACTGGTGAGTGTTTCCAATCAATTTTTCCATGTTTTTAGGATACCTCTCGGAAAAATGCCGCCTCAAAGAAAAGCAGCCATTGCTGACGGAGACCCGAAAAATTGCTGTAAAAATGCTATGTAACGTACGTAATTTGTACCACCTTGTACTCTACGTCTGCCGTTTTTATTTCAGGACCAAGATGCGTTGTCGCGGTCTCGTTTCCTCGCGGAAATTGGGCTGCGTAAGACGATAAAAAGGCATTCAAATGTTGTGAATTTGATTGGTAAGGAGGTTTTTTGGATAATATCTTTCTGAATAAGCAGTGTTTGCTATTTGAAAATTTAAATTTATTGAATTTGAGGTGTAAATACCGCACCAGAAAGCCTATGCATATTACTGGAATACTGTGAACATGGAAGTCTCTTCAATTTTCTACAAACAAAGCTAAAAGCTTATGTAGAGGTATGGCCTTTAATGCAAAAAAAAAACAATAATATTTCCAGGTCCATGAAGTCGAACAAATCTCCAAAAACGGCCCGCCACCAGCCCCCCTAAATTCCAATGACTTTTTGAAGCTTGATCATTGCTTCCGGGTAGCAATCGATATATGCAATGGATTGGTAAGAAGAGCCAGAAATAGCTTCATATTCTAATTCAGGAACATTTGCATTCATTGGGAATTATTCACCGGTCGCTGCAGAGTCAGAATATCCTGCTCGCGGCTGATTATTCTGCGAAAATATCCGGGCTGGCGTCGGCACAAAAGGAGGCCGAACCCTCAAATAGATTCCGGTATTATGGCACTTTTAAACAATCTAACGTAAGAAAAAAATAAATTTAGAACCCATGCACATTTGCCAATAAAATATATGGCTCCAGAAAGTTTAAGAAATTCTCAATATACTACTTCATCAGATATGTGAGTTTAAAATTACTATAAATTTGATAAATAAAGATAAAGAGATTTATTGGAATTTCAATACGTATTTCTGAGATGTCTAAAACAAAATTTAGCTGGATGTTTGGAGTATTATTTTGGGAGATTCTAACTGTCGGCGGGCTACCGTACCCTTCGGTTCCGGTTATTCAGGTTTTCAACAAATTTCAGACAAATAATAAATATTTATTTTTAGATGTATACGGTATTGAGAAAAGCTATACGACCACCACAACCGTTATCCTGTTCTGATCCTCTGTAAGTTTTTCGAAAGTAATAGCATAAAAATTAGAGCCTATGCAAAATTAACAAATTTTAGATACTCTCTACTACAAGATTGCTGGTCTTTCGAACCCACCCTTCGGCCAAAACTTGCTGAAATCAGAAGATTATTACTTGGATACATCAGTTCTGGGGAGGTCCATGAAGAGCTCGTTACGGTGGGTCATTTTTAATTTTTTAATTAAAAACCAGGGTTGAAAAGCCGCTTCGCGACTTTTCAACCCTGGCCCCGTCTGATCCCATGAAATTCGTCACTTTACATAATTTTCCCGAATTGAGATGGCAAAAAAATGAAAACGCGGCCTCTCTCCCATTATATAGGCTATCATCACTTCCGGTGTATGTTAATTTTTCCTAACAAAGAGGGTTCCCGAAAATTTTACAAAAAACATAAATTTAACGTCGAAAATAAGGGATTTTGATATATCTGATATGCGTGCAGTCATCTCCAGACCATTACGCACCTAATGACGTATCGAACATACCCCTAACTACCCTCCTTATTGAGATACTACTGGAACACGCTGACGGAAGTTGCATGCAAAGTGGCACACACACACACACACACAAACACTATTTTTTTTTTATATAGTAATTCACCTAAATTAAATTCACCTAAATTAAACCTAAATTCACCTATTTTTTATTAAAACAATTTCAGATCGATCCATGTTCGGACAGTTATGTACAACGCGAAGAGGTGCTACTACCACGTAATATGCTGTCTATAATTAATGAGGATGAAGACTCAAGGGCCGAGAGTCCGTCGAGTATCGCGTCACGGAAAAACACTCTTCAGCCAAGATAACGCGAATTAACAGATGTATATCATAAATAATTTGTATACAATTTTTTCGGCGCTGGACGTCAGCGCTTCTTTCTCATAGTGCACCCCCGGGCGAATGGGGGTGCGGTTCCAAAATTTCGAAGGTCTTATACCGGGCGTTCGGATGCCTCAACAGTGCATGCTTTTGAAGCTACGCCTGAGATGTCGACTGCAACGCCTTTGCAGCCGGTGAGAGGGGCCTTGGGATGCCTTTCCTAGTGAACAAGTGGTCCAGGTGGGTGTCGGGTCAGACGGACAGTCATGGCAAGGGAACAGAGTGGGGGGGGAGGAGAGGCTGATGACCAAGACAATCCAGAGAGAACCGAGAATCATTAATATGAAAAAATAATTAGCTTCTCGGTATCCATAAAACCCCTTTTGCGGAGGAAGCTCTCGGGCTGATTTTTATACCATTACGCTCTTGAATTGAACATTTTTTTTATCAATTGCTGGATACTTTAACTAGTTTTTTTAAAAGCAAAACGCTTTATCGGTATCGAGTCAGCAATTACCATGTAACTTACCTCGTTGCCTGAGCAACGGCACCTAGTGCACATCAATTACTAAAAAAAATTACGCATAAATCTGCTGTTTTCGCGTTTTTAAAAGCATTAATTTCAAAAACGAAAAGAATTTGGCATGTTTTTCAGCTTTACGAAGGCTTTGTATAGGCACCTAAATCGAAAAATCGGATAGTTCTGATGCCAGATGGAGAGCGGAGCTTTTGGAAATATTTGCTAACCTAACTTCGAGAAGCATAATGTCGAAATTTCATAATGCCGAAATTATATGGCGAAATGTCGGAATTTTCCTGCATTGGATTCGGGGATTTTCCAAGGAATTTGCTTATGTGTTTTTCGACATCATGAAATGTCGAGATTATGAAATCTCGATATCATCGAATTTAGACATTGAGAATTTCCACATTATGATTTTAAGCATTTTATAAATAATGCTTTTGGAACAACTTGCCGAATAATCCGGGCAATGGATGGGACCTACGTGTCGGGTCGGGACCACCCATTAGATACTTCAGGGTGGTCTCCGAAAAGGCTTCAGTTTGGGGCGAAGGAAGGGCCGAATCGACGCCTGCTACCACATTGTCAATCCCATTTCGCCACTAAAAGACGTCATAACCGATGCAAAATCATAAGTATTTTTATAAAAATCTTACTTTTAGCCACTCTTAAACTTTAAATGCTTGCCTGGCATTGACTATGGATTTTGACGCGATTTCTGTTTCTTTTTTTGTTTTTGCTTTTGTTTAAAAAATATAATACGCTTGGTATAGAAAATTTGCAAAATTAAAGTTAAAGGCATTAAGGAACTATTATCAATACTTAATTTGTTCCTGGTTAGTACTTAAGTCCATACAAGTTATCATTGGCGGAGGCTTCTTCCCCGATTTTCCAAAATAATTTAACTTTTAAACTAGCACTGTTTATCAGTTTTGATGTAAATTTTTGTGTATAAGCCTGCAGATCGGACAGAAAACATTTATTCACATTTTTCGAATTAAAGAGTCGCATCAGTTTGCGTCTGGAAGAGTAGAGAGGAGAAGACTAGAGATCGATTAAACGTTAGTTCAAAGTCGTATGGCAAATCAAAGCTATCGCACGGCGGTTTGGCTGTTGCACTGGCATTTTGACAGAAGCAAAGTATCTAGAGCTGACTGGCCGCTAGCTAAGGTTGGTTCGAGATACAGGATATGGCATTTGTATACAAAGCGTACAATCAAACATAGCTAGAAAAAAATGGGGTAGTGACTGATTTTTAATACGCCGGGTTTTCAGGAGCAGGAGCGCAAAGAGATTGTTTTTAGAAATCTGAGCCTCCAAAATCGCCTCCACCAAAGTCTCCACCACCAAAATCGCCGCCAAAATCGCCACCACCGAAGTCGCCACCACCAAAATCGGCTCCACCGAAATCTCCACCGCCGTAGTCACCACCGAAGTCACCATCTAAAAAACATCTTAATCCAAAATTGTAACTAAAATTTTTGAAACAGTTAGTAACGCCATTTGGGCTGTGTTGGAAACGGATTCCTTTAAAATTAACCTCTAGTCAAACCCCTTATACCGATAAAATCTATAAAATTTTAATTTAAAGATTTAAAAATTGGTATCAGAAGGGTTTTTTTTGCCTTGTGTTGGAAATATAAGCAATTTTAAGTTGGGAAAACGGCTTGAATTCGTCAAAATCAATGAATTTTTCGCTTAATTTTCGGTATACCGGCTGATAAAAAAGATGGTCATTTGAAAACACACACCATTATTGCCAAAGTTGTCTCCATTCGGGTCATGATCATTGTAATAACCATCATTTCCATCCTAAAATTACGCGTTAACGTATTCTCTCAATTTTCACAAACCCCAACCGGCTCGGCGGAAGCATTGCTATGGTCCTCAATTGCATTATTCGTGGTGTTTCCATCGGGTCCAGTGTTGTAGTAGTTGTTCGTAATGTTGGTATCATTGTCCTAAGCCCATTGTTTTAATCGTATTTCGTCTACTTACGGAATAGTAGCTACCGCCACCGTATCCTCCACCGTAGCCTCCGCCATATCCGCCGCCAAATCCTCCACCGAATGGGGATCCAAAACCTCCAGAGTAATGAGGGGTGAAGAAGCTGCCGACACCTTAAAAAGATATAATTAAAATTACTATAAATATATTAATTATAAAAATAAATTATCAAAATTACTATTAAACACTGAATTAAAATTAGCAAATAACTATTGTACGTTGCATCTTTAACCCTAATATATTCTTTAATGTCACCTGCTTCAGAGCAATCAATTATTTTTAAAACTAAGATAAGATAATTTCCAGCTGCTTGTTAATACCTACCGTATCCCAGCAACGATCCCATCAAGAGACCAGAACCAAGGCCGAGCCCGGAGCCACCTCCCAAGAAGCTGCTACCGCCTCCACCGTAACCACCTCCACCGTAACCACCACCGCCACGGTCTTGGACGATCACTAAAACCACAAAAATTACATCTACAATCATTATTGTAATACGGTAACAAGGAAAAAATATCCAACCTGTAGTGTGAGACGGGTTTGAAGGAGCGCCACCTCCATATCCTCCGCCACCGTTGTATCCTCCTTGATATTGTGGGGGTGGAGGTCTGAAAATAGTGATTAATAATATAAATAATAGATAATATAAATAATAGATATGAATTGTTAATAAAGAAATAAATTAAGACAGTTTACTTACCCATATCCTCCTTGTTGCTGACCGGCGTAAGGTGGTGGAGCTGGGCCGTTGTTATAAGGTTGGTAGCCGCCTGAAAAGATATTTTTAGGTCAAGTTTGTATAAAGTATACAAAATATATAGAATTCTGTATCATACCTTGTGGCTGTCTTGGGAAGCCACCATTGGAAATTGGTGGATTTTGAGGGTAGCCATTAGGTCCTGGTGGGGGAGCATCGGGGTATTTGCCGGCTGGAGCTGAAACAAAAGTTAAAAATTTTATAAAAAACTTATAATTAGCCTAAAATAAGATTATAACTTACCATATCCACCACTATTGGCATTCGGTGGAGGCTGTTGAGCCTGCGGAGGTGGTGTCGCTGGTTTCGGCAAAGTTTTCATAATTTCGGTAAACCAGCTCCTGAAAAATATGCTTTAATGCTAAAATTTTACTCTCATACCGTAATCCTAAACGTAAATATGCTAGAATTAATAAATGCTGATCTACGTCCACGCTAGAAACGTGTGGGAGTAGATTTTTAGCTAATTTTTAAGCGCTCGTCCACACGCCTTGTGGCCAGCGCCCAAAAAATTTCCAAAAAATGGCGTGGGAATTATTTTTTGATTCCGAAAAATCCCATGCTTCTTGCGCGTCTGTATACAAAGAAAAAGAAAGGGAATTTGTGGAACCTACTCCAAGTCGTTGTCAGATCTGAAGAGTAGCCAATGGACCGTTTCGGCCCTGGGGTCCATGCCGATACCAACCAGGTGGTGTACAGAGTAGTCGTCCGGAAGGCTGGGACGGCGAACTTAAAAAAAATAGCATAATTGTTTATAATAAAATTAACTAAACATTCTAGTAAATTGCTCACCTGGCATACGGTCCGTCATCAATCCAACGCATAGATATGGAACCACATCTTTCAGAAGTACACTTCCGGCCGGTTTACGATCACCCTGGAAATTGGCAATAAAATTATAAAATTGTTGAACCACTGATTTTGTTGAGTCTCATTTCTATCTTTCAAAAAATACCTTCTCGTCATACCAGCACAGCCTGGAATCCGAAAACAGCACCACCCAGCTCTTTTTCCATTTGCTGCCGAGCAGCCCTTTCTTGTAGCGCATCACATCACCTTCTTTAAGTTTTCGAACGTCCATTTCTGCAAAAAAAAAATACGTAAAAAGTAGAACGGATATAGCTATAGAAACCGTCCTTGAAATAAAGTACACTTCAGAAAAAAGCAACAAAGAAAACAGTAAACACATTCGAAGAAGAGAGAAAATTGCAAGCAACTTTTGGGTCAATAGGAATGTCGAAATCAAGGATCTATAATCATAAATTAAGAAATAAACCTATGTTTTGTTAATGTTGGTAAATCGGCAAAAATGGAATGTTCATTAAATATATAAACTAGCCCGACAAGCAAACCAAACCCTATAAAAAAGCCAATAGGAAAGGCAAAAAATTCGAAAGAACCAGGTTATAATCAAGACGTTCTTAAATTTTAGGTCAATAACAATGTCGAAATCTAGATTCTCTGGCCAGAAAATAAGAAACAAGAAGCGATATACGTATTTCAAGGTTCTAAGAACCCAAAAAAATCAATACAAACAACATACTCCATCAAGAGAAAAGTGTAAAGTATTACGACCACCAATATTTCTGTATGCGCGTTCCTGTGTGTATGTGGGGTTGGGGGTCGGGAAGAGGGGGGAAAGCTTGTTGTTTGGGGGGGTGGCAGTAAGGGGGAGTGAGGGCATCGATTCTCTAGAATCTCTCTTATACCCCCACTCTCTCGCCACTCTTTCCGTCTTTTCCCTCTTTCCGCTAGTTGCCTCCCGATATTTACCCCGAGCCTGAAAACGGCTGCCGCTTGGGGCGGCTGTGGAGGGCTATTTCTCTCCATGGTGACCATTTCGAAACAATTACGTTTGTGACGCGTGATGGTGGATGAGTCATAGAACTATGACGAATGAATAAGAGAGTCTGAAATAGCTGTTTATGCAGAGTCCTCTTAGAATCGCCGTTGTTAGATTCTGGATTCGATTTCTGGACGAAAAATGCGTACTTTTCCTATGTCAGAAGAATTACGTGTGTGGCGCGTCACTTTATCTGGGTCATAGAACTACAAGAAAGTAATAAACGTTGAGAAATAACTATTACTAATAACATACATGTAGTTTTTGTTAATAAAGATTATGAACAAAAATCATGTCTTCGTCATCTTTGGATCTCCGGCTTAGCTTCTTATTCAGACTTTTAATACGGCTACTTGGTACTTTAAAAAGCTATCCTACTATATATAAAAAAATAGTGTCTGTGTGTTAGTGTGTGTGTGGCACTTTGCATGCAACTTCCGTCAGGGTGTCCGGAAAATATCTCAAGAAGGGAAGGGTATTAAGCAACGTATGATACGTCATTAGATGCGTAATGGCTCTGGGATGACTGCACGCATATCAAATCTTGCAAATCCCGCTATTTTCTACATTAAAATTAAGTTTTTGTTGAAAAAGCGGCCGATCTCTTTGTTAGGAAAAATTAGCATACTCCGGAAGTGGCGTTGGCCTATATATAATGCGAGAGAAGGGCTTTTGCATTTTTTCAATGCAAGCATTAGAGAGACCTATGCAGAGCGAAGAATATGATGGGTTAGACGGGGCCAGGGTTGAAAAGTCGCGAAGCGGCTTTTCAACCCTGGTGCTTTAATAAATGGATATCATAAATATCAAATATTATCATTAAATAATGTAAAACATGCCTCTGCTTTTTGCAGAAATCAAAACAGTACTTTCTTGCCATTCCCGACTTTTAGTGTGAAGTCCGTGCCAAATAATAACACTTTCATACCTTCGAAAATATATTTATGATGATGTAATTTAACTGGAGATCACAGAATGGCTGATAAACATACGTCATAAACAAATGTGCATAAAAAGGAGAAACATACATAGTGATCAAAGCTTTCAACGGAATGGCACTTTGGAAATGTTGATTTTTATAAGGAATTCGGCCACATTGAGCAAACATTTGCAAATTCAGATTTTATGGTAGTAATAGAAGACCAGAAGTGATATGGCGAGATAAAAATGCTGATAATTGGATGAAGCAGTGAAAGAGTCACGATTGCATAGATCGGAATTGTTGCAGGCACACGATTCCTCGACGTATGCCCCTTGAAGCCATTTTTTTGAGCAGCCGAGGTGTATCTGGATTTTTTTTCTTAAAATTTGCATAAATTTTTAGCGAACCTGATCACTATGTGATACATTAAGACATCCTTGCTTTTCAGAAGTGATTGGTTGCCCTGAAAATCTTGGGTTTGCGAAGAAATAGGGTCAATGGTAAAAACCGCTGCAGTAACGCCCAGTTCCCGATAATAAAAGTATCTACATTAAAATAATTGACAGGATATGATAGCCCTAACAAAACTACATCTCCTATCCAAAAAGCAAAAAAGATGACCCCGGCCGGGATCGAACCGGCGACCTTTCGCGTGTAAAGCGAACGTGATAACCACTACACCACGAGGCCTGTGGGGAGAGAGGACTGGGCGGCCCTCGTCCCCCTGCGCCCCCCAATCCCCCGCCCACAGGGCTCTCGTACTCCACTCCCAGAGTCCAAAACAGGATGCAGATGCGGTTTTAATTCTAATTAATTATATCACCTCCAGGGAGTATATGTTGATGACGTGCAAAAGTGCAGTAGTGCCCTCTACATCGATTCTGTTTGCAAGAAGCTGTCACGGCAGAATCTTGCGTTGTTAATTCGCAATTGAAACATTGGCGGAGTGGGAGATCGGGCATAACTCTACATTTTGCAATTCAGGATTTTAATTAAACATAAATTTACTTACGAGGTAGTTTGGGTATTACGATATGCCTGTCGTACTTGATTGCAATAATTTCTATTGCAAATACAATGCCGTCGCGGGACACCGGAACCTCTAGAAATGACGGATTATTTTTGTTTTGTCCTAGAATTAAAATTTTTACATGCAATATGATTTAGATGCAAATTACCCACCGACTCATCGTTATACAAAGTTTGCTGGTGTGAAAGAAGAGTTCTGGGCCTTTAAAAAAGAATGGAAGGGACGGAGGTCCGTAGCCACAGCCAGATGCTCCGGTGGTGGAATCCTCATGGCACCTAAAAACAGGAAAATCATGTAAAAAATAAAATTAAAATCTACCAATGTCCTTGGCAGGTTTCGCTGCAATCTGGGTCTCGTTCCGAACATTTTCGGCATGTCAAATTTTTGCGGTATTGTAGATTGTGGGAGAGGAGGAAGATATGGTCGTTGCAGAATTTGCCTGAATTTAATTCTGGATGCTAGAAAATTGTATTTTAATCTATTTTTTAGAAATTTTACGAATGGTACACTTGTTGGAGTCCAATTAATACAAATTAATACAACCTACCGTGGCAAATACACTGCAAATGATCGGCAAAATGATCGTAGTCGCAATTTGCCTGCGTTCGAGAAGGGCTTTCCACACATCCCTTAACAAAATTTGCATATTTGAACCGTAGTTTCTCAAGCCCGGTTTACAAACTCAATAAATAGATAAGGAACATTTACCTAAACCATTGAAAACAAAATTACCTTGGTTATCCTATAAACCCCTCTCGTTTCCGTCGGTTTCCGCTCGATAAAACAATGTTCCGCGGCACATTGGCCTGTCTAAGGCGGTCAAATTAGTTTGGATTTGGATAATTAGCATACCTGGCAATTACAGGGCTCTGAATGGCAAATGCCCGAGCACGAGTAGCACATTTGGGTGTAGGAGGTGGAGGGGAGCAGACCGAGCAACATCACTAACATCAACCACATCGCATGGCCCAACTGAAATGTAGAAAATGTTAATAAGGAGAGTTAAGGTATAACAATAAACAATAGATAAATAAAAATGTTTAAAAAATGGAAAGCGTTTAAGAAATATAGAAGAATTTGGTGATTAAAGTGATTGGGGAGAAAGGCCTGGATTGAAATGAGGTATTTACAATTACATCTTTCTAGCTAATGGCCATGTAGTTATAAAATTGATAGATATGTTTTTAAAGGAAGATTCCGCGTTCGTTCCAAAACCCAGGTCGGCGGCAAGAATTCGGCTGCCGGCGGCCGCGACCTCCTACCCTTCATATCCCCTCGCCCCCCTCCCTTCCAACATCGTCCCATGGCCGAGTAGTCTAAAGCGCTTGCCCCAGTCGAGCGTCCGGGCTCGGTTTTGCCCGACTTTTAGCACCTACCGTCACCCGGCATTCTAAAACACAATTTGTCTAAGATTCGAATAAAGATTCGAATTTCGACAAACTTGGGACTCGAATGGCTATGGATTTCCTATGGATTTTACAACGGCGCCACCTTTCTATGGCGTAATGAAATATTTTTCTGAAGGCTTCTAACGCCCGCGTTGCGTGTCAAGCTATTCTAATCTATAAAATTAGCTACTCGGCCCTTTAAAACAATCCCTATATTTAGTATATCTGGCGGAATCCGTGTGGGAGCCTGCGAGGGGATAATTGCTTGGCCCCTATTTTCACGTCTCGCCCGGAAATTCGACTACAAAACCGCGCCTATCCCGGGCTACAGTAGCCGCCATAGCGTTATTAGGCATCGAACGGAAGTGTCACGCGATGGGGAGCCAAAAGAATAGGGGACTGCGCTGTTATGCAAGCTTTGCGAGTAGCTGATATGGAAAGACAGGAAAATTACGAGAGCTTGTAAATCTATAGATTTCGGATGACAGAATTTATTGAAATATGGTGATTAAAAAACAGAAACGCTTGGCTTATCAATATAAGAGGGACTAGGATAGTTTATATAAAAACACAGTAAATTGTGCGCAATAGAAGAATTTCGGAACAATTCGGAATAATAATGGGACACTAGAAGAGGGTGTAGAGGGGTCGTGGAGGGTTGGAAACAATTGCCTCTGCTATCCCTTTACAACATCCCACTGGTCATCAAAGAAGAGAAAAAGAGGAAAGAAGCGAAGAGAACGGTGCCCACATTGGCCAGCTGTTCCTTTTTGACATTTCTGGACAGCAGGAATTGCGACAATTTTGTTATGGAAATTTGGCCGTTATATACTATTTTGGTGACGTTTTCGTAAAATTAAGAAAGATGGGAAGCTAAATGTACCCTAAGAAATTGAAAATAAAAGAATCTGCGGATTTATAGACTTCAAACTTTATTTGTTCAAACAGATAGTAGGCGTTTTGTAAAAAAAAAATCTGCAAAACGCAATAAAATTCCAGGAATGCAACGCAAAGCAAAAACTGAAGCCACGATCTCGACAGAGCAAGAGGAAGGGCAATTAAAAATTGGACTCGCAAAAATCGAGGGCAGAGATGCCTTCCCGGGGTACGTGGGCGTGTATGTTAATTAAGATGGGCAGTAGGGATAATTGTTGAGAGGAGGGTTTTGTGGTTTCCTGCGTTCGTCAGAGACCTTCGAATAACGGGAAATTATCGAAATCTATAAAAACAACATAAAAATAGGGTTTATAGCTGATTCCGCAGGAGAACTCTCGGTCCTCAGGCTGGCAGGCGTTCGGTTATACCTTTCAAAAAAGGCCACTCTGGCTGATGAGTTTGTGGGTTAGCGGGTTGGGTCGTTAGCAAAACAGCCACCACACGCCCCATTATGTTTTCTTAACCGAAAGAGAAAGAAAGATCCGAGCCTAAGATTCCGATACCCACACGCTCACACTCTTCAGCCCCTCAAAAAATCCACTAAAATACTCACCACACCCCACTCTTCCCATCCACAAATAATGCAAGAATTACCCTCCGGGCCCATCATCCTTCTGAGATCCTCGGAAAACAAAAATTCGGTGCCCGAGGATCGAGGCCAATTATTTATTTCGTTTCCTCCCATTAGCCGGTTGGGGCTGGGGTGAGTTGGATTGATGCAAAAACGGAAGAATGGACCGGTGAATGCTATTGAGCATTGCACAAAAAACACGAAATTCGTATGCGAGTGGGTGGGTGCGGGATACGAGAATTAGTTCTGAAAATGGATTGGATTTGGATGAATTGTAGGTAGCAAATTATTTTTAACGCGTGTTTGGTTATATTCGCTTTCGTTTTAATTTGCTGCTAATTTTTTAAGGAAGCAGTGGATATTAAAACCAACAAATAGAAATTCATGTGAAAAATACAGTAAAATTAGCTATTAAATATTTTACCAGACTTAAATTACACTAGCGTTCATGTGTAGGATTCCACCAGACCACCGGAAATCAGGATTATTGCAGATGGGGGATTCTTTAGGCAGAAACAGCAAGGATTCACGTTGGGGATTAGCGAGTTTCTATAGAAAAGTTCCAAAAAAAGTTGGAGAATGCTGATATCACGTCTAGTTTTTTCATATTCATTATCCTACAGTAATCTTTCCAAACCACAACCATTGAAAAATAACGTAAATATGAAAATCTAGTAAATTCTCTTAATTTGACGTGATTGGTCGAACGAAAGGGAGAGTGGGGCTCCCCGTCGCGTGGAGGTGAAGCCGGGGCGGTCGCGTTTTTTGTGTGAGGGTATTTCGAGACAAATGCCTTGAGGGTTCGAATGAAGGGAAGGGGCTCTAAAGACCTGAAGAAAAGAGAGGTAGGAAAGGGTCTCTGATGGATTGGCACCGATGGATGGGCCTCAAACGAATCGACGAAGGGGGGCATTTCAGCTCTCAATATTGACCTCCAACTGACACCTTTAGGGCGGACGCGCCCAATACTAACACTTCGGCATCTAGCCGTGGGTATGCAACTAGGTTGGGATACACATTGACGCGTTGGAGATAGGCTTAGCTTAGAAGTAAGTTCAGCTTTGCCTCAGCTTAAGTAAGATTAGGCTTACCTTATGCTTGGCTTAGCTTAGACTTAGCTAGGACTTAGTTTAGCTCGATTATGATTTATGGCCCGATCGGGTTAAGCTGATAAAATCTGATGATAATGAGCGACGGATAGAACCGGAGAAAAACGGAGAGGGAGAGTGAGAGAGCGAGAGAGAGAGCGAGAGAGAGAGGGAGAGAGAGAGAGAGAGAAAAGCGAGAGACAGGGGTTGATAGCAACAAATTGAATGATGTTCCTATAGGAACATCACCGTTCTATAATACAAGCCGATTTAGATCTAAAGTCTTACTCACTGGGTATAAATACCATAATTTTACCTCGATTCAGGACTCGACTCAGGAAAAATTCCACTTAAAGCTCAATCCTCAAAAACGTAAAATCCGAACAGCCGTTCCAAAACGGCATCCCACAAAATGTGGTTGCCCGGGGCCTAAAGCTATGAAAGAGTAATATTTGCTATGGGTGGAAGAGACCGATGACAATGGGCCCTAACAAGTCACAAAATTGGGGTCATGCCCTGAAGAAGGAGGGCCTGGTCCCTACCCTTCTCCATTCCTCTCTATTCCCGGGCTCCTCGAAAACCGGATGTCAAATTCGAGCCGCACGCAATGCAACAATCAACTTGTAACCACGAACAATGGGACAGGGAGAAGGAGCAGCAGGAAGAGCAAAGGAGAAGGAGCTAATGCTCCAGAATCATGTCGGATTTGACAGAAAGAATTGTGTAGCATTATTAAAAAACAAGAGTAGTTAAATGCGCCTGCTTAAAATTTAATTAGAAACCGTGGCTTCAATAATATATGGCCAGACAAAACTATATAAACCACATCCCGGCCTACAACTTTTCAGAGCATTTTGTGCGGCCTGCTGGAAATACGAGACAAATTTCCGGTCGGCTCATCGGAGAGGCTGGATCTTTAAAGGAGGCTAGCTTCGAAATTGGCCTGCAATAGACAAATATATTTTTAAAAAGAATACTAATTTCAAACGGAGCAGAAAGACCGGAAGTTATTCTAATTGTGCAAGTCTTGAAAATCTGTAGGTGTGACAAAAATGGAATTTTGAAAATCGGCAAGGCTTACCAAGTTTCAAGTTTTTATAAACTCTCAAACGCGATGTTTTAATGAAAATCTGGGTGCATTAACTACAGTATAACAAAGATCTGGGCCGCAATTAAACGGATCATATAAACTGAAAAATGATCGAAAAATCCCAAGAGTTAAAATTTGCGCATTATTAGTTATACGAGCCCTCCCGGGCGTCATATTCACCTAAATACCAAAACCTGATTTTTGCGATGCGATTCCAGATACATTAACCATAGTACAAAGAATTTGTGCCCCAAATTCCAAGCCGGGCCGCTCCACAGTCTATGCGTATGCTGTGTTCATTGGGCGAGGAGAACAAGCTTCGTCATGCGCGCAAAATTCCTCTCCCGCTCCCCCAAATCCATTCCACGCTTTGCAGCCGATGCTGGCCGTGTTGCCTCTCAATCTACACCAACAAATTACCGACATTTCGAAGGAGGCGAAGAATTGCCTAACGAAATCTGAAACGGCTTCGGGTAGAATGGAATGGGCTGGTGATAGTACTACAGCGGAAAAGAGAAGCAGAAATAGTAACATAAAAATAGGTGTGGTCTTTTTATTACTATAGGGTTGGCTTTTCCAGGTATTCAAATGCTGAAAATGAACACCAGTTTATCGTTGGCTTGCGTTTCTCGACCTCTTTTTCCATTCCATTCCATGCCTCTCCTTCTCTCTCGATTGACATACCCTGGGGGCAATAATGTGCAACCAACCGACCGGAACACCAAAATTAGCCATATATTGGACTGGATGTTCATATGGGATGGAAAAGAAGGAGGAGGAGGAGGAGGTTGGGTTTAAATAAAATTGCGGAATGGAATGAGAGAGAGCGAGAAAGCCGCAGACAGAGAGAGAGACCTGTTGTGAGAGAGAGAGAGCGAGAGAGCGAGGGAGAGAGGGAAGGAAGGAGTTCCAGTAGCATTTTAGGGCAGTGGCTCAACTGTACATAAATTTTCCCTCTTTCTCTCTCTCTCGCTCTCTCTCTCTCTCTCTCTCTCTTTCTCTATTCAAAACCATCATCAAAATGCCATTCTCTTTACCGCTTCCTATAGACTCCCCCTTCTTCCCCTTCCCTTTTTTTGAATGGCATTGAGAAGGAATGAGAGAACCGAAAGGGTGGAACACTCTCTTACCGGTAGATAGGTGGTGCTGTCCACTCGTCCTCTCTCTTGGATTTCTTTATTATTGATTGATTTTCCAACAATTTCCTGCCAGTCGTCCCGGTCCCCCCGAATTCCAAGCTATGCCACCCACATATTGGCGGAATGATTCCTGAGAATGCTGGGCATCTACCGCGGGCTGTTCTCACCAAAATCCCGATCAGGTGGGTTGGGTGTAAAAATAGCTTTGTGGATTAGACGCCCTCGTTGAGAATCCGGGGTTTAAGCCCTGTTGTTGGTATTTTACAACCGACGCTTATACTTATAATCCTGGTTGGAAAGCCCTACAGAAAAAATGAAGTGGTTATTGATTTTTATGTTTTAATTATTTATATTTAACGCGATTCATCGGCTGGGATTAAATTAGAATGCTAAGGTTTGTTTGCAAGAGGGTTTTCTTCTAATTTTGGAGCCTTAAAAAGTGTTTTTGATGAATTATGCAAATTATGTCTAATATCTTAATGCTCAGGTTTAACGTCAATTTTATAGGTATTTTCTATATTTTAGATATGTCCTATTGGGAGCTACCCTAATTACCCTACTCATCGCCATCCAACCTCTAATCTGCACTTTTATATCAATAATAGACAGTAAGTTTTACCTATAGTACTTATGATCTATTTTACATTATTTCTTTATATTGACATAATTTTTAGCCCTATTCCAACGCGCCATCTGCTTCATCTACCTCCATAAACACGACAGTTTCGCGAAGGATGAAGATGACTATCCCATCTTCTGGCGCCTTATGCTCGAGAACTTTCTGTCGACCCGGAATATCATTGATATCCCCTCCCTTTTCATGTTCTTCTTTTATATGGTGGCATTGCTTTAAGTGTAGGGTAAAAACATTTATTAGGATACACATAAGCGCCGTTGGATACTAAATACAGTACTACCCGGAACACCGAACTGTTTTGGACCCGAGATTTGCGAAATGATAGCCGTGAATATTTCAAAAACAGGTTGAAGGGTTAGGGAAGAGGGGAGAAAGAGCGAGATAAAGAGATAGAGAGAGAGAGAGAGAGAGGGAGAGCGAGAAGGAGAAAGAAAAAGATTATGATAAAACCATACTAGACATAATCTATATCATCCGGCCTAAAACATGACAGCACTGAGCTCTTCTTCTTTTTGGGCTCCAAAGACAACTTCTCGAATTCTTCAAGTGTCTCCAATGGTAGTGCAGGTTTCCATACTAAAACACACTTTTTAAACCCCTGTTTTAGACCAGGTCTTTGCGGTTCAGACCCTCAGAAAGCGCGCAAAAATATCCGCTTTTTTAAGGGCTTCCTAATCACCAAGATTTCTGAACATCGGTGTGAAATATTTTTCATCGAAATCACGGGTTAAGGGGTTTTAATTGATTCTCATCCCCTCGTCATAATTTGCAAAATATTCAAAAACTGACTTGTCGGCTTGGAATGGCCGTCTGAGAGCTCGTCTGGGCTTAAAAATACGCCGTCAAGCACCCCCTCTTCGGCTTGGATCTCGTATACGCGGCGGGGTAATGGGCGCCGGACTTCTGGAATTAATTATATGCAACAAAATTACAATATAGACAAACCAAAACTGTCGATCTCGGTTTCGCGGTCTCGGAATTCTTCTTTGCACATACGGTAGAGGGAGAGGGCTGCGTAGACGATGATGGAAATTGCAACGAGGAAGAGGAGGACAACGATTGGGCCACCGGTACTGTAAAGACATTTATGAAGTTATTTACGCAAATAAAATATAATTTTAATAGGAATCATATTTTGCATAAAATTGCTTTTGTATTTTATATATGTTATTATATATAGAAAAATGCTTTTACTTACCTATCCACCAATCCAAAAATAATCTCCGTCACAACGCCAAAAAAACTCTCTTCTTGATGCCGTCGAGGTGTCGGAGCCATCCTATAAAACACATCTTCTATACCTCCAGCCCAAAACCAACTTCTTAGGATAATATCTATTTAACATAATAGTAAAATAACGTTCAGAAGAAGAATCCAGAATGCCTGAGGTAGTAGAGAGGATCAAGGAAACTTAGTAGCAAATGGGGGTGGAGGGGTAGTAGTCTGTGGGAAGAGTTAGACTAGTCAATACCTCCACACTCGAGATTTTTGACCGGAACATGAGGGATTTCGAATATCCGGCCTCGAGATAGACATCACTGGCTTCCCCCACTTGAAAATCGGGAAATTAAAACGTGGGGGACTTGTTAAAAAGTGGGGGGGGGGATTGTGGTGATAAATGGTTCACGTACTTAATAAAGGATTGTAATATGAAGTGTTTAGTCTTTTGTTTCTGAGAGGAAAAGTAAAGGCCGTAAACACTTCCTTTTTCTTAGAAACAATTCTGAAGCAGCGCAAGGGCTACGATAAGCCAAATGAAGGTAATTTAGCCGCCCGGATCCCGAGAATAAGAGCCATTAAAAGCGAGAGAGAGAGAGAGAGAGAGCAATGAAAGATAAATGCTTACAATATACTTCAAGAAAAGTTTATTTTCGAATTGCTTTGTATGAGGCTCTTAAACGTTAAGGTAAGTAATTGCTATAAAGTGTCCTAGATCGAGTGGGGGACAGAGAGACGGTAAGAGAGAGAGAGAGAGAGAACGAGAAAGAGCGCAAGACAGTGAGTGTGAGAGAGCGAGAGAGAGAGAGAGAGAGAGAGAGAGAGAGAGAGAAGGATAGAGAGCGAGAGAGTTAGAGTGAGAAAGTGATAGAGTGAAAGGGCGTGAGAGAGCGAGAGAGAACGAGAGAGAAAGAGAACGACAGAACGAGAGGGAGTGCGAGACAGTGAGAGATAGAGATAATGAAAAGCAATAGAAAGAGAGAAAGATGAGATACATAGTACTGCGCGAAACAAACTCCAGATCCGGAACCCTTGCAATAAAGCCCCAAAAAACTTTGATTTCAGCTTCCTCCACCCCCCTTCAATTGGCCGCCTATTGTTTCGTTGCGCTTCCAAAAATGACTGGCAGGTCTCCCTCCGCCTTTGGATATGGAAAAGCCGCGACAAATCTCACAGCACCGCCCGTTCCCACCACCCCATTATAAGCTGCCACGCAATCCTGACGATTCGACGGGTGGGGGAAGGCAACAACAAATCTTTTGAGGTGGCTTGCAGAAGAGGTGCACTTCTGAATAGGGAGGGGTCAAAAACTACAAGGTTTGGTGTTATGAGGGATTGCTATTTCTTAAGGCGAATGGTTTTAACAATTTAAATTAATTAATTAAAATTGTTTTGGTTTAAATGGGTCGGCAAGGCAGAGATACGGAGTTTGTTGGCTATGGATTTTATAAAATTGATCGCGGCGCGACTCGCCCTTTTTTGCATGAATAGATAGACAAAACCACGCCTTGTCAGTCCCTTTAAAAACAAAAACTTTCCACGCGCCTTCTACGCGCGTGAACGTAAATCCGTTACCTAATCGAATACAGCTGCTATGCGCCTGACATGTTGCGTGTCGCGGCCGCGGAAAAATTCGCCGTATTCAAAACCTAAGTTTCCAGCTGATTAAACGGTGAAAAAATTTTTCTAGAAAGCTCAAATACTTTTCGACCCTGCCAAAACCAGGAAGTGTAAAATCCCAATAAAAGTTGGACCCCTCCCCTTTAGAGATCAATGTCAAATCTTTGACACAAAATGGGAATTTCCCCGTCCCTAAAGTGGGCCACCAAGCCAGCAGCTAAGAGGAAAGCCATTCTAAAATTTAATCAACCCCAACCAGGGAAACAGACGGAAGTAGCGGAAGTGTTTGCCCCTTGCCGCGGTTTCGGGAATGGAATACCCTACCCCTCCACGGAAAGGATGGGCGGATGAGGAGGACGAGAATAAGAGAAGGAGAATGAAGAGGAAGCAGCTTGGGTCTGGCTTTTAGGGGGATGAAAAGAGATTGAGAGGAGGATCCTCCTCCTCTTTCTAACCTGCATAATTGGGATGGGTAGGATGAGATGACTCTCATATCCCCCCAGACCGCCGACGCCAACGGCTATTATCATTTTGCGGGATGTGGATGTATCCAATTTAAGGGGTGAGTCAAATGTCTTGGAGGGAGTAGATTGCAAGGAATCAAGTATAATAGTGTAGTAGGGCCAAAGTAAAGAGACATGGAAATCTTGGTTGGCTATGAATTGTCCGAGCCGCGACTTGTAACGCGCATGCACACTGCCAGTCACGGAAAAAGCGCGATAGTCCATTACGAACTGTAAATAATTTGGTGTATTGCGTACTGTTGCTGTCACGTCCCCGTGACGACCACGGTTACCTAACCTAATAAATTCCCCAAATAACTATAACTCAATACAATCCGCTGCTACGAGCAGCCTTCTCCTTCTTTCCGGCCATCCTCAGAAGCCCGCAGTGCCGTGCTGATGGACCGTGCCCCTTCCCTTCTCGTGGGCGTCGCGATCCAGGGCCACAACATCGTGTTCAAGTACAAGCCCTCGTCCACCGACGTTCGCATGTCCACTTTGCATGCGGTTCCGCGGCATCCGGAAGGCGACCCTGTATTCCCTGCGTTCCCGACTATATAAACGCCCGCCTTCTTCCTCTCATCAAGTCAACATCTGCGTCTTCCCGGGTCTAGCAAGCCGTTCGCCACCGCGAGGCTAGTCTACTCTCCGGCCGTCTCCATTGCCTTCGTGTTCGCCTTCATCGCCATCGCCTTCGTCGCCTTTGCCCCAATCCCCGTTTCCCGGTTTTTTGCCGTGTATTCATAAAAGGGTACCCCACCGGGACCCTTGAATAAATCGTCCCCAAAAATCCCTGTCTTTTGCTCTCCCGGCTATCGAGTGCGCAAATTATTGTCACTGGTGTGACAGTTGCCCTCGCAAAAGGGCCAAATGCAAATAGATGTGAGGTTTCAATCAAATTAAAGGGACTGGAATAGCAATGGATTTTCTTCCGAGTCGCAAAACGCCACGCGAACGCGGATGGTAGGGCCGTATTCCACTACGCAATGTATAAAACTGAATGTAATGCGTACTCCGGCGTTGGAAAAGGGCAAATTGTCGATAGAAATGGGATCCGAATCAATTTAAAGGGGCCAGCAAGTCTGACTTCGTTATAGCATCCGTGGCCGCGACACGCAACGCGCCTCAGATTTGTTATCTAGAACCGATTGTATTCCATTCAGTAATGGCGCGCGCGGTGCTCGAAGATGAGCAAATACCACAGGAATTTATAGCCGTCCCTTCCCGAATCCTTAAAATCCAGCGAAATGGCTGTGAAAATTGACCCTGACTGGTATCACCTGTGTATAGAAAAATCGTATAATTCCCCCCAGCTCCCCTTACGCCAACAACCAGGAAACAAAATTGTAGCTAGGCGACAGCGATTTCCAAACCCTGTAAACATTTGACGTCGGCTTAAAAGGACAATGTGTTCCGGCCATAAAATTCCCAGGTACGCCAATATACAATGGATACAAATTAATGCCCACACACCCACGACCCCGATCTCGGCCGCCGATTTCCGGTTCTCGAAGACCGTGATTCAAACGGAAATGATGGTTGTTGACTCTTGGGGCCAATGATGGCGGGCACATAGTGGTCGGAAAGGGGGGGGAGGATTAACGTGTTTTGGAAAGTTAGACCAGATATCCGGATTCCGGAAAAGAGAGCTGGAGGCTTTGAAACGGTCGTGGTAAACTCAGAAATCCGCCCACATGCCTCTATATTGGAAAAGAACGTGAAAATGGAACTTAGAGCTTAGAAAAATCACGGAAAACTGGAGAACTCTCGAAAAATATCATCTTTTAAGTTCAGTATTTTTTAGAAGGCATGCGGAAACTAGAAAAATTTGGTTGGGTCTTTAGATTTTGTAGCAAGCTTGGGATTGCACCCTGATCTCAAAAACTGTAGAAAGAACAAAAACAGTAGAATCCTTGCAGCTATTTTTTCTATTAGCAAAAACCACTTCTAGGCTCAAGACCATAAAATTGTTCAGAATGCTTCAAAACTTCGAAAATCCAGTTTGAACCGAGACCTTTACCACCAGGGTTGGTCATTTTCGGATCGGACTGGATCCGGATCCGGATCCAGATCCACGGCGGATCCGATCCGATCCGGATCCAAGTAAATGGATCATGCAACCGAGTTAAGTGCTAATTCTTAGATGCAAAGATCAGTTCTGCCTCTGGGCTATGTTTTTGCGATTAACATGACCGAATCGCATCGATCGAGAATATTACTCCGGTCCCTTTTTTCCTCGGATCCGCATTGGATCCGGATCCGAGCGGATCCGGATCTGGATCTGGATCCGGATCCTACTGCGGATCCGATCCGGATCCGGATCCAGATCCGATCCGGATCCTTACCGATCCGGGTCCGTCGGTGAACAACCCTGTTTACCACTAATTGGAGAATTTAAAAAACTGGCCAAGGGCATTTTTCCCAAGCCAGACGTTTAAAACGACAAACTACAGATCACTAAAAACCTCGAAAATCAAGCTTCTCGCTGTTTTCCTCAAAGATTAATTGAAGCCTTAAAAATCGAGCGAAACTGCTTTACAACTACTTCTAACCTACGTTGAACCTCGATATCGTAATAACTTCCCCTACACCCAAAGCCTGACCTCCAGGAAATTACAGACGATACAACTCCAATTTCCGAATTCACAAAAAAACGGAAGCAAGATCCCCAAATTTCCGGCGGCTTAGCCCCCGGGCTACAAATTAATAAACGGACATGTGGTGTGGGCGGAAAAAGTGGGTTGTCTGAGACAGGATCTTTAAGGTCTTTTCAGATGTTCACTAGACAATGGCTGGTAATCCTAAAACAAAAGGGATTTTCTTTCGCAAAAAATTAGTCATTATTTCTCTTTGGCATATTCGGAAGTGGTGCTGGATTAAAGGGAGTTGGAAGTCTAATCCATGGAAAAATTTAGCATAGTGCTTCAAAATTAAAGAATTGAAGTTCATACATCGACGAGCCAGAAGGATGGGCTTCCGATTTGATGAAAAGCCGGGGAGGCCGGTTGAAAAGGAAAAAACAAAGCGGCTGGGTCTCAGGGGGGAGATTTCTCGAATGGGGGAGGAGGAGTGTGTCGGGTTCTGGGTTTAGGTTTAAAAGGGACATGGAGAGCTAAGAAACAAAATAGAAAGGAGACACGGCCACCAGAACACATCACTCTTTATTATAATGGAATGTGAGGGGATGGATTTGGACTTGAAATCCAAAGATCTTGGCCCAGGATGGTTACTTTAAAAGATTGGAAACTATTTACAGGGATGTAAAAAGGAATCATGCTGAACGTTTTTGCTGATTTTGCGGTACTGGACTGTTATCAGGGGGCAGCATTCATTTAGCATTCGTTTTCCCAGTGCGGCTTTATGGTCCTATAGTCAATAACAAACCATTTCTATGGCATTTTACACAGTTTTTAAATTTAAAAAGCCCATAAAAAGTCATAACTGGTTTAACACGACGACATCCTGACGACGTCCCTCTGATGGATAGCTAGACGTCTATCTCAAGAATGCACTTTTCATTAGGGCTGAGATTCCGGGGAATGAATCTGATGAGCCCTGCCCCCCCCCCCGCCGCCCTGCATAATAATCACACCCGAAAAAAAACCCCCGAGCCACAGAGTTACAAAAACGCTGAGTGCCCCAAGCGTTGCATTCCGGATTTGCATGTTTAGTTATACGGATTATTTTGGTTTCTTTGAACAAATATTTTGGTTTGGTCTGGATAGACTTTCGTGTATGTCTTTTTTTGTTTTTGGCCGATGCCAGGTGTTGTCGCTTGAGCGAGAGTTATTAATAAATTTGAAGGTAAAATGAGCTATTGCTGCCTTTAATAGGTAGCTTTAGCTGTCCTTGCGCCTTTAAGCATAATTTCCAGTCATTTTTGTGCGTTTTTAAACCAGAACCATTGTCCCTTGAAAATCCGATTTTTAATTTCAGTGCCTCTTTCTTATAAGACAAGTTTTATTCAATTTTATACATGGAATTTTTTAGATATACGGCGGAAGTGGGACGTCACCATCGCTGCTCGTCAAACTAAAAATATGCAAATTAGTTTAACGACAATTTTAAATTACTAAAATTTTTTTGTATTCACTTACTCGCAAAGCAACCGCCACAATCGCATAATTTGGGTTGGGATGAATTCGGGGTGATCGTTGACCATTACAATTTCCTTCATCCGGGGGTCACTCCAGAAAGGGTTCGTCTAAAAAAACAATAAAACTACCGTAGCCCCAAAAATACCGTCGAATTTTTGGCGAATTTAATGGGGAACATGTAGTGGTCCCAGGTGGGGAGCATGTCGAGGGAGACTGGTTGAGAGGTTTGGAAGCTAGAAAAAAAGCCTTAAAACTGTTCATTTTATTTTTGTTAAACTATAATTTACATATAAATATAAAATATAAATTTAAGGTATATATTAAATATTATTACCTATCACGCATCGGGATCCAAATCATCACTTGCTTTGTATTATATTTCGTCTCATTTCTGCGACAGACACAAGGCTGGGCGGTATCCTCAAAATATTTCTTCGCCGTCTTAACCGGTCTAAAAAATATTTTAAATATCATTTCTCATTTGATTACGATTATGATTTAAGTTATATTAATTTTCTCTATTTGGTACTTACACGGAAAAATCCGTAATCGCCTGGTTTGGCCTGGTATCCATGAGATCAGCATTTTCGGGGAAAGCATCCGTGCACAGTGTTGGTGTGTAGGTGTTAATCCAGGTGTTATCATAATAGATAATTGCTAAAGTGCTGTATTAATGAATATATTAGTTTCTTACAAGCGACTCGGGTCTGCTGTTGATCTAGCAAATTATTCATGTAGCAGCCGGTGAGGGTCACTTCCGAAATTGGGTCCCACCAACGGGTTGGCATTACTGTCGTGAAGCCAAAAAGGACATCGTGAATCTGGAAATTTAATTGAAAATTTAAATACTGTATATTAATATAAAATTTACTATAGAATCCCTACCATCCTTGTATCATTTTTCGTGCCAGAATTGTCGACCATAAACACCACATCGGCGTTGATTTTATCGGTGCAAAAGAGGGGCTCGTCTGAAAAAAAAATTATACCTATTTTTATAAATTTAATTTTGTTTTTATTTTATTATAATCAATAAAATAAATTAATAACTCACGCAATGCTGGAATATCACAGAAATACGGCAGCTCACTCGCGCAGCCTACAGTAACCCATTTTTGCGTCTTTCGACTCATCGCCACACAATCGCCCAGTGTGGGTTGATCTGTAACTGGCTTACGGTGTTTGGGGCACTTTATAATATCCCTACCAACATCCCAATTGAAATATGTCACTTGGTTGAGGCCATTATCATCATCCGAATACCTCCAGCCATTTGTACCGTTGCGTACTATTCCGATGTAGAAATAATCAAATGTCATCGTTGGGGCTAAAATTAAGTACAAAAAATTTTTAGAATGCTAAAATTAAAAATAAGCATTTTATTCTTGCTATTAAAACGTACTGGTATTTGCAATATCGACGAGCAGCTTGTTGTCGAAAGCATTTTGAATTTGCACCAAGCGCCCGTTTCCGGCAAAACAGCGTCGATTGGCCATCGATTCATTTAATGCTGAAAATTTTAGAATATTTTGAGTAAATAACTAATAATAATGTTGATTATGTTTCTTTAATTCTCACATCTTTGTGTCACCAACGCAAAACAATTATCCGGATCGGCAATCGATTTTATCGTGCCGGAAGGGCATGTTGCCGAAAGTATTCCGACGAAAACAACACAGCATAAAACTTTGAATAATTTGTGCATAGCTTAGTGGTAAGACAGGGCCAATTTCGATCGGCTTCTGCCCTCTGCTGCCCCATTTTATAGGCCGGCAGATAACAAATCGGTTCTTGCAGTCACGTCATTTCTGGAAAACGAGCGTTGGCCCCACATCGGCTGATAAACGATCAGTTTTGGCAGATGGTTTTGCGAACTCTGGGTGTGGAGAGCAGGGTGGGAGGGCACACAATGCATCCAACAATTTTAATAGGATTTTTCTGCCCTGAATTGATAAAATTTCGAGGAAAATTCCTCATACTCGATCAGAAAATTAAAGGGACAGTTTCGGAAAGGTAAATCGTATCTAAAACCTTGGTTTCTTCATGTTTATTTCTTCAGATGTCCCACTCTCTTTAAAAGAAGTGTCTGTGGCCACGAGCTGAAAGCCTTGCCAGTCCCTTGAAATTTTCAATTCCGGTATACCTAGCTTCCTTTGGTTGGTTCTTATCGATAATATAAGGTTTGCTATTGCTCTCTTTAAATCATGAAAATCATTAGCTTAATATATCTTCAATTTCAAAGCTTACAAAATTACAGGATTTAAAAGAAACGAAGAATTAGGTTCAGTAAGTGAGATATTTCTGACTAGTGAGATTGGTATCTAACAAAAATCGCAACCCAGTCTTTCGAACTGTTACACTCCCTTTAAATACGATTTCCAGAGGTTTTGCTCAAGGCTTTTTGGTTTGCAAGTCAACTACAGTCTTCAAAATCCACGAAAAAACTCAAAACAAACTTTCACCCCTTCCTCCTCCAGAAAATCCGGTATGTTGCCACTTCCTTGCCCCACTGCACGGCGTGTCTCTTTTGATCCAGTTCTTTTTACGGGGTGCGAAGGATCCGATTGGCTTTGCTGATTTGCCTGGCAGAAGAAGACGAAGAAGAGCCCCGAGAAAAGCGGGTGAAAGGAGCAACAGCTCTTCTTTAGCACCCCACTCTTGGCTAAAGAAACAGAGAAGGCAGAACTGGGGATCCAGTTTTGAATGACAACCCCAGCCGGGTTATACACGCACAAAGAGGATATAGACATTGATTCACACGCCCCTATTTCTACTCCATTACTTTCCTATTTAACTCAATTTCGACGATGTGGCTGATTTTATTCTTTGTCCTGATTACCATCACCGCCTCTGAAAAAATTTCGGTCAACAAGAAGTGCCGCGATTTACTGGCTTGCGCAATTCGAAAGGAATGTGTTGCCCTTGAAGATGTGGTACACAAATTTGAAAACAAAACGGCGTCCGTGCAGATGTACAACGATTTGGACAAGGTCGGCATCTTTTTATGTTTTTTTATGCAAATTAGAGCGTGGATTACGGGTGTATCTTCTCGACGGGATGTTATGAGGAGTGTGAAGCTTGCCCACTTTGCATCTCCAGCAAGCAACAAGTTGTCGATGTATTGTCTGGAAATAAATTAGAAAATAGCGGTAGGCATAAAATTTGAACAGCTAAAAAACCATTTTAGAATCTTGTCACGAATTGATAAATTGTGCTGGGGAATGCGTAAAGCGATCTAGCAGTGATATTGATAAGATTAATCATTGTTTAAGGTAAGCTAAGTGAAGTTAATGGAAATATAATTGATCAATTCTCTTAGTTTCAGTAATTAATGATTTAATTAAGCATTAATCTTTATGCAAATTTAGACATACCTGCGCCTATTCCTGTTTTGACGGTTCTTGCCCAAAATGCTCGGCTTTTGTGACGAGGATATTTAATCAAATTTGTGTCAGCGGAGATTTGCGTAATAAAGTGGCTGGGTTTACGGTAGGTTGTTATAGAAATTAAACACTATAAATATATATTTTTAGGGCCAATGCCCTGAGTTATTCCGGGAAATCGTCTACGCTAAATTCAAGGCCGAGTTCGACGCACACGGGACGAAACCTATGATCGGGAAGCATGGAAATTGAATTAATTTATAAATTTGCATTTGGATTATAATAAAAATACCCAAATGTTGACACATTAATGAAAAAACCAAGTTGGTCCCAGGTGCCAGTCAGCGCTTCCAGACACCAGCCATGAATGATGTGTACCGGAAGGATTTTGGGGGTGGTGGTAGGCTGGCAGTGATGTTTTTGTTTGTGGGAATGACTGCAAAGAGATAGAGAGAGAAAGAGAGAGAGAGAGAGAGAGGGGAGAGAGAGCGAGAGATACAGCAAAGCCCTAAGGCTGCTAGGATCACCTTAGCCGTGTCAGCCAGCTTCAGCCAGGCCGGGGGGTTCGTAAGGCCACTCGAAAACTGGGGTGGCCCCCGTGGTGTTTATCCCGGGACCACATCTTCTCGTGTTTCGCTGGACGCCACATTTCGTCACGTGTATTTGCTTGATCTTTCAGATACTAAAGGGAATTCGCTACATTTTAAAATTTTAATTAAAAAATCTGATTTTTTTTTCTAATCTCGATATCAGAATGCCTAATTTTAAAAAGTAAAGCTTGTATTTTGCATGAAAATTAGCCTGTTATCTCGATATCGGATTAATCTGCATAAGTTTTATACTATGCATTAATCGTAAGTGGTCTGGCAACTGAAATTCCATGAAAATAATGGTAAAATCTAGGTGTGTTCAAGCTCATGGAAAAAAGTCTAATTTGCATGTTAAAGACGCTTATTTCTCACAAAAAAAAATAAGGGCAAAAAAAAATAGGTTAAAATACCAATTTACATCAAAAAGCGTCCGTTTTCTGTGCCAAAACACCTTACTTCCAGAATTTTCCGTAAAGCCAGGAAATTTTATCCCAGTTTTTAAATCCAAACTTTTTTGAATCTCCAAAATCGAACTTATCACGAAAGTGTGTCCCTTTTTGACAACCCCGCCCGCTAGAGAGTGTCAAAAATCGAGAGCATCGACAGGCGAAGAGAAGCGTCAGTTGGTGTATGAGGCATGGTTAAAAGAGATTCCCCCTTTGCTCTCTTTCCCTTTAGGCCCAAACCCGAGACATCACTCCCAGTTCTTGGTTTCCCCCTTCCCCTTCCTTCCCTCTAGACCCTTCCCCCTAGGGCCCCTCGATTTTAATGGGTCTTTAGTAGCTTTTTTCCACTACCCGCACACCGTTGACCAAAAGCCCATAAAATGTGCGGAGCCATATGTTCTCTATAGCGCTACGTACGTTCTCGTGTGTTTTGGAACGTTTGTGTACAAATTACGGCTACTCGATCATGGTCTCTGCAGCTTATTCGCCTTAAAATTACTTTTAGGTTAAACTAGTTTGATATATAAGCAGCATAAAAGGGATTTATCATTTTTATAACGATATTAACCTTGAATAATCAATATATTGTCCAATTGCCCAAAAAACCTCTTCTAGTCTCCCTTCAGTTCCCTTCAACATCCCGTTTAAATCATATTTTCCAGAACAGCCCAAAAATGCAGGTAAGAAGAAGGGCAAGCAGTGCTGGCTCGATTAGACGGAGCTCCATCTCAGCCAGAGACATCGAAGCAATACAAAAAGCCATTCAGGTTTATTAAATTAAAATATTTATCCCTCTTGAAACTATAGAAACAAAGAGATCTATCAAATCAAGTGGTGTCTGCGCTCATCGTGATATTGCCGATATTTTCCATATTCTATGCCCATTTAATATATTTGAAAGCTGGATCGATGGCGCAGGTTGGTGCCGATATTCCCTAAAGTTGATGTTTTAAATAATTATCAAATTTAGACAATATCCGGGTTTTTAAAACCACCGTATTTGCTATCGCTAATTCCACCACTATGCGATGTAGTTGCCTGGAAATGTATAGCAGTACTCACATCTATTCAACTCTTATTTTACTGGTTTTTACCACACGATTCCGCGCTAGTACTATCAACATCGATTGGTAAGCTTTTAGAAATCATAATATTCATATCAAAAAATTGATGCGTTTATTTAATTAAACTTTTAATTTTAAAAGCCTAATGCAACTTGTCGCTTTTTATTAAAAAATTTGGGCTTGTATTGTCCGTATTTATACCTTGAGTTTCAGGAGACCACAACAAATCGATAAATGGCTTTTCCTCATTCCTACTCATCCTCCTTCTATACCCATTAGGAGCTGCATTGAAATTTTACAGGTAAATTAACAAAAAGATTACGTTAAAAAATCAAAATTCAGACCTGATGTGATTTTCCTGCATTTCCATTCGATTCTCGGCTGCCTTGCGATATTATGCGTTTGTTTAATGCTAATTTTATACCTCAGCTATCGATTTGGCGAGAATAACACAAGTAAGTTCTTTAATTTCAAATTCTACTATTTAAAATTTGAGTTAACGAATTGTTTAGTCGATTCGCTTGCCGAATTTTATTTCGGGGTGGAGACGTATCCAACATGGGCCGAGATAGACGTCAAGCATTTTGTTCGAACTCGGATTACTCTGACTCTCTGGGCCCTCCACTCTATCACCGCTCTTTTCCATCAGAGGCATTTGAAGGGGAGCATTGATGGTAATTCATAATTAGAATTAGCAGTGATATATTTTTATTTAGGTTCTTCGTTGGCTCTGTGCCTGCTACAAATTTTCTACATTTTAAAAAGTATGTGGAACGAAGATTTGATGCTGAATTCACTCGATTCTCGACGAGCCAAGTGTGGATTTTATCGATTGTGGGGTGATTTGGTGGGCACAAAAATTTTATGTAGTAATTTAGCGTTTAGGTATTTTTCCCGGCCATCTATTGCGCGCCAATGACAACGATAATTCTTACAAAGACTCGATTGAGTCTCTTGGCTTATCTGGGGCTTGGGATGTTTGGACTGGTCATGGTGCCATTGATTTCATTTGTTGATCGGCAGAGATATGAATTTCGAATTAGAAAAGGTAGTTATTAAATTATTATAATCACTAAACTATGCAAAAAATGATTAATCCTTATCTAAATATAGTATTTATAATGAATGTATACAGGGTGTCCTCATCAAAACACCCCTCCAACTCAACTCAGAAGTATCAGATCGGAATAGCTGTTAGACCATTCGAAAGCCCCGGAAACGGCGAATTTGCCACAATTCTCGGAAACCATGTTTTAATTTAAACCCGCCAATCTACAAGCCGTTTTGTAAAACTTTACGGTTTCTCGAGGCTGCATACGAGCTAATTTGCCTCAATTTCTCCAATCAAAATGACCTGAAGTAGCCGTTAATCAGATACAAAGGCCGTTCCTTAATGTTTTTAAATGCTGTGTAAAAATGGCGCCTTAAAATAAAAAGATAGTTTTGAAACATTGTCTCAAACTCGCCGTTTCAAGGGCTTTCGAATGGTGTAACCATCACGCCGATCCGATGCTACTCCGTCGACTTTGAGGGGGGGGGGGGGGGGGTGTTTTCTATCGAGTTCTTTTATGCGGGTGACTTTTACCGTCGAGGTGAGAGGAGAGGAGAAAACAAGCGGTTTTCGTTTTCTCATTTAAGATTAGAAAGCAGTTTTGTCCGATACTTGCCTGCTAATTGCTGATCTCACACATCGATCGATTTTGTAAGAACACAGTTAAAGCGCTCGAGAAAGATGCATTTGGTGAAAAAGCAAAGAATTTGCAGCGGGCGAGATTTCCCCGTTCCCCGGTCTTTCTCCATCCTTTTAAGATCCAGCAGGTGCCTTTAAAATATAAAAAACAAAACTCTCGTATTTTTCCCCTTTTTCGAGAGCTGAAAATTGTAAAAAAGTCATTCCGAGCCGTCCTTTTTGTCTACCCCTAAAGGGTGTTTTGGAAGCCCAGAAGCTAATCATTTTTCATATAAAAGGTTTTGGATCCATCTGGCTTGTCTCGGTCATCAGCTTCTCTTCGCCACCCCTTACTCTATTCCCTTGCGCTGACTGTCCGTCTGACTCGACACCCACCTGGCCCACTTGGCCTCCAGAAAGGCAGCCCAAAGGGGCGTCCCTCAGCTGCTGAGCCCCGGTCAGCCGCGGTCTCGATATGACAGGCGTAGCTTTAAAAGCACATGCACTTTAGAAGGCATCCGAACGCCCGGTGTCAGTCCTTCGTAATTTTGGAAAAGCACCCAGGGCATGGGGTGCGCTATGAGAAAAAACCACGGCAGTCCGGCGTAGACAAAAATTGCTACACCATTCGAATGCCCTTGAAACGGCGAGTTTGCAACAATCTTCAAGACCATCTTTTAAGCCCTCTGATTTAAAAGCTGTAACATTTTGCGCTTTTTCGGAGTTGCATACGAACTGACTTGCCTCAATTTCTCCAGCAAACCGACCGGAAGTGACCGTTAATTACCGGGTGTACCGATTAAAAACACCCCATTTTAACTCGACGGAGAAGTATCGGATCGAAGGGATTGTACACGATGCGAAAGCCTTTCAATGGTGAGTTTGTAACATAAAAAATTATGGAACGGCTCATGCATTCAATTATCGGCTACTTCCGGTCATTTGCTACGGAGAATCTGAGGCAAATTAGCTCGTATGCAACCCCGACAAGCGGTAAAATTTTACAAAATCGCTTAAAAAATTGCAGATTTAAATAGAAACATTGTTTTGAAAATTTAGGCAAATTCACCGTTTCAAGGGCTTTCGAATGGTGTAACAACCATTCCGATCCGATCGGGTTAGAGGGGGGTGTTGTTTATTGGGGCACTCTGTATATCGTATATTTGGTTGCTACATACTTTAAATACTTATTTAATTACTTTTATTTTTAATATGATTATAAAATCGGTATTATATATTATCGATAATGTTTTATAATACAAAAACTTTTCAGGTATGATGAAAATTTCCGGAAACGATCCATTCTTTATCCAAGCCAAATACAAAACGGAAACTGGAGACCCGGCGTATAATTTGCTTCTAGGTAAGTTTATGTATTTTTAAGACTAATTGTCGGATGTAAAGTTTTAATCATCAATAACTTGCTTAGGCAGCGGTTACTGGGGCTACTGCCGACACCCAAATTACGTCTGTGAGATCCTGATATTCGCTTGTTTCTGCGGATTCCAAGGGGCTAAGGCAGCCCACTACTATTTCCCGCTAATATTCCTCGTTTTCTATTTGATCCTGCGAACTTTGAATGACGAAAATAGATGTCTAGCGAAATACGGTATATTCCAAATCAAATAAATATTTCAAAATATCGATTTTAGGCTCAAGCTGGCTTCAATACTGTCAACGCGTCCCGTTCCGGTTTATTCCTGGTGTATTTTAACTTTAAAATTTAACTTAAACTTTTGAATTTTTGGCTTTATTATTCTAGGGTATTTTCTGTGTCTTGCCAAATCAATACAATGCACCTGTGATCTCAACAAAAATTCAAACCGATTTTTATATAAATTATTATCACAATATTTGCAACCATTTTGGCTGAAATTGCACCCAGTATTCACGGCGATGGGGGGATGGAAAATTAAACAAAGCAAATAAATAGAAAATGACATTGATTGCTTAAATTAGAATAACTCAAATACAAAATAAATGCCATTGCCACTTTGTGGCATTATATTAGGGGGGAAACTGAGGGCGAGATTCTCTAGTTGTGTTTTAGGGGGGGTGACAGGCATTTGGGGGCAGGAATCAAAAAAAATCCGAACCTTTTAGAATATAATAATTACAATATTAGTTATTCTTGTATATTGTAGGTTATTAGATTAGAAAAGGTTCTTTGGGACGAACAGGTCAAGTACCGACGAGAGGTACTCGGCTCCGTACGGCATCTGGAAAAAATATTTGTTGAAGATTTTCACGGTTTTCTTCTATTTTTTTCTACTTTAAAAAGTTTAGGCATTTTTTTGTGATTTGGTTATACTTACATCTGATTCCTGAATAAGCGGCTTCTCAAATAGACTGTCATATCGGCCCTTCACCATACGGTACACAGCGAAGAACGTTTGCTGCAGGCTTTTCACGGCTGTAAAGATGGAAGGCTTGTAAAAAATATTTTTAGATCCTACCGTAGTTTGTGTGGCACGATGCGAGGATATTATTAACAAAGATATCTCCCGTTGCGGTCAATGGAGCGTAGATTCCGGTGTTACGGACCTAAAAGTTACGGTATTTGTTGAAATTTAGGAGCTTGGAATTTGGGTTCTAATTGATTTTTATCGCTTAAATTACCTTTTCAATGGTCACAATTTCATCCCGCTGCAAGCTCATCTTGTGATCTTTCGAGAAATCAAGGCACATTCCGGCCTGAATTTTTGACATTAGCTTCAATTTTAATTTCATACCTTGAGGTCCTTAGCATAGACGAGCTCTAATTTGCCTCGCCTCTCACAATCCGTCTTGTAAATCAAATGATCTTCGGTGAGCTCGATGAATTCGCCATTTTTCTAAAAATTAATTTAATTTAGTGTAACTTTATTATGTTCAAATAATTTAGGTTTCAAAAACTTTACCAGTTGGACTTTGTAGAATTCCGCCTCGACGTCTTCTTTCTTGTGAAGAAACATGACGACAGGAGAGTATTGGATCTAGATTTTAGGTATTAAATTTTTAAATATAGTTACCATATTTTCGTCAATCGACAGAACATGATCCCCAATCTCAAGTTCATCCATTCGCCTATACCCAGCCGGTGTCTGGACAATCATATCACGGCTGAAGCACTTCATTCCCGAGGAGCATGTGGCACAGTAGCCACTGCTTGGGTATGAGTACGATGCTGGGTATCCAGATTGCGGGGCGGTTGGGTAGTTATAGGCGGGGTAGCTTTGGGCGGTGGCGTAGGCTCCTCCGTTTTGGATTGGCGCTGGGGGGGACTGGGCCCGAGCTGAAAAAGTATTTATTGGATTTTAGCAAGCACTTGATCTAGCTTTAGATGAGTTCACATCACATCCTTTTTAAATGGTTTAGATATTTTATTTATATGTATTTATATATGTAATTTTCGTATATGTTAATCCACAATTTCTCATTTTTCCAGAAATTATAATTATCCATTTAAGACAACCTATATAAACCCTAACCTTGGTGAAATCGGCTGTGGCTGCTGCTGCTCCAGCTGCTGTTGCTGCACAGCCACCTGCTGCGGCTGCTGATCATATCCACCCTGTTGAGAAGCCGGAGCGGCAGGTGGTGGCTGGGGTCCGCTCTAAAATACACCCGATCCACACATCCCGATAGTATCCAAAAGGACAGCACACAAATCGCAAATAATAAGCATCGAAACTGAAGCGTTAGTATGAAATAAAATCAAGCGTTTTTTGATTCAAGCCTGTATACCTCGTAATTCTGCTCGAGTGGCTAAAAGAAGAAGTTAATTTGGATACTGTATGTATGTAACAATTAAGGCAGGTAATTCATACCTCAGGTCCGCTAATTTGAGGTCGAACGGGTTCGGGATCATAGGCTGGAGCATTGTTACCATATCCGGAGTCTTGCTCTGGGATGACACCATTTTCCGGGAAGAGAGACACTTTCTAAAAAAAATAATTTACATGAATTGTCTAAAATCAATAATTCTATTTTAAACAAAAATAGTGTAAAAACTTACCCTCTTCAAGACATCCTTATTTGCATAACGTCCTCTCTTATGCGGGAAATAGCTGTCAATCTCGAAAGAGCCGTGCTTCTTGGGATAATCTCCAAGGAGAGGGGCGTGTTTTCTATAAATATGGAAATAAAAATTAATTTTAGACAAAACTAACAATTTTCCATAGTCCTCGTCGTGGCAGGCCATCCGGAAGACGGTGACAATGTATTGAACGCTATAAACGGTACCTTTTTTTAACTTTGAAATTCTTACATTCCTTCCTCATCAACGGATTTTCGGACTTCTTTCACCAAATCAAATCCAGTCATGCGGCCGTGATGCTTAAATTATAAACATAAAATTATAAAAATAAATTAAAAAAACAAATATTTAAATTGTCGTATATGAACACCATTAAATAAAATAAATATACCTCAACGATACCACCCTCAAACGATTCATTCGCATACAAGAGCACTGTCTGCAGTTCTTTTGCGTTGGCCAACGGCTCGTACATGCAGCAAAGCGTTCGGAGCCTAACAAATTGCCTTTATATGCTAAATTCCACGATTTCCATACGTAATATGCGTTCCATTAGTGCTCTCAATCAACCCAGCCGTCCACTCATCCTCCCCGACACAAACTGTCTCCGTAAAATCTTGCTCACATTCCTGAAAAACTTGGGTTTCCGGGTGTACCTCCCCGAAATCTGTCCCACATCTAAGGGTTCAGACAGTGCCTCCTCTCTCAAAAAGACCAGAAATCTCGAAAAAGCCTGAGCCCAGCTGGCGGATCCCGCTGCTCGGTGGGCATCGGCAAATTATGGAATTCCTGTTTTGCGCTCCCCCCTCCCGGTCACTCCGACTCGCGCGCCCTTCGTTAATGAGCTTATCGTTCATGCTCGAAATGGCAGCAGCTAGGATCAAAAATGGGGGTAGCAGATCGTTGGTCGTTAAAATTATCTGGTTCCAATTGGAATCCAGAATTTGAATATTGATAAGGGAGTTGAATCAAACATCACAAAAAGATGGGAAATTGCCGTTCTATCCATGCCGATTTTTTAAATTATCTGGTTCCAAACTTCAATATTTTCAATATCGGATAAAAACAGCAAAAAAATCTGTAAAAGTTACCGCTCTCATATTATCAGGAGAACCACGTCCAATGCAGGCAGGGCTGTCGCAAGATAACACTAAAAATTAGAAAATTAGCAGTAGATTTAGCTTATGGGTTCCCTAAAACCCCAAAAACGTATATTTTTAAGCTTCACTATAATTGATAAATTACGATATAAATTTACATGTTCTTAGCTTTGTATAATTATATATTGGTTAATATTACCTGGTGTGCCTTCGGCATTAATAGCAATTTTGCTGGGAATGGCATCTCGACCACAGGAACCACCCCGGTGGGTCATTCCCCAGATCGTCACCACCAGTACGGACACTCCAAACAACAACTTCCTCATCTATAAAATTATGAATAATATAAAATTAGCTCCACAAAATAAAGAATACATAATAAGAATATAGTATTAAATTGAATCGTAGAAATCCAGAGCTATTGGCAAGTACACCCATACCGCCCAAATTTTTCCAATGATGGCAGAACCTGCACCCCGATCTCAAAGCACCGATCAAGATCCGGTAAATAGAATCCAGCCCGTTGGAAACCCAAAGCCAAAAAAGAACAGCCCGAATGCCGTAGTGAGCCATCCCCCACGAGATTACCACTGGTCCGGACTGTATTTCCACGCTTTTCTAAGTGGCGCACGCACCGTCTTTAGGACTCTCTTGGAGCAAGAGCAAGACAAATGGGGAGTGGATGAACGGCAGATGTGCCGCGTACCATCGTCTGTGCGCTTTTTGGGATTGGATAAGAGGTTTTCATGAAACCGGAATTGCGTGCGTCGGGGGGTGAGGATGGGTTTTCCGCAACGCTACGGAATTACGGTGTGTCAGATGGCGTGAAATATGGGAAAACCAAGCACGGAAAATCGAAAAATTTAATTAAACCTTTACTAAAGTGAAACTTAAAGTTTTAAAATCTTAACGTTTTTCAGCCCTTCTTATTCTATTTTTGAAAAGTTAAATAATTTGGTTAAGTGTATAATAAGGTCAAATTGAAATTATCTGGAACTAATAGACCCGAAGTATAACATTTGCAGGTAGTTGACTATGTTTAATGAAAAGCGTACTACCCAAATTCAATTCTAAAATTTTAAAAATATTTTAGTTTTTCCCAACATTGCAATACTTCCATCAACTCCGTTTTGCAGAAAAGTGTGCAAAAATCGAGAAATGCGGACCCGATCCACAAGGCGCACCTTTTAGACCCAACCCGGGAAGCGGAACCAGAAATGAAAAGAATTGGGAGAAGCCCGGGAATGAAGCGATCACGACGGAAAGCGACGCCAAAAACAGGCTGCTGACCCTCGGGAATAGATCGGGAATTGACAGCGGAGAGCCGTTGGGGGTCGGCAATCCGATTTTCAGGGTTTCTGGAAATCAAATACGGAACTCGGGAGTGCCGTCGTCATAACCTGATCTATGAGATGTGAGATAAATTAGAGAGGGGGGTGGTTGAGCGTACTTGAGGTTTTAATTTGGAAAAATTGAAAGAAAAAGAAGAGAAGAAATTTAAGAAAAATTTTGGTTTTACTGAGTAGCCCAGATTTTTAAAAAAATCGTTTAATGAAATAAAAAATGTGGTTAAACGACTAGTGAATTATGAGAAGGATCTACCTAGAGAAGGAGAAGCAGAATTTAGGCTTCAGGCTAAAGGTTAAAGAAATAAAAAACCAAGGATGAAGGCAGCCCGATAAAAATTAAATTTTCTAGGAATCCGCTGAGCACGACTTCTTCAAGTCGGTCTCCTTTTATAGCAAGCATCTGCAAAAACTCAGGATCGGCCTGCCAAAGTCGTAGCGGTTTCTGATGCTCAGACCAGTTCCAGGAAAAGCTAAAAAAGAGCTGCAACCTGGCGGTCACGCTTCAGTAATTCAGTATTTATTACGACATTTTTTTGGAGGGGTTCCAAAAAAGACAGAAGGGCGGCTTGTAATTGCCATTTTCTGCAAGGATCGGCAAGACTTTAAATACAAAATATTCAGAAATAATAAGATATGATAAAACCCAAAAAGCCAAGCCTTCCAAAAGCGATCTTTGCAAGTGGCACGTCCGTTAAATGGCCTATGCCAAGAAGGGGGTTACCGTAGCTCGACTCGTCGGTTATATACCCTTTCTGAAGAGAGAGAGAGAGAGAGAGAGAGAGAGAAGCCTAGGGCTCCTTCTTAAAGGGGCGGGGATGAGCCTTAAAACAAAAGCCCAGCCAATCCCCCCTACGGCACCCCCTAAATCCCGTCCGAAGCAAATGAGGGCTGGGTACGCCAAGTTCCTATGAAACGCAAATTGAGATCTTCCCGAGGCGGAAAGGGGGGAGCTGCCAATCTGTCCACTCTGCCATGAAGCAGCTACACACTCCGTACCCACACTATAGGCATTTACTGAAGGGAGCGAGGAGCAGGAGCCGTTGCTCAAGGTTAAGGAGAAGCTAGAGCAAGGTGATGACGATCGGGTGATCAAGTCCATGTTCAAACTTTTTCATTAGGTGACTGTGTGCACTATCAAGTCCAGGGTGGAGCGGGGTTCAATCCCGCCTGCCGGTGGCTAGACTAGTTTTTTGGGGTGGATTTTGATGGCAGAGTCGCTAGTCGCTGATGAAAGAGCAGCTGTTGAATCGCAGGGTTTACGTAATGTTGAGGATCATACTTTTGGGGTCATAATAGATTAAATATCAATACCAAAAACAAAATCATGTTTTTCGATCTTTTGAGAATTTTTACAATTTTTTTATTAACTCCAGTGTATCAGCGTTTTAATATTACAGTTTCAATTCAAAATTGACTGAGATTAACACGAAAACATCTAGAGCCGGTAATAAAGAGAAAATCTGGTTTGCCTTCCAATGTTTCAGCAAGTTTTTCCTTAGGGTCTCCCAGTTTCTGCGGTGAATAATAATTATCCGCTGGTGGCAGTGGCGGTTGTTGACGATCGTAGCTGCGCTGAACTTATCCGTGTCGTGGCCTCGGGACTGAATTCCGGCTTGCAAAAGAGACGATTAGGGGGGAAGAAAGGGGGTGACACCGATGGGATTCAATGAGTACGCTGTTTGTGCTTTGTAAGGTTAGATGTATCTTAAATTTTGCGCCGTTATAACTATGTATTTTTATAGATTTTGACAATAAAACGCAAAGTTACGATACCTTTACTCACTTTATAGGAACGGACAAGGCGTTGTTGTGGTTTCCGTGCTATGGAATTAGTGAATTTGATCGCAATACGCTACGCACGCACGCACGCACGTACGATCAACGTGCGTATTCAAAAAAATGTAATTTCCTGCGAAAAATAGAGAGAGCGCTTCGAGAGATAGTCAAAATCTATAAAAATCTAAGGATCAAAAATCCACCTTCATTCCTTGCCAATCCCTTCAAAAATCTACAAAAAAACGTCAAAATCTTCTTGGATCTATAAATTAACAATATCCTTAAAATTCCATATCCACGCCTTACTTTAGTAAACATATACCTTGACCTGGGACTTTTTGATGAATCGCATAACCCCATTCCTCATACATTGAACCCCTATCAAAACTGAACATTCCCCTCCCGCCCCGCTTCCTCAAAACATAAAGTGAAAGCGGACGGCGAGACATGCTTCTCTCCCGTTCCCGTAAACTCTCCAGATGGCACCCGAAAAACCGTTTTTTTGGCGCGTAGCGTAGCGCCTTTTTGCGGGCGAGAGGACCAGGAACTTGGCGTACCTCCCATGTTTTCCGTGGGGTGGAGAAGCGCAGATCAAACGGAGATAGAGCCCACGGTGAAGCTCGGGCTTTCTTTTTGGTATTAAAATATTGATCGGGTTAGTTTGGGCGTTAAAAAAGGCGGCTCGAGATATCCGATGGCAGATCGAAATCCGGTCATTTGATTAGGGGTGGCAGAAGGCAACATCTGGGGAAAAGCCTGAAGCTAGGATACAGCCAGTGTACTTAGCGTATCGGTCGTAGACATCTTCTAGGGCAATTTCGATTTTTAGGAGGATTACAACGGTATATTACAGCCGGACTTTTTAGAACAGATATGATTTAAATTACCTTAATAATTGTGCTTTGGTGTTTTCGCTCTATTTCTCTAAGCCTCCGACCCTCTCTACCCACTTCCCTGCAATTCCCACCAAATGTCATATCAATCTCATCATTGATGATCACCACCGGAATCCAACGAACTCGAACGTACAGCTGACACAGCACACCAGGGCGGGAGCTCGGGTGGAAGCGGTAGAAATTGAAAGCACAGAAAAACGCTGGAATTGCCCCGTCATCATTTGAAGCCAACGCTCTTCCCACCCATTTGCCATCAATTTCAGCTGTATGTCGGGGGACCTGTTTCCGAAGTCGGCCCGCTAATTTCTGATTCCGAGGGTGAAAAAAGCGGTGGTGGGCAGGGATGGGTGTTCGGGTGGCTGGTCAAAAATCGTGCCGTATCGGGACGCGCTCGGGGGGCTTGCCTTTATCCTAATTTCAACGACGTTAATTTTTGCTTTTTGCTAAACCGCTTCCGTTTCAAAGTATCTGCTTAGATATTTTTCAACGCATATTTTGTATGAAGATTAAATATAAAATATACCTCCAAAAAATTAAAAATAATTTTGAAAACGGATTTTTTGCGCTTGCCCATTTTTGAAATTTCCATTTGAATTTGGGATATTATTCTTCTGTACAATTTTTTCAAAACGCTAATTGCGAAAAGCTGAGTTGAAAGCATAACAAACATCAATTTAAATTTCCACTTTTTGCGATTGCTCGGATTTAAATCGGATCAAAAAGATTCTAACATGTAAGACTTATTTTGCATTTTGCATAGTAGACTTGCGGATTTTAGTAAAATTTATTCAAATTCAGCAAATGACAAATTATCATTTTTACATTTTCATACTTGCATCGCGAAATACACTCCGGACTAGAAATCCGTACACGTTGGGTAAAAAATGGGCAGGAGATGCATAATCGTAATTCGGAATTGAAGGTTCTCATAGGGCCTGCCCACGGAATCTACAGAAACCACATGTCAACGGGCAGCGTTGAGCAACAAATGCGTTGAACTGGCAGTGTTGTTGCCAGACGGAACATCGCGAATCGAAATCGGCACATCCTACTGTAAATAAATGTTTGTTTATGATTTATCCTAATTCATATTGATTTTTAGGTACAATCGAAAGCTCTCCATGGGCGGGCAAACAATTCGTAATTATAGTTTTTCTAAGCAAACCCCTGAGAATTGTGACTTATGCGATATTCTGATGCTAATTTGTTTTTCCGTAATCGAAAGCGCGGGTTTTTAAGAAAACAAAATATTCAAAAAAGCTGACGATTAAGAGAAGAGAGTTTTTAAGTATCTATTTTATTTACGGTCTTTTATATAATAGACTTTTTTTTTAATTCCCCACCCGTGTTTGGCTGTGCGGGCTGCTGGAAGAGCTGCTGTTGTTGGAATTGACGTTGCAGGAGTTGCTGTCGAATTTGTTCCTGTTGCTGGGCCAATATTCGACGACGCTGCAGTTCAGCCTGGAATAGCCTAAAGAATTTGTAGTTTATAGCACCTCTTGTTGTTGGCGGATGAAAGAGTCGGGGACGAAGAAGCGGGCTGATGGCTGGGAGGTACTGTAAAAAAGGTCTTTCTAATTTTAAAGATCTTACTTACACAATTGGTGCTTGAGTTGCTGGCTCGGCGGTTTGGAAGCTCAAATGGATTTTTGTTTCGATTAAAAAAACGCGGCTATGGCATTATCTATCGAAATCCATAGCCATTCTTCCCTTTCCGAACCCTTTAAAACATACGTATTAGGGCGGAATTGTGGTCGCTGCAAACGAGTTGGTAGTCTAGGTTGCGGCTGAGGTCTGGGCCGACTGAATAATTCCAAGATTTTGTGCTTTTACGGTTGTACGATACCGGGAATCCCCATCAACCAGCTCGAATCTGGGCCTTGGTGTTTGAGTAGTAGTGGTTGTAGTCTTCGTAGTCGTGGTTGTAGTAGTGGCTCTTGTCGTAGTTGTGGTGGTCGTTGTTGGTGGTGGTGGGGCCTTTAGAGTGGAAAACTCAAAACAAATTCGACACAAAGCTGAATTTTTGCTGAAATCCTTCCTTTAGAATCCGGAAAAGTACGGAAAAATCTTAAAAACCTTTTTAAGCAATAATTGTAGATCTTGGCAATGACGAGGAAAAAAATAGATAAATTCCATTTAGTATATAAGTTAAAGATAACATTTTGTTCATTCATTATGGTTTTCCCGGCTAATTTGAAAGCATACTGATACTAACAAAGTTTAAACCCCTGAAAATTAGCATTTTTTTTAATTCGCAGGACACCCTATTGAGTCAGTAGCGTTATCCTTAAATTTTGCCTGTTAATCACGTCAAAAACCACTCAATTTGCCTAAATTTGCAAGCACAGCAAACGCTAAAATTCGCACCCAAGTTGTCGATGTAGTGACTTCCGAAAAATCAGGCGTCTTCTCGCTCGCATCGCTGACACTGCCTTCCCCCTAAAATGCCACTCCAAAATTGCCAAAAACCACAGCAACACCAAAATTAAAACAATTTATTATGCACATCACGGCACACAAACGGAAAACGGAAAAGAAAGCTGCAAAAATAATATTGCATCAGGAGCAAAGCGAAGATAGAAATATGGTGATTGGGGAAAGGACACCGGAAGTGTTTTAAAGTTATAGAATTCCTAAACACAGCATCCTAATTGGCTAAGGGTCAATATAAAGCGTCACATAGAAAACCGAACACAGCAAAAAAAGAATGGCAGACTGTTAGTAATGCAGACTAAGAAAAAAGGATGGCTAAACCAAGAAAAAATTAATTTCTGGAATCAGCCTCTTCTGCGGGGGAATTGGCGTTGGCGGGTAAAAGCCGGCTAAAATAGAATAGGCAATACTGAAAATAAATTAACGAATGTAAAATCCAGGTGCAAAATTTTTAAAGATCGACGGTTTCGATATAAAAATTAGCAAAAACTTCTGCTTATATCTTACTGACGCAGAACTTTAGAAAATTCACCATCATTTAGGATGCCTATTAGGCTATGGCTGTTCACTTCACAACCCCTTTACAACCCGCAAAACACAAATGCAACTAAAATTTGCGCTCGACCGAAATCTGGAATTTTAAGCAAATTTTTGGAAACGATACCATTATGCAAATTTACCTGTGGTGCTCGTAGGGGTCCAACACCGAATCCACCTTTCCCGAACACACGATGCGTCTCCAATTTGAATGCCTTCACAGACGGGGGCGGGGTTGGGAATGGTGGCACCCAATTCTAATTGATTCATTATTGTTAATGGCTATGATCATCTAATTTAGATATCAAGAGCTAATTTGAATCCTTACCTCTGTTTTACGGGCGATCCTGCAAGGCGGAATTGGCGGTGAGACAACGGACTTTACCCAGAATTTGTGGATATGTTCGACCACCGTCGCACTGTAATTGTTTTGATATTTTAGAAAAAGCTAAAGCTCACATAAATTGGACAGTTCTAGAATCATCATCGCTTTTCCACCACAATTTGATGTGTTTCTTCTTCTCGTCGTGGGAATGGGTGGCGGAATCCTAAAGGAAAAATTCAGGGAATAGCGAACACAAACTCCATATGCTAGTTTTCAAATTTTAAAAGTGTAATATTAATTAACTAACAAAAATACGCTATGTAATAAGCTACTAAACTAACCAGCCAAATTTTCAAGACCTACCTTTTTCCGGAAACATTGCTGCTGCCATGAGCCATTATCATCAAGTCGAATGAATTGACCAATTCTGAAGTTTAAAAATGTTAGCCAACCGGATGTAATTCAAGTCTATGTGCAAAATTATATTTTGTACCCACCTTCCCGTCACTCTTCCATTTTTCCATTCAAATGGCTGGATGGCAAATCCCTTGAACTTGATGGTCGCATTTTTGCCCTGGATTGTTACTAAAAGCTGCCCTTTTTTAGCTCAAGTACCTGCTCAACCTATAATTCCTTCCCCCCCTCAATCGTTTCTGCTTCAACATGTGAAAGTTTTCGTAAATCTATAGCCAAACTCATCCCAATGGATTATGTACTATCTTAACCTTTATATAACCATGCCCCTTTCCTCATTATTGACTTTTTTCTTTCTTGCTATTCCATTTTTTCCCTTTTTCTCGTTTTTCCTACCATATTCCCTCACTTTTAAGCGTTTCTCATTGAAACCTTAGTGTTGAATAAATTATTTATTTATTATTATAAAAGCAAGACAATAAAAAGTAACTTTGGGCACTGATACCGTAATAGATAGTTTTTAGGAATTTAAAGTATACTTACATCCGATCGGTTGGTTGGCCCAATAGCATTGCTGGTCGACGGCTACCTCATATGGTGGTTCGCTTAACTAAATGTCATCCTTGAGGTTTTTGGCGGTGGTAGCATTTTAAAGGGCCCTGCAAGGGGTGGCTAAAGAATTCTGCTGGAGAGCGGGACAACAATATACTGCGCCATACTGTTTTAGAGAGAGACGCAGGGAGAGAGAGGGAGAGAGAGCGAGAGAGAGGGAAAGAGGGGGAGCGAGAGAGAGAGACAGAGAGACAGAGAGCCAGAGAAAGCGAGAGAATGAGAGAGGGGGGAGGGCGAGAGAGAAAGAGAAAGAACGAGAGATAGAGAGAGAGGGAAAGAGAGCGCGAAGGAGAGAGGGGGAGAGCGAGGGAGGGAGAGGGGAGAGCGAGAGCGAGAGAGAAAGAGAGAGAGAGGGAGTGAGAGAGGGAGAGAGAGAGAGAAAGGCTTGCGGGGATTATGTTTGAAAACGCAGCAGGATCAGAATATTTGGCGGGGTGAGGGTATAGGGTATTTGTCCAAATAAAGTTTTAGACATAGCTTGACATCAAACTTTCGCCAACCTGAAGTCCTCCCTGATGTTCAACAGCTTCCAACGGGTTCATACTCTCAAAGGCAGCATGTACACACGGTGCCCCATCAGGCCATGCCCGCACCACCGTAATCGCCAATAAAATCGATAAACTCCAAAGCATCCCGCCTAAATTCAAAAATTTTCAAAGCGTATCCTGGCGAAAAACGTTATGACCTTATTGGGTTGAGGATTAATATCGGAGGAAGAACGGGGATGGCAGCCGGGTGGATTCCGGTTTGGGGGGAGATGAGGGATTTGCCCTATATCCTTTAGGGGGTGAGGAACGGCAGCTTGTGGAATTTTCGTATAAAAGAATGGCACGAAATTTTTGAGACGGTGAGAAAAACTGAGAAACTGTTATAATAAACGAGAAATGGTCCTTAAGTTAAATGCTGACCGAGAAAATTGTTGTATTGCGCTCAAAATTTTTAGGACATGTTCGAGTTTATACAAAAAAAATTCTACAATTTTTTCCGGTGTTTCTTTCCGGGAACACGTTATATCCCGCAAAGCTTCAGATTAAGACAAACTTTTTGAGATATGTGGCGCATTAAGAGCACGTAATAATGGGACAGGGCTGTATTAGTGACATAATTTTAATTGGTCATATTTGCAACAAACTAAATCGATCTTATTCACAAAAAAAAATAACCGCAATGATGGGTGTGGGGGGAAGAGGTAGAGAAAATGGAATCCAGCACCTTTCCCATCTTTTCCATTCCTTCCAGGCTTTTGTCACCCTTCCCCTCCTGGGGGCAATCGCGCCGTTCTGTCACTCTTCCACACCCACCATCGGCATTCGTAAAAGACTGACTGACAGTGCCAACCTGCCCAAATGATGCCCCGGCTTTTCCCCCTCGACGCACCCACGCATTTTCTCCTGATCCCTCACTCTCTCACTCTCTCTCTCTCTCTCTCTCTCTCTCTCTCTGTCTCTCTCTCTCTCTCGCGCTCTCGCCCTCTATTAGCGTTCTAGCTTTGTTAAATAGGTTCGTTGGAGAGTAGATAAATTTAGAACGCTACAAAAATTCGAATTGTATGAATGCAAAAAGCTTTAAATAAAACAAAATGGAATGAAAATACAAAAACGAAATGCAAATCTCCCATTCCCTACTTTACCCATTGTCTTCTTCCAAAAGTTTTTCAAGATTTATGCCATTCCGCTCTCGTCCTCCTCTCTGGCAAGGTCAAACTCCCAAATCGGTTTTCCCCCCTCCGAAATACGATCAGGAATGTGGTTCCGGGAACCGGAGCGGCAAAGTTGATAATAGAATACCAGGAATTGCACCTAAAAATCTAGAAACATATTAGATTTTGAAAAAAAATGCAATTATCGACATCAAAAATCAATTTTTTTAACTTGGTAGCCCTCGTTGTAACAAACAATTAGCATCTACCAGAAGTAGGGAAGGTTTCTTTAAACCGGAAAGAAAGGCTTTTTCCTGATCAAAATCCGGAATCAATCAACCAAAAATACATTAAATCCCAAGCGCTAATAGCAATCGCACTATGCAAGGAAGTACAAGTTGAGACTCAGCTCCAACCCCCCATCAACACGTTAAAATGAAAATGATGAGCCGTGCAGTTGAGTTCCGCGTAGATCCGCCTCACCCACCGTAGATTCCTAAACTAGATAATACGAAAAGGTAGGATGAAGAGGAGAGCGAGATGCGGGGGGGGGCTTTGAAAAAGCTTCGAAGGTGACTCTCCAAATCTACTCGATCCTCATTCCTATCCATCCTTCTCTTGCTCATACTTGCTCTCATTCTCCGGCTCCTCTCCACGGCCTCCCCTTCTTTTTCTAGGCATCTCCTCGTTTTCTAGATATAATCTAGGCCCAGTGTCCGTGTGTCAGTGAGTGCCACAATGTCTTGTCTACACTAACATTTTCATTGGCAATCACAGGATATGGCAATAGTCACGGTTTATGGAATCAAAAATCAGGGTATAAAAAAGTTTATTGCAATTTTACAGTACTCAGTTTTTCATATTCTAAAGAGCCACATAAAACAGCTGTTAAAAATTTGTTTCAGAATACTACAGTATTTTCAAAATCTCAAAAGCTTTCCTAGAAATCACATAAACAAAATCGGGCCCCGAAAAACCATTAAAAGTGGTACCCATCGAGAAACTGTAGGCTCCGCGATTTTTGAACATCAACCAATCTCCGGTGGCGAGACGGGGGAGCAGCGAATTTTTCTGGAATTACCAAAATTTATTTAATACTTGAATAATATTAATAATTAAGAAACAATACAAATAATAAAAGAAAAACCTTTAAAATTAAATTACCTCTAGACAATCGGCTCCATCGCATGATGGCCCCCAGATCGTTGATGGATATTTTGAGGCATTTTCCTATGCAAGTTAATGATTTTTAAAGGGCTGGTGACAACAAGAAAATACTAATTTATTCAAGGGTCAAAAGCTAGCACAATATTAAACCATAAATGCACACCTTTGATCCGAACGCTTTACCAAACTCTGGCAACACCTTATTCCTAATGGCGGTCCCCATAAAGGAATTGTAAATTCCTTGGTTTAGATAGTAATGCATCTCTGAAATCATTATTTTAGAACAAATAATTATGATTTAAAGATTACTTTTGCAAAATTTGTATCCGGAAATTTAGATAAACTCCAAATTTCTTACTTACCTATCTCCTCGCCGTTCTTCAAAGGTTTTGCTAGCATAATTTTTGAGCAGAGAGTAAATGGAGATGATGAGAAAAATCTGGAATTTGGAATATTTTTTATGTAATTAAATAGTTTGAATTATTGCTAACGTAAAACCAACTTTCCAGGCTCGGCAATAATACGCAAATCAGCCCACTCTTTATGGCATTCTGTCAACAAGGGCTGAATTTCATGCACGACCTATAATTTATTATAAATTTGAATGAATAAATACATTTTCATACCGTTTCAAAGCTTTTTCCCACTTGACCAGCACCTGGGAAGCTCCCACCAATGTTCAAAATTTCAATCTCAAATAGAATGTTTTTCAAAAGTAGATAATTTACCGAATGTCCGATATCTTTTCCAAGTCTAATTAGATCCTTTGCTTTTCGGAGGTAGAAATCGAATTTTAGACATCCCTCCGGACTTGGGCCAACGTAAAAACTAATAAACTTTTATTAATGAACATTATGAATTTATATATAATAGATCTCATAAAATACCTGATTCCAGAAATGGTCAATCCTAATTTCCATGCTTCTTCGAGCAATTTTTCAGGCTCAGCGCATCCAAATTTTCCGCCTTTTTCCGTTGGCAATGCAAAACGGAATATTGGTCTTAACAATGTATTAAACGTAGCATTTAATACTTACTTCGAATTGGGATGCAATCTGTGTATCGTTTTTAATTGTTCTATGTGATCAAAAACAATTAAGGGAATGTCTAGGCGCGCTGAATGCTAAAAGCAAATTAGCATTTTATGTAGATATCGGCCAAACCTGTATGGTCCCCGGGCTACTGCAGGGATGGGAATTGATTATCATGTCATTTGGAACGTATTGCAGCGCCTAAAGGGACTGTCAATCTTCCCACTCTCTCTCTCTCTCTCTCTCTCTCTCTCTCTTTCTCGCCTGATCAATCTCAAAATTTATTATTTGCCTACCGTTTCCATCTCCGTCGAACTCGCACAATCGATCCCAATTCCAGATCTCGTTAATATATCGACCAAAATTGCATCACCATTCGATTTAATTGCATAAAATGGCTAAAAATCACTACTATAAAAAAACTACGCTTGAAAACCTGTACGTTTGGCAGCAATTTTTTCCAGATCTCGATCCTGTCAAGAATTTCGTCAAGGTTTACAACAGCAAATGCATTTTCTAGCCCCTGAAAAATTCTAATACATCCTACAGACTTTTGTATACTTCCTATATAAATTATTTCACCTTTAGATCCCGTTTCTTAGCTTCAGATTCGCAAATCTCGCCAATATCTAATTTATCGTAAATTTCAATCTAAGAATAATATAAGAACGGCAGTTTTAATTAAAAATACCTTGGCATTTTTGTAGACAATACTTTCCATCTTAAAAGAAGCGATGTGCGGGTAAATGTGGATAAATAGAGGGCACAGTGGTTGGCGGGCGTATTTGTATCTTCTGTATTGTCTGCTGATTCTAGTCGCAGGGCAGAAATTTCCCTCTACGTTCTCTCTCTCTCTCTCTCTCTCTCTCTCTCTCTCTCTCTCGCTCTCTTTCTCTCAGCGTTGATAAGCCGATTTTCGGGGCGTCCCAAGGATCAAGTCTTTTCATAGCCCGAAAGATTCAACAATTTATTGCAAAAATTTTAAGCAATAGAATCGTCTTTTTCCAACAATGGCTTGATTCGGGCCCTAAACGAATCGATTAACATGTAATTAGTTTTGATACCAGTTTTGCTCAGAAATCGCAAAAATATGCTCCGGTGGCTGGAAACCGTTGAAAGTGGACGCACATGCGCAACTAAAATATAGGCATGGTGTAGGGATTCAAACCATACCTATAAGCTCCCATATCGCGATAGTAAATCCATTCTCCGATTTCCATTTTTTCGACCTGACGGTTATCCTAAAGCCAATACATTTTTCGAAAGGAAGAGGGTAAGCGAAGCAGAGAGCGCGGGAGAGAGAGAGAAGCAGAGAGCTCGGGAGAGAGAGTAGCAGAGAGCGAGAGAGAGAGAGAGAGAGAGAGAGAGAGAGAGAGAGAGAAGGAGAGGGGGAGAGAGAGAGAGAGTGAGAGAGAGAGAGAAAGAGAGAGTGTGAGGAAATGTAGATGAGAACGAACATGGCATCGTTTTGGATCCAGTCTACCTCGATTTTATCCCAGGTATCACAAGTTGGTCCAAAAATCGTAGAAGATAAGATCGGACGTCCAGTTTTTGGCTGAAATTTGCATACCAAACCGAGATTTGTATCAAACTCTAAGCGGCTGCCCCTCCGAATGCAAGTATTGGAAGAATTTGCAAGCAAATGAGCCAAATACGCCGTCATTGAGGTAGTATTTCATTTGGGTGCCGGTGGAAGCGCCTTCAAAAAGTAACTTAGAATAAAAACTGAATTACCCGTTGGATCGTATTCAGGTGGTATTTCATTCGAATGGATCACATTTGCGCATAGGGTAAAGGCTTCCGAGCAGAAGTATCTTGAATTTAAGATATACTTTATAAAAAGCTATCAAACCGATAAAATTTAGCAAATGTAAAATAATAAAAATACCATTTTAAAAAGTTTTTTTAAAAGATGATACCTCCCTGGCTCAGCCAATATTTCATAGGTGTCGTCGTTAAAGAGGGTTTCAAGCGAGCTTCGGATTTCATTGGCGCACTAAAGGTATATTCTCAGTGGAAAAATAATAAAAATCAACCGCTTCAAAATTAGCATTTATTTGCCCTCCAGGGAATCCACCCCCAATATCGATCACCGTCATCTGATGACCAATTGTTTTTCCGAGCTCGTGAAGACGGTGCGTCTAAAAAATAGCCAAATAAAAAGCCTAAAAACAATATCAATAAACTTGAAAACGCTACTTCTTCAAGGGCACGACCAAAAGATGTTGGATCACGACACCCGGAACCGACGTGAAAACTAAATATGTTATATGACATTTATATTCGAATTCACCTGATCCCAACGATATTTAGACCAAGGGAGAGCGCTTCCCGTAGTAGATCCGGAATTTGGCGCACTCCGTCGGCCCCGAATTTCCCGCTCAATGGCGTCATCGCGGATTTATCGGAGGTGGCCAGGCGTAGTAAGATCCTGAAAACATTTAGCTGGCTTTATACTCCGCTTATACTCCGCTTGTGGGAAATTCACGGCGATCTTCCGCAGCTCTTCGCTGCTATCGACGGTCATACGGTAGACACCGACGTCCTGGGCGTACTGTAGAAAAAAGTAGAGACTGAACGAGAAAGAAAGACAGGGAGAGAGGGAGGCAGAGAGAGAAAGCGAGAGCGAGAGCGAGAGAGAGCGAGAGAGAGAGAGAGGGAGAGAGATCGGGAGAGAGAAGAGCGAGAAAGTGAGAGACAAGGGGAGAGAGCCATAGAGAGCGAGAGAGATAGATAAGGAGAGAGACAGAGAGAGCGAGAGAGATAGAGAGAGTGAGACAGAGAGAGCGAGAGAGTGATAGAGAGCAAGCGAGAGAGAGAGAGAGAGAGAGAGAGAGAGAGAGAGAGAGAGAGAGAAAGAGAGAGCGGGGGAGAGAGGGGAGAATGCGACGGGACGAGCCAATGATTACTTACTTGAATATATGAAGCGGGTTTTGCTGGATTCGCAAAGATGATACGATCCGGAGACACACCCAGTGAAAGAACCTCGTATTTACAGAAATATGTCCATTTTCATGTCGCAAACCTGCTCAATTTCTCCCCGGCTCGCACAATCAAAATTAACACCCATGCCGGCGAGAACCCGAAGGACTACCGGGCTCGGGTTGCTTTTCACTGCGTAGAATGGCTGGAAATGTAAATTTTGTAAGGATTTTCAATGGGTTTTAAGGAGTTCAGATAATGTTGTAAAACAGTCTACAGGGTGTCCCAATAAAAAACACCCTCGCCAACTCGTCGCAGAAGTATTGGATCGGACCGATACTTACACCATTCGAAAGCCCTCGAAACGGCAAGTTTGTAGCAATTTTCATATCCGTAATTTTATTGAAACGCGCCATTTTACTTCGCATTTAAAAACATTCAGGCACGGCTTCTGCATACATACTTCCGGTCAGTTTGCTTGGAGAAATTGAGGCAAATTAGTTCGTATGCAACTCCGAAAGTGCGCAAAATGTTACCGTTTTTAAAATCGCTGGCTAAAACAAAAGTTGCTTTGAAGATTGTTACAGACTCGCCGTTTCAAGGGCTTTCGAATCGTGTGGCTATCATTCCGATAGTTCTGCGCCGAGTTAGGGAGGCGGGGGGGGGGTTTCTATTGGGACACCCTGTATAATTTTTGTCTACGCCGGACTTCAGCGCTTCTTTGTCATAATGCACCCGAGAGTGCGGTTCCAAAATTTTAGAGGCCTTATACCGGGCGGGGGATGCCTCAATAGTGCATGCTTTGGAAGCTACCGCCCGTGTTTGAGGCAGTGATGGGCCGAATGGGCTTCAGCCATCGATGAAGGCCTCTTGGGGTTGCGTTTGTGGGAATCAAGTGGTCCAGATGGGTGTCGAGTCAGACGGACAGTCAGCGCAAGGGAAGAGAGTAAGTGGTGCCGAGGAGAGGCTGATGTCCGAGACAAGCCAGACGAATCGAAACCTTTTATATGAAAAATAATTAGCTTCTGGGTCTCCAAAACACCCTTCAGGGTCCGCAGGGAGCACGACTCTGAATACTTTTATATAATTTACAGCTCTCGAAAAGGGGAAAAATACGAGAGTTTTGTTTTCTATATTTTAAAGGCACCTGCTGGATCTTAAAAGGATGGAGAAAGACCGGGGAACGGGGAAATCTCGCCCGCTGCAAAATTCTTTGCTTTTTCACCAAATGCATCTTTCTCGAGCGCTTTAACTGTTTTCTTACAAAATCGATCGATGTGTGAGATCAGCAATTAGCAGGCAAGTATCGGACAAAACTGCTTTCTAATCTTATATGAGAAAACGAAAACCGCTTGTTTTCTCCACTCCTCTCACCTCTTCGAGGGGTTTCGTGAGATAACCACCTAGCAAAAAATCGGATCGTTCTGTTAGCGTTTTGGTTACTGGCCGGTAACCGTCCGCGGGATAGGTAACAGGGTTACGGTAGGCACTCGCCGCGGAACAAAACCTAACCTGGGCCACTGGCCTGGGGCAGCGCCTTAGACCATGCCATGCCATTCGGCCATGGGAGAGACGGTAGGGGGAGAGGAGGCGAGAGGATATCAAGGGTCGGGCCAAGCCACGGCAAAGGGGCGAAATTGCCGACCGCGATGCACTTTTTTGAACGAGTTTTTAGTGTACCCTTAACGGCTACTTCCGGTCATTTGCAATGGAGAATTTCAGGCAAATTAGCTAGTTACTTGAAAAATGGCAGGTTTAAATAAAAACATGGTTTCGAAAATTGCGGCAAACGCACCGTTTCAGGGGCTGTCGAATGGTGTAACAAACAGCCCGATCCGATACTTCTGCTGCTTGATAATCGCTGATCTCACACATCAATCGATTTTTCAAGAAAACAGTTAAAACTCCAGAGAAAGATGCATTTGGTGAAAAAGCAAAGAATTTTGCAGCGGGCGAGATTTCCCCGTTCCCCGGTCTTTCTCCAGCCTTTTAAGATCCAGCAGATGCCTTTAAAACATAGAAAACAAAACTCTCGTATTTTTCCCCTTTTCGAGAGCTGTAAATTGTATAAAAGTCATTCCGAACCGTGCTTCCTGCGGTGTTTTGGAGGCCCAGAAGCTAAACATTTTTTAATATAAAAGTTTTTGGTTCCATTTGGCCTGTCTCGGTCATCAGCCTCTCCTCGCCACCCCTTACTCTCTTCCCTTGCGCTGACTGTCCGTCTGACTCGACACCCACCTGGCCCACTTGGCCTCCAGAAAGGCAGCCCAAGGGGGCATCCCTCAACGGCTGAGCCCCAGTCAGCCGCGGTCGCGATATAACAGGCGTAGCTTTAAAAGCACATGCACTTTTGAAGGCATCCGAACGCCCGGAGATAAGCCCTTCGTAATTTTGGAAAGCACCCAGGGCATGGGGTGCGCTATGAGAAAGAACCGCTGAAGTCCGGCGTAGACAAAAATAGCTACACCATTCGAAAGCCCTTGAAACGGCGAGTTTGCAACAATCTTCAAGACCAGTTTTTTTATTTAAGCCCTCTGATTTAAAAGCTTTGCATCGGAGTTGCATACGAACTGATTGCCTCAATTCCTCCAAGCAAACCGACCGGAAGTGACCGTTAATTGTATTGATGTAGTGAAGTGTATTGATTAAAAACACCCCATTTTAACTCGACGGAGAAGTATCGGATCGGAGTGATTGTTACACGATGCGAAAGCCTTTGAAATGGTGAGTTTTTAACAGAAAAACATTATGGAACGGCTTCTGCATTTAATTAACGGCTACTTCCGGTCATTTGCTATGGAGAATTTGAGGCAAATGAGCTCCTATGCAACCCGACAAGCGGCAAAATTTTACAAAATGGCTTGAAAACCGACAGGTTTAAATAAAAACATAGTTTTGAAAACTGCGGCAAACTTGCCGTAAGTATACCTTTACTTGCGGCAATTCCCGAATCCATCGATCGTAGCGGGCAATTAAGGTATCCAGATTGACAAGCAGGAATGGGGCCTCATTTGCCTAATTAAAAATTATACATGATTTTGCGTTGCGGAAACGTCGCTTCTCTCACTCTAAAAACCCCTTAAAGGCAACCTGCTCATCTCGTCCCGCTGCAATTTTTTCGGTAAGTAAATGGCTATCAATTCGCTCCGCCTCCAAGCCGACCTGAAAACGTTAATTTTGAGACGTATATATTGAAATATAGCTAAATTTTATTTAATTTTTAGTAACCTGGTTGCCTCCAATATCCACGACCCTGGTTCCCCATTCCGAAAGTTTCCCGGTCAGCCGCATTTCAGAATTTCAGAATATGGCGATCTCTAGTCCAAGTTTCCTATTCAATTCGACTCTTATCGAAAGGCTGTTATTTTATGGTCTTTTCACACCCGCCGGTTGAACTGTCGTTTCGACGCTTTTATGGCATTACATGCGGGTGTTTGAAGTTAGAATTCTAGGGGTGAAGAAGCGGTAAAAATCAGTGGAAACGTATTTGTAGCAAAAATTATGGAATGAAAGCTGTATATAAATACGAAATGCAAGAAAATACAAAAAAATTGTATGAAAGTAAATTAAATTGGTGAGACTTTACGGTATGAATGTTTTTGATAATGATATTACGCAGTTAATATAAAAATTATTCGTTTTTGGTTATCGTATTTTTGTTAGAGTGAAGTTTCGTAAATTCCAAATAGTACGCAATTTTCAAACTTTTGTCTATAAATTGCTTGAGCCGCTCCTCACATTCTTTATTACTTTACATCCAAAAACCATTCCAAAAGCACCTTATCATTGAAATAAATATTCCTTGCTCAAATCTCATGCAAATTCAATTTTCGTGTCGATGTTTCGATCCGCTCCTCCCCATACCCACTATTTCACTCCCAAAAAATCGTCCAAAAGTGCACCCATTTTCCGCCGAATTGTAAAGTCAACTCGAAATGCCCTGGGGTCATTCGTACAGCCCCCTTTCCTATAATCCCCTTCACATTGCCTCTCCTTTTTCCTGACCATCTGGATTCCATCTCACCCATCTGGACACGATGGCCGGCCCCGGGCAGATAAGAAATTCTCGCGTCGGGTCTATGAGGTCTCCAAGCATTTGGTCTTGACCACTTCCTTCTTTTCTAATTTTTTAACTTACAAATGTTATCGATTTGCAGTATTATAGTAATATTTTACCATATCAGATGTTGCTACAGGGATTGGCTTTGGCCAGTCTCATAGCAGTCGCGCTGGGTGGTGCTTCGAATACCGTAACCACTTGGAATGGCACACTTTCGTATACGGAAGATTGGGGTTATGTAAAGGTAAGTAAAATGTAGTAAAAAATCTTGCTTTTTGTCGTAAAAAGTTATACGTACCAGAGATTTGGAATTTTTGCTATTTAGATCGATACTGCCTTACCTGCACAAAAATATCTACCGAATTGGTCTTATAACCTCCTTGAAACGAAGCATAATTTCGCTTCACATTGTGAAGATCAAAATGTTTGACTATTTTTTGCTTTCAGATTCGTGACAACGCGAATACGTTCTGGTGGCTGTACTCTGTGCAACCAGCCAACAATCGCCCTCTATTTTTGTGGCTTCAGGTCAGAGGGTCTAATCTTTCTCCGAGTGAGCTCTGCTCCCGGGTTTTTTACATCAGCGATAAGGATATCGTGATTTTGCAGGGCGGTCCTGGGTCCTCGTCATCTGGATATGGAAACATTGAAGAATTGGGGCCCAAAGATTTGGATGGAAAGGATAGGATCAGCACATGGGTAAGCTATAGAATGGAAGAGTGGGGAAGAAGCGACTAAGCTAAGCCTAAGCTAAGCCTAAGCTAAGCCTAAGCTAAGCCTAAGCTAAGCCTAAGCTAAGCCTAAGCTAAGCCTAAGCTAAGCCTAAGCTAAGCCTAAGCTAAGCCTAAGCTAAGCCTAAGCTAAACCTAAGCTAAGCCTAATCTCGTATAATATTGGAACCCACTTTCTGGCCGTAAAACATTATTATAGTTACAAGTTGCCGATCTTGTCTTTGTCGACAACCCCGTTGGGGCCGGCTTCTCCTATGTAGACAAAGATGAAGCACTCACCAAAAATGTCACCCAAATTGGTAGGTATGATTTAAGCAAAGCCTCGATTAAACTTAAGCCAATTAAATTATGAATTTTTAGGCCAAGACCTGCTCGCGTGGGCCAAGTCCTTCTTCACCCAACACTCCGAATACCGTAGCCGGCCGTTCTACATTTTCTGTGAGAGTTATGGTGGCAAGATGAGCGCCGAGTTCGCCAGGGTCATCGTCGCTGTAAGTCAAAAAATATTAAATGCGAAGTTCTGAATTTTAGAACAACAACATTCTGAGGCTCAACTTTAAAGGAGTGGCACTTGGTGATAGTTGGATTTCTCCAATGGATTATGTCAATTCATGGGGACCATATCTCTACACAAATGTACTGATTTGCAAAAATACAGTCAACGTATCTAACAATTTAGTCATACCTCGATGATGCTCAACTCAAACAAGTCCAATCCCAAGCCTCTAAATGTCAAAAATTGGTCGATAACAACCAATGGTCAGCGGCCACAAACTGCTGGGGAGATATGGAGGATCTTATCGGAAGCCTAACAAATGGCGTCTCCTGGTATAATATCCTTAAATACGGAGGTCAAGATGATTGGTCAAAGAGGAGGAAGCGAGAGATCTCCAACTACGTCCCCGGATCTGTCGGTATTAAATTAACGCACCACAAAAATCGATCAATTTTACATAGGTCGTCTCTACTCCCGTCATGTAAAGCCCTTCTATGGGGTTGAATTGAACGACTATATGGATACGGTAGTGAGGGCCAAGCTTGGGATTATCCCTGCTAACGTCAGATTTGGAAGTAAGTCGGACTTATTAAGGCTTATAAAACATTTAGTGCAATCTGGGAAGGTATTCAGCTACCAGCAGGGAGATTTTATGGTCCCGAACTATGATACGGGTTCGTTTTAAAGCTTTATTCGATTAGATTTAAGCATCAAGCTAATTTTTATTTTTTAGTCGACAATCTGCTGAAAGGAAACATTAACGTGATTGTCTACAATGGAAATCTGGACCTGATTTGTGATACTTTGGGTAAGAAAGCACCTTTTTTCAACCTTAATTCCTTTTTAGGCACCGAACAATGGGTGAATCGATTGACTTGGAACGGCCTTAATGGATACCAAACGGTTTGCTTTGATTTGTTGATTTTTATTTTATTTTTATTTTGTATAATTATTTAATTCATATTTAATTTAAATATTTCAGGCAACCAAGCAAAGCTTTGGCACCAAGAGCTTCCCCCTGGCCGGATACGTCAAGAAATACCAAAACTTCCAATTCTGGTACATCCTCCGCGCCGGGCATATGGTAATTTTGAACCCTATCTCTAAACTCTCTCTGTAAAACTCAATTTTAGGTGGCCCACGACACGGAAGAGACTGCGATTTACATGCTGAACCAAATTTTGAAGTCTACTTAAAAGCAACGATACCCCTATCTTTTTCAACTTTTAATTTGTGTTTTACGACGATTACGGTACCCCCGATTCCTCATGTACTTACGATAATTTATACGGCTATAAAACCTTTTAGACAATATTTCGGATATTATACTATATAGCGCAAGAAATGGAAATTTAAAGGACTAGAGAATGCACAGAAAAAGAGACCAAAAGAAACAGAGAACAAAAAAGAAATTAGGAGGGGGAAAGGGGGGTCAGGTGGCGTGTATGTGTGCGGTTCGCATTTCGGGACAGCCCTCACAAACATACTTCTCCAATCGGCACGGGCAGACAGCGCTTTCGGTTACGCTATTTCAACGTTGGAAAGTTTTTGGCTCGCTATTCTCTCCCTCTCTCTCTCTCTCTCTCTCTCTCTCTCTCTCTCTCTCTCTTTCTCTCTCTTTATCACTCGCTATCTCACTCTCTATCACACATGTTAAATGAAAGTATTTCATTTTATTTTCATCCCTTTTCAGACAAATGTAAGCATGCAGAAATTCTTACTTTCCATCACCATACTCCTTACTGGTACCAACTGTCTAATGGAGTCTTCGTACTTATCGGAAAGAGACGGCAAGACAAGGCGCATCCCTCTAGAATTGTAGGTTTTAAATGGAGTGAGACAGTTTCTTTGGAAAATTTTACAGAGCCGACGTCGACTCGTTCGAACAAGAAATCTTGTCCATCTTTGGGATTGAAGAAGCCCCAGAGGAGCGAAGAACACGACGTGATAAACCGTTGGTTGAAGAAGAAGACCCTGAAGCTGCTACCATCCCACCAATACTTTCACATCCTCATGCTATAGTCATCGATTTTATGAAACAACTTTATGGCCGTATCGATGATGAAAGGTGACGGAAAATTTTCCCTTCCTAGTCCCGTTAAAATTTAGAGAAATGCAAGAGAACAAACTGGAGAAACTTCAAAACGCTAATACTATCATCAGCTTTGGCCCGAAAAGTAAGGCCGTATTTAAATTACTAGAAATGATGAAATTAAATTTAGAAATATTCTCCATTGGCGATTACACGGGTGTTGCCTTTGATGTGCTCGATTTTCCGCGGCGAACGGCGGATTATGTCGAATTGCGCATTGAAGTAGTTGAACCGTTTGATGGGCAGATCCGGATTAGCAGTAAAAAGTATATTTAAATATAATATTGCACCTAAATTTTGTGATTTTTAGAAATAGTGAACTTGTTGAATATGCCGCAGATATCGCTTCCACTTCTCAGCAACTATACATTTTTAATATCACGCAGGAATTTGGAAAATGGATTGAAGAGGAGGCAGTTCCGGAAATTTTTGTGCAATTTAACAAGGAACCTATAGGTGGGGAAGGTATGATTTTTATGAAATTTTATCATAGGGACTTTCGCTCAGGATTTTCAAATTTTTGGTGTCGCATCTTATGAAGGGCCATCAGCAAGGAGTATTCCGCAGCGAAAGTAAGTTGCAAAATTATTATTCAAAAATAAATTCAAATTGAGAAAACGCTCAACTTCGAAAGAAAGGACAATAAAAAATGTTGGCTATATGTCAATTGGGCAGCCAACGGAAGCTGGTAGGTTTTTAGAAATTTTAGAATTTTACTTAAGAAATATTTTTAGGGGAAGATGAGGGTTGCCATCGCCGTGGTTTATATGTAAATTTTAATGACCTTGGCTGGAAGGTAGCTTACTTCTAGTCAAATTTAAAAGTCTGTTTGAATTTAGGACTGGGTAATCGCTCCCGAAGGCTTTGAGGCATTTTTATGCGACGGTGCTTGCTCATTTCCGCTTCATAATAAAATGAACGCTACAAATCATGCCATAGGTATCGTAGTTTTAATTTTTGGAATATAGGTATATAAATTTAAGTGCAAACCCTGGTGAATCTGATCCACCCCGGCCGAGCGCCATCCCCTAGATGTGCCCCATCCCGGCTATCACAACAAAAAATCATCTTCGTCGACAATTCAGAAAACGTGGTGTTAAAAAAATATCAAGATATGATCGTGCAAGAATGTGGATGTCAATAATAAATTATTTACTCGGTTGGAGAACGTATAAAGGAGTGCGACAGAATAAAGCTGTGATAAGGGCAGGGATTGCTGGTTTGTCGAAAATTTGGGAATGGTTTTTTTGTAGCTTGGCATCGTCAAAATATGGAAGGGATAATTGATAAAGCATAACATTTCGAATAGACATTTTTAAGGCCATAACAAAAAGCAAGCTACCGGTAGGCTAAGAAAAACAACAAGTTAAGGAATTTCTTATTCAGTCTTGATCTCATCTGGGGTATGCTCCCGGGCCCACGATTTCTTTGAAACTAGCACCACCACCAGGATGGCATACAAAATTAGAGATACCAGGGAAAAGTTGAAAATAAGCTCCATGTGGGAGGGACAGTCGAGATAATGGCTACACGTCTCCGGGTTCCTAAAATTGGCAATCCATTTTTACGAGTCTGTAACTCACATTGGCGAGTAGCTAATATTTCCGATGAGCGCCTAAATTCAAATTTTAATTTTAAGATACGAAATAATTTTCCAAACCTGTGCCACCGAGCAAATAAACAAAATCATGCCGACGGCTCGATGGTATGGCATTAATGCGGCTCGGATTTCGAGTGGCACCCCGGGCAATCCATAATTAAATAGCCCAAATAGGAACTGAAAATTTTTACATAAAATATAGATTAATATTCATCAATTCTGACCTGAATTATATAAGCTGCCATAATCGCGATACCGAACCAACTGTGGAACGAATAGACGTGTTGATATTTGTTCACATTTTTAAACTAAAAAAAAGGGGCGGTTTGATTATGAGAATATGATAATTATGTAATTGTGCTTCCAAAAATTTACGTGAACAATTTGAGCCAAAGCTGCTGACCACATTCCGATAGCCAACAAATGACACGTTCCGTGAATCAGCTTTGAAAGCGCTTTTGGATCGTTCCGGAGAAAACGATAAGCGAGTAAGGCTAAAATTATTGTATAATTGTTCACTTTGTCGAATATACACTACAAACTACAAATAATTTCTCCTTACCTTCTCCATTAAAGAATACCAATCCGTACGTCATAAAAAGTGCATGGTAGTTTGGGTTATTGTCGTAGAGAATCCCGCCTCTTACCCTCCCATAGAAAAATGCTAAAATTTATTGTTTGAGAAAATCAATAAAGTGCCTAGCTCCATGTTTTCTTAATGCCAAAGCTTAAGATATAACCCACACGTCAAAAAGATGTACACAAAACCACAGAACTGGCATAGACTCATCACGACTTCAAAGGAAATCCATGTTGAAAGCGAAGGCGCCACATACCCCGGGGTTATAAGCTCTCTTAAATAATTCTTATATAAAGGTACGTGACACTACGAGTTTGACGATGTGGAAGATGTTGTTAGGGACTCTCGAACAGATTCGCCGGGTAATTGGTATCCAGTCGATCGTCGTCGGTGTGTATATGGCGCAGAGGCCATTCCCAGCCAATTTTCTTCTCTCGTGGAATAGCGTGGTCTTTAAAGATTGTACTTCTAAAATCTTGCACTATATGCTGTTAAATCATAGCGTACTGCATATTCCAAAAAAAAGAAGAGAGCTCTAATATTTATACGAAATCCGCATGCGAACCGTTTTTCGGGTACTTCTCGTTTAACGGGGGGGGGGGGGTTAGCGGAAGCTAATTTTTAATTTTCCTCCTATACCTAACTGTTAAGAATATACAGTGTATTTTACAGCCTTTTAAGTAAACTTTATTGCAACGAAGCTATAAAAGTTTTATTTTTTTAAGAATTAAAAATCTACCCTTTTTGGCCATTTTGCCAACATTTTTTAACAAAAACTCAAAACACCTCGAATAATTTCACAATATTTTATAAGCGTTTTATATCTAAAACCGTGTAAACCGCTATAAAATTTTTTTACATTTGGAGGGTTGTACTGGCAAAAAAGTTTTAATTTTAGAAAAATTGTTATTCATAAGCTTTTTAGGAGCTCGTCTACTCGAGAGTTTACGAATGGGTAAACGCCATTCGAATCCGAGCTTTCTACGGTCCGCTAACGGGGCAAAGGCAAAAGTTTTTAATTAATCAATCGACAATCAAATTAACTGAACTACAATTATTAAATTATCAACATTATAAAAGACAGCGAAAGCCGCCGGAATTCTTGGAATCGATCTGTAGTAGAAGGGCGGGGCGCCGATTCGAGCTGGAAATGGAATGATAAGCCGCGAGAATGGCGCTTCAGAAGTTTATGGTCGATCCGCAGGGTGTGTGTGCGTATGCGTGTGTCTCCCCGTGTGTAAGCATGGCCCACAGAATTAGCCCCGCATTCCAAACTTGATAGCGCTTCCCGTGAGTCAGCCATGTTTTCCTTTTTTCTGTAATCAGCAGCTTTCTCACCTCAAAATTTTGAGAATAAAACCGTTTATTTACACACAATTATAGACGTCTAGTTGGGGCGGCTGGGCCTGCCATGTCGCGCTTATTGTAGCGGAAGGGGTAGAGGAGTTAGACGCGGATCTTGCGGTGGAGGTTGCGCCAGAAGCGGAAACGGCGCAGCTCTTCCTGAACGGATTTGATTTATTAAGATTTATATTGTGTAATAAAGTAGATTGGCATAAGTATTTTTTTTTGTAAACTCACGGCCTTCTTCTCCTGCTCAACCTCATCAGAATCGTCAGCACGGATGCGGAGGGTTGGGGTGGCGGTGGAGGTGGTGTAGCGATCAGTGGCAGCGGTTTCTGAAATTTTTAGGTATTTAATGGTACTGTCACTTACATTACAGTCCCCGCAGAGAAAGTACAGTAACACGTTTTTATAACTTACGAGGAGCCGGTGGGAGTCCATAAGCGGAACCAGCGCTTCCGGAATTCTGGTTGGCAACCGGCTCGTGGACGGGCTGCTCGTTCACTGATGGGAGAACAGTCGGAACAACTGTCGGGGCAGTTGGCATCGTGAATTGAGCTTAAACGATAATAAAAATACAATTCAGAAGATTACCGCTAGTCGAAGAAGCCGTGCTTTCTTGCTGGAAAGCAGCCGGGGCGGGGGGAAGACCGTAGGAAGAGCCGCCGCTCGAGAACTGGGGGCGAGGGTAGATCTCATGCGAGAAGCTGGGCTGACGGAAAGGTCCGGAAGGTTCTGAAAAAAGCTAGTATTCTCTAAATCAAGCCTTACGTGGCTGGAAGGCTTGTTGGGGGTGGAAGTCGGATTGGAAAGCTTCAGGATTCTCGGTGACGTGGTTCTGGATCGGGGCTGGGACTAAAACAGGTTGAAAAGCCGTTTTTGCCAATCTTAATATCGAAACCAAGACTTTTTCAGGATTTCAATACAGGTATGGTTGTCCAGCGCGTATTTCGCGTCGATTGATGTATCACAAATAGCTTGGCATTAAAGTTGAAAAGCCGTTTGGGCCAACTTTAATATCATAAATAGCACTTTTTCAGGATTTTGATATGGGTGGTATCTAGAGAGTATTTCACTTCAAATCGTGCATGATAAATATCTTCAAGCCTAGTCCTAACCCGATAAAACTGTTACTAGAGCAATTAAGTATGTAACAGCTAAAAACTATGAAATTTGGGTCTATATCAATTAAAACAAGCAGAAGGTGTATTATTCAAATATATACAAACACTATTTTTTATATTTTAGTATTAAAATTCTCAAAAAACCAACCCGAACCACCGTAAGCATCACCAGCAATCGTAGCCGGAACCGAAAGAAGAATCAGAGCGATGAAGCGAGCCATTGGTAGATGGAAGATGTGGTTGTGGTATATTTCGTCCCCTACCTACCCACTCTTATATAGTGATGCCCGTTTCTGAGAAGTCTGTTTTTTGCCGAAACGACCTGGGGCGACGGCCATTGTGCAGCATTGGACAAGGCTGCGGCTGATCCGATTGTGCGACAGGTTGGGACAGAGAGACCGACAGACAGACAGACGGCTTCCATATACAATCGGTCACACCTACAGCCATATTGAGGACAATCCCCCACCCAACCCCCATCTGTCTCCAAAGGACATTTCTCCATCCAAACGAACTGCATGAACAAATTCCGGCCCCCGAAATATGGGCTTTGGATCGAACGGTATCATGTAGGTCACAAAATCTAGACCTTAGCAAAACAGCAAACGCTACAGCCCCGTTTATCGTTTCTGGCTGGAGGTATGTAATTCTCAGCTGGGAACTAAACATCTTAATTGAACTCTCTGTTGAGCTACATGCACAATTCCAGCCTCTGGATCGAACGGCTATGTAACCCTGAAAAGCTAGAAACTAAAGCTACCAGTGAACCGCAAAAACTGGGTGAGCTTACTACATGCATCACCTCTCTTTTCATGCTAGAATCAAAAAGAACGGCACACCATGTCAGGGGGAAGAGGCTCAGGCAAGAAGGCCGTTCTTTATGATTCTAGCATGAAAACCCATAGTTTAAAGAGTCAAAAGTCATGAAACTCTCGTTTGCGAACCTAATTGAAATGTGTGGAAATGAATTTCATCCCACACTTAGTTCCCACAACAACATTTCCTCTTGCACAAGATCAGCCAGTGACCTCTATTTTTTTCCTGTCAGTCACACACTCCAGTCCTACTTTTAGTGCATGTCCATTATTGCGCCATTTTCTGAGAAATTCAAAGATATCACTTCCCTCTTCTATTCCCCCTTTTTCCAGTCCCCTGAATCAATTAGCGCCCCGCCCACCTAGCTCTGCAATCACTTCCAAATTTTCTCCAAATCAATAGTGGTCTCATCACTGGTTCCCTTAAATTACCTCAATGCTTGCCAGCTCTTACTTTGCGGCATTTAGCCGAGCCTGCCGGATTTCACAGCTTGTGCCCCCATTTTAACTAGTTATGTGCCTGCGAGGCTTCACAACGCGTTATCTCAATTTCTTACTTCACCGGACCCATTAGGAGTCCGAAAACCTGAAAGCGCCTTTTTCCCTTTTACAATATTGTTGCTGCAGAAATTATGGGTTCCTGTCTAGGCAGGGATTCGCGATGTGCAGAGTAGCAGTCCGTAGCCTACCTCCGGCAGATTTTATTCAATTTTCCTGCAAATTTTGGTTTTTCTTGCTTCGATAAACTGATCTTTTTCGCAACGTTTTTGCTTGTTTTTGATGAAGGGAATATCTAAACCTTTTCAGATGAAGCCACCGGCTGACGCTGCCCCGCCTAAGCGTGTCGTAAAGCGCAAGCGCAAGATGCCAACAGACGCCGATAAATGTAGATTTCTGTTTCGTATTAATTCTTCTTGTTTTAGATGCCGCCGAAGAGCGTGAAATTAAGCAGCGTCTGAAGGAACGAGCTGGTAGCAGTCGGCAGAAAAAGATGGCCGATGGCGAGACCGCAAATGCCGTACTGAAGGTCGGCACAAGCGGAAAGGTGCGGAGTTTTTGCATATTTTCACGGCCTGTTTTAGGTTTCCGTCGAAAACGCAGAATCTCACAACCGCGTCGTTTCGCATGCAAAGACGCGACATGTCGCACGTCAATATCAGGTTTGATTGTACACACTTACGCTCTAATAGGCCATACCTTAGTTGGAGATCCGCAAGGATTCCGTCAATTCGAAATTCAAATGCGCAGCGTGTGGAAAGGGAGCTTGTGAAGGTGAACTCGGCGACCTCTTCGGCCCGTATTACATTGAAATTCAATCACTCAACCAATGGCCGATCTTTTTGGCCAAGAAGCCCCATAAGGTATATTTTTAATCAAGTGTTGGTTACTTATAGCGTTTAGGCCTGGACCACCCCTCAAATGATTGACGCCTGGTTGCATGGTGATTGTGCTCTGCGTCTTCCGGATGTATTTCTCAAGGGCGGAGAGCTATTGAACCTTGCTACAGCTCTAAACAAGGCTTGGTCGCAAGTAAGCTTTTCCATAAGTATTTTATCTCATTTTTAGAAATGCGACGCCTGCCACGTCACCGGCGCTTCCGTCACGACCCCGCACGGCACTTTTCATTACCCTTGCAATGAAAATGTTTAAATCATCGGAATTTTCCCCTCTCCTATCTTGCCCACTTTGTTAGCATTACGGGTCTTAAATATGGGTTCTTTACTTTCTCGTCTCGTAATAAATAGTTTCTTTGACGACGCGTTTATTGGTGTACTATTGGTTATTCGCACACTGCTTTACCTATTGAGGTGACCGCATTTTACGTTTTTATTTAGAATGGAGCGTCCCTTCTTTGCGTTTAACGACAAGTACCGGTTTTCAGCCCCAGTTGACACGCCGACGACCCAAGACCAAGTTTGTGAATTTTTTGCTCCAAATTTTTATTTGTTTAGATCGCCACAGAAGCCTTGTGCGAGCGGCAAGCCGACCACTTTATGCCGCTGAACGGTAGTGATTGGGAAAAGGTTCTGGCCGTTTTTCTAATGTTATACCTTTTAGCCGGTTTTTTACCGCGGCACCCACATTGCGTATCTCTCTGCTGAGCTCGAAAGATGTTCCAAGGTGATTTGAACGAATCGTTTCGAATTTTCCTTAGGCTCTGGAAAGCTCGCGTCCATGGGTTTGCTACTGGATCGTCCATTCGTTGTGCCTGCTCGATCAGCCGATTTCTGATGATGTGAAGACTCGGCTGGTTCATTTTTTGAAGAGTTGCGAAGCCCCTGGCGGCGGTTATGCCGGTATTTACTTTGAGCTAAAAAATCATTTGCTTAGGTTCTCCGGGACAAGTTGCTCACATTGCGCCAACTTACGCGGCCGTGCTGGCGTTGGTCTCTCTGGAGACGGAAGAAGCTTTAGCTTCAATTAATAGGTATCTTACCTTCTACGTTAAAAACATGCGCATTTAGGAAGACTCTTGCTTCGTTCCTTGTTTCCTTGCATCAGCCTGATGGCAGCTTCCGCATGCATGTGGGTGGCGAAGTCGATATTAGAGGTATCAATCAATGCATTTTTTCTAAAACAGGGAGTAGGTGTATATTGTGCCCTTGCCGTTGCCTCGATCACACACATCCTTAGCCCGGAGATGGTGGAGAGAACGGCCGAATGGCTGGCCAGGTATTCATGATTTATTTGTTTCGGAATAGATGTATTCAGCTGCCAGACCTACCAGGGTGGTTTTGGCGGCGTCGTTGGAACCGAAGCTCATGGCGGCTACACCTTTTGCGGTGTTGCGGCTTTGACGATCTTGGGAAAAATGAAGTACGTGATTGTAGATCGCTGTAATTATCCGTTTTAGGTTGATCAATATGAACACTTTGCTGAAGTGGCTGTCCAACCGCCAAATGGCTTTCGAGGGCGGCTTTTCGGTAGAAAAACGGTTGATCACCAACCTTCCGAATTTCAGGGCAGGAGCAACAAGCTGGTGGATGCGTGCTATAGCTTCTGGCAAGGCGCAGTCTTCAGTTTGATCGACACCGAGCTTGCAAGGTTCGGGCATAGTTCTCGGCAAGGAAGTTTATTTTCAGGGAGAACGAGCCCAGCCTGGGAAAAGCGTTTGAGGCGCGCGCACTCGAGGAATACCTGATGCTCTGTTGCCAAGGTGGACGCGGAGGTCTCCGAGACAAGCCTGAGAAATACTGTGATCCCTATCACACTTGCTATGCACTGTCGGGCCTCTCGATCGCACAGCGCTACATCCCTGCTAACGAAGAGCTGCTTTGCGGCCCCGATGAAGCCCTGGTAAAAATTGACTATATCAAAATAATCTTGCTTTAGAAAATTACTCACCCTGTTTACAACGTCACTGCTTCCAGCCATCACATGGCTGATGGCTACTTCGCCAATGCAGACAGCCTTTAACTGACGGGTCATGATTTTGTTGCATATAGCATTGTTATTTGATTTTTGGTTGTTCGTGATAAACCGGTGACAGGATGAATAAACCTTTTTGCTCTTTTCATTGCGTCACACCTGGTTTCCTTCCAGAAGACTATCGAACGGCGTGCCCCTGTGAACTATGACATAATTTCTTACACTAGGTCTTTGGATGGCGATTGGTAGTGGCAAAGCGCGCTCCCGCCCAGCAAACGGTCCTCGCACGCTTGTCAAACATCAACAGGGGCAAAAATGGTACAGCTATCAGGTAAAGAAGTGTGTTGCTCGGCTCAATTTATTCACCTAGGTGAATGCCGTTTCGGACGGAGCTGAAGCTAATCAAGATATGATCGCAAACGCAGGCGTCCTGTTCGAAAATGAGCTAGAGCTCTATAAGAAAAGTAGTATCCTTTCTGTGGCTGTAAATTGATTTAGGTGTCCGATCTAGCTCTGGATCTGAAGCTTCATGGCTGCAAACCGTACTCACAAAGGGTACGGCCGGCGACCGGATGACGGCTATTCAGTTGGAAATCACTAATGTGAGATTTTCCCCGCTGCATTATATCAGTTTTTTAGAGTCCGATACATTCCCTGAAATATGTGGAGCAACTAGTACGCCAATGTGAGAAAAAGGCGCTTCGGGAAGCACTGGACACCATTCGTATGACAATTTATACAGGAATGTGACCATTTTTTAGCTTTGCTCGAAAAAATGTTCGTAGAGGAGCTACTACCCCCTAGAAAATTGGTTGCAATAGAGCAGGTATATTTGCTCATAGTTTTGCAACCTCAATTTAGCGTCCGTTTGATCGTTTGGAAGAATTGGCGTCTGGCAGCGAAGATTCGAAGAAGCGAATCATGGTGCTATGGCATTTTGAACACGAACTAAAGCGCATCTACGCTTTATTTTTGAAGTGTCTGGAGGTATGTCTTCAGAATAATACCGATCGGCTTTTAGCAATTGGCCGGGAGCGGCGTTGAAAGTGCTGTTTTACGTGCTGTGCAAAACATGACTACGCTTCTTACCGAACGTCCAGAAGGAGAGAAGTCGCTTTTGAGCGGACTCGTGAACAAGCTGGGACATCCAAACTACAAGGTATATTATTTAAATTCTGTATACCCCTTGCTTCCAGATTGGAGCACGCGTGGCTTTTCTTTTGGAAAAATTGTGTCATCGCCACTCAGTGATGCGATCAGTAATTGTCAACGAAGTCGAACACTTGGTTTACAGGTCTGCCTGCAAAATCTTGTGATTTCAATTGTTCTTTTTTAGGAAGAACGTACATCCTCATGCTCATTTATACGCTGCAACTTTTCTCTCCCAGATGCCTTTTTGGTAGCCATGATTCACAGTGTTAATTCAGATTGTAGGCCGGGAGATTCTGACTTGGCGGTGCGAATGCTGACAATCTACTTCGGTCTCTTTAAGATCTTGATTGCCCGAAAGAAGTTTGAAGATCGCTTGTTGCGCATTTTGCTGACAGCAGCGAATCGGGCTTTCCCATACGCGAAAGGTAGTGAACAAGAATGTTTTCGTAGTTATTTCCTTTTAGCTAAAGCCGAATCTCTCGTAGCTGATATGGACACGCTTTTTAAACTCGTCCACACCGGCAACTTTGTCGTTGCTGTCCAGACCTTACGTTTGATTTTCCAAGTCCTGGAGTTAAGGTACGTTTTGTACTTAGAAAAGTTATTTTTCCTTAGTGCCTCTCTGTCGGATCGCTACTATTCGGCGCTTTACAAGCTGCTGCTCGATCACATTCCCACGAATATGTACCAGCAGGTTCTAAGCCTGGTCTACAAATCTCTGAAGAACGATACACTGGAGAAGCGTGTCCGCTCATTTGTCAAGCGTCTGTTGCAGGTGCCAGCGTCATGTGTCTTGCAAAATTTTCATTTTAGGTTGCTCTGAGCGAGGCACCCCCTATGTCGGCTGCGATACTGTTTCTCATCTCAAAATTGGCGCAAGAGCGACCACAATTGGTGGTGACCCGACGCGAGCCTGATGTGAGTTTTTGCAGGGAGATACCCACAACTCAAAAGCTTCTTGTATTTCCATTTTTACAGAGAATGGTGCCTCTTCGAGATCCAAAGACCATCCAATGGCCGCCATCTAAAGAAGAGAAGGACGCTGATGAGGAAGTGTACGTCGATCTCGATGATTCTGGGAAGCCGATAGCGCGCGTGGTTCAAATTTTTCAATGAAAATTGGAACTGTTTCTAGAAGCAAGAGACTGACGCGGACGTCAAGCCTGAAAAAGGGACTGTTGCACCTACGAAGATTTCCGGCTGGGTTCACAAGGATAACAAAAGTATGTTTTTGTTTTCAACTAACTACGAAGAAATTTAGCGCACAAAGGAAGCTCATCCCTATATGATGCCAATAGCCGGAACCCGCTCTACACAGATGTCGAGGATTACGTGGATTTGGAGCTCGCCGTCTTGTCCAAGAGCTTCCACCCATCTGTAGCCCTTTTTGCGAAGAATTTGCAAAAGGTGAATTTGTAGAGATTTCCTGAATTTTGGAGATTATAGGGAGAGTTGATTCGTTATTCTGGCGATCCGCTTGAGGATTTCGCTCCCATGCGCTTTCTGGACCGATTTGCCTACAAGAACCCGAAGGAGCGCAAAAACCTGAGCTCATCGAAAGTGGTGGTACGTATGAACTTTAAATCTTCGAGTGACACTTTTGACTTTTTCAACAGATACGTTCGGAAATCTCTGTTTAGCATAAGAAGCTTTACGATCCCTGGGGTGTGCGGAAGCTGAAGGTCTCGTCGAAAGAATATTTGACGAAGCGGACTGAGGAGATCCCAACTGACGAACGCTATCTGCATAGATTCGCGATTTTGAAATTCCAGCCCAAGGTAAAATACTTATTTGAATATCACGATCGTTCCAGGATGATGCGGAGCATGTTGATAATTGGGATGAAGTTGAGAGCGTGGGAAGTGACGAGATTGATCGAATTCTTGGTGAGACTTGCATTCACTTGACTGTCTATTTGTTTGTATTTAGAAAAGCTGGAGCCTGGTGAAGCCAACGATGATTTTGAAGTCGACTTTGGCCAGGAATTTTCTGTCGAGAAAAAAGCCAAGGGCAAGGTAGTTCTTAGGGTGCGGCGCGTCTAATAGCTTTTACAGAAAGCCTTGAAGCGTGCAGCCGATGGAGATGATGATGAAGAAACCGATGAAGAGGGCGAGTCGGATGATGATGAAGATGTAGAAGACGTTGATATTGATGATGATGACGAGGATATGGATGAAGGAGTGGAAGATGAGGAGGACGAGGTTATAGTATTTTTTCGGAAATAACGGTTGTTTTAGGATGATTGGGACGACGACGTTATGGAAATGGAAGGAGAGGGAAGCGATGACGATGACGCAACCAGGAAAAGTAAACCATCAAAGGTATGCAAGTCAATACATGAATTTAATCGAGTTTAGGATCCATTCGACGACGATTCGGACGGAGATTTTGGCTCTGGAGACGCCTTCATGGCCGCTGATAAGGTTGTGTTGTGGTATTGTTTTTTATACGTTCTTTCAGTTCGCTGAGATGTTGGAAGACGGCGGTGAAGAGGAGTTGCAACGCAAGATCAAGAAGCATAAAACCCGCAAGCCCAAGGGTTACAAGAAAAGTCGTTAGGTTGCTGCTTGACCCCATTTTGTTATCTCGTGAAATAGTTGTTGATTTTGTTGTTGGATAAATTGTTTTCTCTAAAAGTAAGGTTTATCACAGAATGCCCGTAATTGGAGAAAGTTCTGGTGTAGTGGTAATAATGTGGCGTGCGACCTACTATCTAATTCTTGGCTGGATCTCGGGGATCGTCTTTGTATGGATGAGCAGGAAAATCGCCAACGGTACGAAATACAGTAGATTATGCGGTGAAAGCAGCGGGAAGGGCATTGGTAATGCAGCTATGCGGGTTGGCATCTGCAGATCCGTGAGGTCTAGAAATAAATGCTTGACGTCGGGCAGGGTTATAAGCGGCTCAAACTAAAATAGCTCTTGGCAGTCAACAATCTGAATCTACAACGAATATTTAATAAAGAAAACCAACCTTCATCTCCGGATTGTGCTAATCCAATCTGGATGAATATAAAGATCAATGGCGACATCCTCGGGCATCCATTCAAAAACCCTTTGCCAGCCGAGGATCGTAGAGCGCTGACTGGCATGGCGATACTTGAGCTGATTTGCATAGGATCCTCTTCCTCCGGCGATAGCCCTCTCCTATAGACCAGTTGACATGGAATGGGCGGGGCACAACCAGTGGAAAGGGAAAAAGGAAATTGTAGAGGTCAGCTATTGTGCCCCTGACCTTGGCAAACGATGGACTGTCGCCGCCCAATGCGGTTTCCGACTTTTTTCGGGACAAGCACAATACCGTTCCCTGAAATCTGTTAACGGATGTTTACGCGAAAGCACCTGCTGATTGAAAGGGTGTATTCAAAATTGATAGGGCGAGAGCCAGTTGACCACTTATCAGTCAGCTGGCAGCAGCCAAAAGCACGAAAAAACGGTCCCGAAAACGCGAACCGCCTTAGGGAGTCAAAAATTCTCAACCCAACACAAAGTGGGTAAGCAAACCAAACTGAGTGTGTTATTTGCGCAGCGCGTGCCTGACCCTGACTGGCCCCCGGAAAAGCGTTGTTCAAAACATTCCTATTCTTTCACCCCCGGTTTCTCCACGCAACTCCCAAGAAGATCTTTATGAAACAATTCAAGTCATAAAATGCAAACACATTCCTAGTAGAATCACATGGACATAGTTAAATTCGTTAACGACTAGATTCAAATATTTAAATTCCTATACAATTAACTTTTAAAGTGCACATCGTCGCTAGGTGTCCCTGTGCGAGGAGCCGGGCATTCCATACGGATAGTTATCGGGGCCGGAAGACCTTGTCGAGGAGGAGTCCGGCGTCCAGCTAAAGAAAAGCTCGGTGAAAACTATATAAATCATACTTATGAGGGGCAGGGGTTTCTCGAATCATCTGATCAATCCGTTCGCGTGCACCGCGAGACTAAGACACCCATTTAAATTATTTTTAGCAAACACACCATTCCATCTTGGCCCTGGGCACTCTGATCTGCGTGCTGACGATGATCGGGCCTTCCTTCTCGTCTAAAAAGGACGTTTCGCATTTTTCAGAAAAACTCACCCAGAATGGAAGATCGTCTGCACAAGTGCAACAACTCCGAACACGACGGCGTATGTAATCAGCATCTTTCGAATAAATGCACGCCGGATGGCCTCTTTTTCCTGTGGCGTTTGGTTGTTGCCTAAACACCATGCAGAACCATAAAATAAGCTCACCCCAATTGAACTGCCATTGAAACTTGAAATCGCCGTCTCCGGGCGGACCATTCGGGTACCTAAAAACAAAAAAATAAAAGATCAGAATGCTACCTACTTCTTTCCAAATTCACCCCAACGTTGCGCGCGTCGCCTAGCCAATTCCTCCCATATATTTTGCTCGAAGCTCGTGTTGTTCTGCTGAGACTTTTTACGAAGCTCTTCCCAAATCTAGGAAAACAATTAACAACAGAAAGGCAAAACGAACGCGTTCATATTCAGCCTGAGTGTGTCGCCTGCCGCCTCGTGCACCTTGTGAAGTGTACTGCCACTGCGAAGCCGTTGCCCGTTTGTAAAACTCCTAAAAAATAAGGTAATTAATCGAAGAACAGGACGTACCTGGAAAGGATCACCCTGATATCCATGATCACCCGTGTAACGTGGGCCTCTAGCACCGCCACGCATATTGTCGTAGGTCCTGAATACAATATAAGAATTTAAAAAACCAAAATGTGTACCTTCTCTTAGTCGGATCCTTTAGCACCTCGTAGGCCTCGCTAACCTCGATGAATTTGGTCTCACTGGATGATCCAGCGACATCGGGGTGATACTAAAATAAAGGCAATAACAGTCGCTGCAAAATTACATGCCTTTTTGGACAGCGTGTAATAGGCGTTCTTAATCTCGCGCTGAGTGGCCGTTGGTGAGACTCCGAGAACATCATAGAAGTCGCGGGAGGAGCTAAAAAATACTTCAAGATTTCGGCATAAATGCACCTGGTCGCAAATCCTCGGAGAATCTTCGGCAAGCCCAACCTTCGTAGAGGCTCTCGGGCCCGCAACATCCTGGCGGGTGCCCTAGCTTCTGCAAATCAAATAACGGTGAAATAAAACGAAGATGAATGATCGGAACAAGGAGAGACTGCGAAATATCGCTATAAAAGAAGCAAGCCCCCGCGATCCAGAACATCGGAAGCACTTCCTCAAAGCAATTCTAGCTACGACAATAATAAAACAAAAGAAGCGCTTTAACTTCAATTAAATTTTTCTTCAACTTTTTCGATGTTTTGCTCGGTTAGCAAAGCGCCCGCGGGCGCGCGCCCGAAAACCCAAAGCGCCCGCGAGCGCGCCCGAACTGGACCATTTTGCGCCCCGGGCGCAATTTTTGCAAAAGGGCGCAAAACCGCCCCGGGCGCAAAAAGCGCCCATGGGCGCAATTAGGGGCGCGCCCGCGGGCGCATTTGAATGGTGAACACCTTTCAATTCTGCGAAAAAACGGCTAAGTTCCTGGATTATGCACTTATTTATGTTCAAAACATATATAAATTAACAAATACGTTACTAGGTTCGCTTGGTTATCGTCGTCGCATGTAGAATACGATACTTTGAAGCGGCATGGCGCAGGTAAAGAAGGTAAAGTTTTGCTAGGCAACCAGTCCCTTCAAAAAACTGTAAAAAATACTTTAGATTTAGATTTATAGATTCTCGATTTATATAAGTCAACCTTTCAGACGATCATGGTCATCATTGCAAATGGGAACTGCGACGATTCCGGTATCTCTGGGGCGGAGTTGCAAAGTAAGTCGGCAAGAAGCAAATCAAAGAAAGTTTTCAGGAAGCGGGAAGAAAGTAAGTGCGAATTACGAATTTTATAAAGGAAATTAGGTAATTAGCTACACTTTTAGGGGCCGTCTATCGCGCATTCGAACGTATCCGTAAGTTCCAAACGAAGCTAAAGCCAAGAAAGCAAAAAAAAAAAACATATTTCAGGTGCGCAATACAACCAATTTCTCAGGGAACGTGAAGATCTACATTAAGTATAGGGTACAGCGTCGTTAAAAGCGATGTAGTGCCCTTTTTTAAATAATAAAAGCATTAAAAGAACCCGTCCTACGCCGCTACAACGCGATTGGGGCGCGCCCGCGGGCGCTTTTGAGTTTCGGGCGCGCCCGCGGGCGCTTTTGGCCATTGCGCCCGAGGGCGCGCCCGTGAGCGCGCCCGCGGGCGCAATTTCGGGCGCGCCCGCGGGCGCTTTACTAACCGAGTGATCCCGTCCTTTCCCGGAATAAAGCTTCGCCAAGCAGGCTCAGAGGGCACCCGTCGATAGGCTGGCTACGTTGCCGATCCCCAACAATTTCACCAAAAAGTAAACAAACAACTCTGTAACTAAAAACGCCGCAAATAAAGCAATGACACCCGAAAGCATTCAATAATTTATTTAGTTGCTTTTTCGTTAGCGCTGCTCCGGGAGTATGTAGGTCGTAGGAATCGTATTTAGCTGCTGTGTTGCCTTCAGAACGTTGACAGGGGTTACTAGAACGTTGCTTGTTGTAGGATAGAGTAGATTACATACCCAAATCTTTTAGACTATCCAAAATGAAATGTAGAACAGTCGGTGAAGAGGAGGCTAGTTTGAAGATGAACGGCAGTGAGAAGTCTTCGTAGAATCCGTTTTCGCCCAGTTTGCTTTGCAAGCCATCCTGAATTTGCTGGGTTGGGTTACAAATCGTTTTTGATACCTGATAAGCGATTCGAACCACTTCGCGTAATCGGAATTTATGTTTGTGGGAGATAAAATTAAACAGCTGGAATCGTGATTATTTTGTTGTGCTATTTGAACCCACGTTTACATAGGCGTGATGCCAGACTTGAAAATCTCGTTGGCGCATTCCCTTTAGATAGTCTTTTGCCTAAAATAATGGCGTGATTTTGGGTATTTTTACTTGCCGAATATGTTTTGAGGAAAAAGTTTTTAAAGCGGTGTAAGCCTGCGGAGAATATATTCGCGACGATGGTGCCGGTGAAGTTGTGGCTGGAAGTAGAGAATATAACTTTTGATCTTGATTTTTCTCTACTTACACAATATGAGTCCACAGCCATTCCAATTTTATGCTTGGCCCTTCGAGCCGGAGAATCGAGACGATGATTTCTTCGGCTTTATCCATGTTAGCCCTAAGAATTTATTTAAAGGTTTCACAAAATAAACTTACAATTGTACAATAACAAAATCTACAAATTTTAGAAACGTCGCAACCGATTCGGCTCGTCTGGAATTCACTTAATACGTGTATATTTTTCAGAGTTACCTCAGGGTATGGTATTGGTCTTCAGGATTTTTATTATGTGAAAAGCAAGGCCGATCTTTATTCATGCCTATCAGTTCGGAGGCAACTCGACATAAACTCTGAAATATTTGGAGTTAATGTATAGCGTTTTTCGATAAATACCTGTAACATCTCGATGTAGAGCTCGCAACTGTTTATTGTAAGCAGGGATGGCTGTAGGGTGACAAAAATTTCTTCAATAGCATTTCTCAGTGAGTTATTACTTTTATACGCTAAAAAGTATATAGTGATTATGCTTGAAAAAGTAAATAAGAATGTGGAAAATAAACAAACCTGCTTTTTCCATACGACTGAAGGAAGAATGAGCCGACTCGTGTACTAATCTCCCAAAATAATCGATTACAGAGCTTCTGAAAGGAATTTTGTTGAACTTACAAACGCTTCACCTCATCATGGGGATCTTCTGGAAGACACTAATCGGAGTTTCCGTCAATTCTTTGACTGAAGTATTTGCATATACAGCTCGATTCCGATATAGGGCTTGTACATCCCCTTTAACCATTTCCATAAATCGATCCCGCAACGCCATATTGTCAGCGAGGCCCTGTAATTTTGATCATTAACTTAGAAAGTTCTAATTTATGCGTACCCGCGCCAAATATCCGGTTTTCTTTTCTTGTTCAATGATTTCTTGCGGGTCAGCTCGGGTAATGTTAGCGGTCGGCCAGCTAAATCGTGGAGCAGCCACTTCAATCTGTCAAGATTTTTTACATTTTTCTTGCTTGTTTTTCTAAAACCTGTGAAGACGGCCTCATATCGACATCTTCGATCGTTTCCACACGATTTGCTGATGGGGAGGCCGGGCATTGTTCTGTTGGTGAAGCTGGGCCCTCAGCATCGGGTGAAGCGGGCCCCTCTTCCATATCTCTATAAAATAATCGTAAATCTGCGTTAATGCAAAAAGGTATGGAATTAGGTAGTGAGCTTTTAGAATAGAGTTTTAATTTCAAAGGCCCTCTTCCAAACCACTGTCAACGGTGGCGCAAATTGCACACAACTTGTTTGTAAAGTGGAGTGCAGTGTAGTCACGGAGAGTCGACCCGCAGTGAGAAAATTGATAAGGTTGTAATTTAACTGTCAACAAATTTAAATATGATTTATTTGGGGGTCACCACACTTGACATTTTTGTTTGGCGACCATTGGCGAAGTTGGCGGACAATTAAAATTTGCTGCGAATTCCGGCTGATTCGACAAGACGGTGTTGACCCGATTCCGATTTGGACTATGGACATCTCCTGGGGTCTCAGCGAATAAATATTCTGGTCTACTGGATCCACACCAATTCTGAACAAATTCAGAAATTCGTTGCTAGATACTGGGAACCTACAAATGCAAATCCCATGAAGAATATTTGGGTTGGGGTATATTTTTGGAGACTGGCAGCTGATGGTCGATTTCCTGCCTGGCCTTTTGAGATTAATTCCTGAAAATTGGGATTTAAATGAATCCTTAGATTTTGGAAAACGTTATATAAAGTCTATCTAGAGATATACCTGAAAAGCTAGGAAAGCTGCTCGAAAACCGCCATTATCTGCAATATTCTCCCCCAACGTTTTCAACCCGTTCACCTTCAAAAATTACAGTAGAAGGACAACTAAAAATTGGCAAAACCTTCAAATTCAATCCCTCCACTTTTTGCTTTCCATATTCCTCGATAAAGCATTCGGATTTTGTATTGAAATTCGCGAGGGTTCCCTTATCCCACCAGTTGTATTTATTGCCCTGGGCGTCGAATTTTGAGCCTGAAAAGCATAGTAATCTTTCGGGAAAACATGCCGTAATCGTCGAAACCATGTGTCATTTCGTGGCCGACAATCGTGCCGATGGCACCGTAATTTTGAGCTCTAAAAGGCTTCATTTAACTAGGAAAGTGCCACTCTAACCTGGATTGGCTGATATTGAAAAATGGAGCTTGGAGAATACCAGCAAGTATAGCTAAAACGGCATTTTTAAAAATAGTTTTACAACAAACCAATCGTATTATAATTCGGGGAATAATAAGCATTGACAGTGCTGACCAAAAAGTCAAAGCCCTCGGCACCGTTTTCTTCGAGCAACGTCTTGTAGTTTGAATTGACGATGAATTTCGCGAGTTCACTCTCGATTTTGTAGCTCGACGAGTTTGGACGGAAATAAAGCTTAAAAAGGGATTTTATGGCCATTTTGTTACACTAAAATAATTCTACCTCAGCATAGGTCTGAGTGACCCTAGTTTGATTGAATATTTGCGGGTTGAAGCCGACATATTTTTTCATGGCCGTCGCCTAGAAATTGAGCACGAGTCGAGAGTTACTGTAATATACTGTACCTTTCGCTTAGCTTGTTCTCGCGTATTTGCATCAATCCAAGAATCGGAGTCTAGCATTTTGAGAAAAGAGGCGCGAACGTTGTTGGCAATTGCGCTAACTTCATCAAGAGTTGATTGTTGGAAAAATCTGAATTTTAATGGGTATAAATTACTAGAGTAAATATTAAAACCCTTGACTCCTCTTACCTTTCTATATACATAGCACTTGCCACCTCATCAAATATCTTCACAGATTCCTCGATACAAGTCAGTACAGTTACCGTATCCATTTGTGGATGGTCATCTTGGGCAGCACCGTAAACATCAGTTTGGAAAGACTAAAATAGCAAAAATCGGACGACTTAATCGAATTACCTGCTGCAAATCGCTGATGTCACTTGTCAAATAATTAATCATATCTTCAGCTATCTAAAGTGAGTAAAAAACAAATTAATATTTTATTTAAATCACCTTAAAATCGATATAATCGATTAGTTCTTGTCTTTTTAGCGTCCTAAGGAAACGATCCAATTGCTGCAATACCGTATCGCCGAGAAGGTGAACAGGGAGCTAAATTTCCGGATTAATGGAAGGTACAGAGGACAAAAACGTACTTTCTCTAGGTCTTTAGTTTGTTGAATATCTTTCGGAAGTACAGCTTTCCAATAGGCTGTCATATTTATCTAAAAGATGTTAAAATCGATTTAAAAAGAATTTTTGATAGGCTGGTACGCAAAAATACCTCTTCCATAATATCGTCCAACTGGCCAACTGGTAAGACACGATCTGATGAGGTAGTTACGGAATACCCTGCCATTATCTGAAATTAGAATAGTTGGAATATTGGATTTTTACTCTTAAAAAGACCGAATTCTAAAAAATAATTTCAATAAAAAATCAGCAACCTTCGAAATCCCACGATCAACTTTAATGATATTTTTGAACTTTCGCTCCACATCCGTCCCGTTATTTTTGAACACAGTTTGCTAAAAAATGAGTTATTTATTACTTTTAATACCTGTTTATCATCCTTTGCGAGCATGTACAGTAGAGCTTTGATAAAATCGGTAGCTTTTTGGTACTGGGCTTTGTATTGTTCTTTGGAATAATAATTCCAATCGAGTAAGGGGTCGGCGGGTTGCATCTGGCAAAGGAATTATCGCGCTATTTCTTTCTCTCTCTCTCTCTCTCTCTCTCTCTCTCTCTCTCTCTCTCTCTCTCTCCCTCTCTCTCTGCCTCGCTCTCATTCTCTTGCATTCTCTCTCCCGCTCACTCTCATTCTCTCTCTCCCTCTCTCTCACTCACCCTCGCTCTCTCTTATCCTCATTCTCTCTCACTTCCTCTCTCACTCTCTTCACTCACCCTCGCTCGCTCTCATTCTCTCTCCCTCTCACTCTCTCTCTCTTTCTCTCCTTACCAGAAGTATATTTTTCTTTGAATCAAAATCATCCGGTCCCACGCCAACATTAATAAAAATAGTGTTGGGATACATTGAAATTAACATATCCGTTAATGTACTATTTTCTTTGACTATTCTCCTAAAATTTTACGTAACATTTAATAGACAATTAGTGATGTAATACCTTCGCTCCTGAAAATAAAGACTATTATCTACACTCCTCGATCCATTTCGATCAATACAACTGTGGGTATACTGTAGCATTAACTGGCGCTCACGATTGTTGTCAAATACTGATGGATCGATGAAAAGGGCTATAATCGAAATAAAAAAAATATTATATTACAGTAACGTACTGTAATATTGGATTAGCACATTGGCGGAAAGTTTTAGAATATGATTATTCGTCACATCATACCGGGTGACCGGATTGGCGCGTAGCCAGCCGTCACAAACAAATCTAAAAGCAGCTTCCATATACTAGTTTAAAAGCGTTCGAATTTACTGGTAAAAATCATTGCACGGATTGAGGGAGGTATTTATAGATTTTGACAATCCACCATCGGTAATGAGATTTTTCTGAGGTTCAGAAACTGGAAAAGTACAATAATATAATACACAGATATTGGGAACTTACCTTTATATCCGCTTTTCTGGTTTTTAGGTTCATTAATAATATTTTCGAGCTCATTGGCGGCAAGTACAAGGTGGCGGGGTAAAATTTGAGGTCTATGCCATTAATTTAACAATAAAAATTATAACTTTACCGGAAAAGTTGAGCTTTTCGGGCGGTCACTGCGAGATAAAAATTGAATATGAAAAATAATGAAATTAGCATAAAATTCATTTTACTAAAAATAGATGGGCGAGAATAAAGAATCAAATACGTCTAGAGTACAGTATAGTAGTTGTACAGACGCCAAAATTAGACAAAAGCGAGGGCAGATCCCGAGTCCACAAACGTTCTGCCGGACGAAATGTATAGACCGGCACCACTCTTTTCTCTATTTGCTTACTAACGGGTGGATGCGGGGGAAAATGGGTTGAAATCCGTCGGGTTTTAAAGGAATGGGACTGTTTTTTTTGGTTTTAGTCATAACCTGCTGATTTCCATAACTAGTCCATTGCCCTGAAAAATAAAAAACCGGGGGTGTCGACCTAGCATTTACTAAGCGGATTTGCATACATTCAACAGGCAACTGTCTGCAACGAAAAACACCCAAAACTGTATGATTTCAATTGTTTCTTTAGAAAATAACGATTTATTCCGATCTACAACACTCTCAACTCAAACAATTTGCTTCTCGATGGCCGGACGTAGATAAATTGGACAATTGCCAGGATTAGGAAGAGTACGGTGGCCGCAAAATTGAAAAAGACTAAAAACATTAAATTTCAACTTAATTCTACAACACTCACAATTTCCGCTGGCCTCCGAGCTCATAAAATCCGTATTGCCAAAGTCGGAATTTCGCGCAAGCAAGTCGAAAATACTTTTCTAAAATATTTAAACTTGGATTTTTATTAAATTTAACTCAAACTACTATAAAAATGCACTTACCAGCCCCGTATAGAGCCCTTGAGCAACGTCGGCACTTCTTAAGAGCACCACCATTCCATGCTCGTCGAGGAATTCCTAAATCCATGGGGAAATGTTGCCTTCAACGGACCTTTAAAATGTTACCTTTGCGTTGTGGAGCATTACATGTGTTATGTAGATACCAAACAAAGTGGAGATAAGGCCGATTTGAGTGACAAGTTGGTTTGATCTGGGGAAATTGGTGTATAAATGGGTGAGAGAGCGGGAGCGAAAAAGAGAAAGAGAGAATCAGAGAGAGAGAGAGAGAGCGAACGAGAGAGCGAGAGAGCGAGAAAGGGAGAGAGAGAGAGAGAGAGGGGGAGGGTGAGAGAGAGCACGAACCAAAAACATGGCCTCACTTTGAATCCAGCGGCACCTCCTCCATCGTCATAATCAACAAAATTATTTGCACCACAATACGTACTAATGGCGACTGCATGGCCACCCAACGCAACCGCCGTAGATTCCGTCTAATTGGCAAATTCTTCAATTATTTTACACTTACGGTGTAGCAGAAGGGCTTGGCAGACATTTGCAACAGCAACACATTGGCGGAACGCTCAATCGAATACGTCCGTTACCTCTAAAGCCGGTTCTTTTAAGTTTAAGGGATCAGGGACATGCTTTATTGTCTTAAGAGCTTCCGGGGTTAGAACAAGCCTTACAGTAAACTTTCTTAAAATACCTTGATAGCAACCACGACGAAAAATTATTGACACCACCGTATGCATTGTACAACAAAGAAATGACCCGATAGAGTGACGACATTAAAACACTAAACAAAGTTAGAATAGGGAATATGTATAAATTTAGGCTTACACCAATCCGATCGAATATAAAAAATCGGCAGATCTGGGGAAAATATTGCCAAGAGCACAGCAGAGAGCAACATTCTAAAATTGTTTTTAAATTTTCAAACATCATGATAAGATTTTAAAGTAAGGGTGTAAGAAAAAAATACTTACAAATGGAGTAGTAATAACAGTGAGCATATCACTTTGTACAAGGTCATCACGAATTAATCGCAAAATGTCGATTATCATTTTAATTGTTAATGCAAAAATGATGAGGAGCATTAGGGCCTGGATGCTGTTGAAGGTTTTGTAAAGGGCTGGCATTGCTAAAAAGCGGAAACTTACTTATGCTCAAACTTATAAAAAAATACAAGAAATACAGACCTTCCCAGTAATCCGACGACTTTGGCGGAAAATTAGAAAAATTCATTTTCGGATCGTATTCTGTAGATGCGGACGCAAATGCACTGCGGACGAGGAGGCGTAGTGTTCAGGCCCTTTTTAGCGATATTTCTGAGCGAGAGACAGCCAGACAGAGCGGAATAAAAGAGCCTATCGCTGTTCGTCTTCCCAGCCGTCCGCCAGTCCCCATTTGGACATTGCAGCTGGGGCGCAAAGTGTGCCGTAAAGCGTCTAGATAAACATTTCTCACTTATCTGATTCAGCAGAGGGGGCCCTTTTCTCTTTGGCGATCTGTTTTTCTGAGTCAGAAATCAGATCGAGTGATTTGTGAGTAGATTAGGGTGGGCGGGAGTAATTACGCTAGTGAATGAGGCAGCCTAGAAATGTAAATGAACAAAAAGCTCATAAAAGAAAAAAAATTAAATTAATTTTCGCGATTTGAATATTTCACGAGTGCGTAATTATGGTAGGTTTGCTATTAAAAAACTTTGTTTCAAAAATTATACATTATTACGCGAAAATTTTTAAAAGGGTACTTTAATAATACTAGTTTCTACTACCTAAATCCTTTTTTAAAAGTTTTATTTAAGCACTTGAGCTAATTAGCTTTTTTTTTAAACATTTCAAACCTTTTTTTAAACTGCTATTTTACAAATTTTTATTTTTAATATCTGACATTAATCAGCATCTTGTAACTTAGCATTGTAAAGAGCAATTTTCAACGCAGAAAACCCATTTTTCGAAACATTTATTCATATCCTCGAGCATACCAAGCCTAAGCCTTGACGGTGCTTGCAAGTCGAGGAGGCGTCTTTTGGAGCGGTACGTACGTGATGGTATACCCATTCGCTTCAACTCCACAAGTCGCATTCACCTTCGCTTGTCCAAAGAATGGGTCCGTGATCTAGGAGAGTGTCGAAAGGGAAGCAACGTATCTTTTGTCCGGGGACCATTGGAACAACCTGATGAGTCAGAAATGATAGCAGATAACACACAGAATATTTAAGATTTTTAAGTTTAAATAGAAAACAAACCACCGCCCAGCTGCCCGTTTTGATATCGGTGATTTTGCCGTCAAACATGTACACGTAGCAGCCTTAAAAATATTTAAATAAAAAAATATTTATATCAAACCGATAACATTAAATGAATTAATCCCATTATCGGTTGCGCAGCCTTTAATCCAGCCATTTAAACTACTAAAAATTGGATATTTCCAGGGTAGCATGGAAATACGTGGGTTGCGTATTGACGCGTACGGCTTCTCCAACAGCAGCTGTCGCTTGTTTAGCATTTTGGTTTTCGTATCGGCACCCTTGAATACAGTATTCAGGAACTAACAAGCCAAAAATCACTTTCCAAAACCCACCCGCAAATATCTCAAGTGTACCCAGCCTCGGATTCCCTTGCACACATTTGTACACAAAAACATTGCTCGAAATCCGCTCGGAACCGACCTAAAAATCAATTCCGAAACTTCCCGGTCCTTTAAACTCCCCTACCGTACACGGCTTGTATTGCTGGGCCGCGGCGAGACCCAATAAAATTGGCCCAAGCGCTAGAAGTTGCATTTCTGGAGTCCCGGAATGACCCCGTGCTGCCGGGGGGTTTCTACTTTTTTGCTGTGCAACTTTTTACAATCGTGCGAATATTGTCGGTTTATTAGGGGGGCTAAACCAGGGAACAGCACGGGGCGATTGGGTTATGGAAATGAGACAGAGAGAGAGTGAGAGAGAGAGAGAGAGAGAGAAAACGAATCCACAATCCACAGTCTACTTTTCAGCCCACATCTTCGCACATCAGGGAATTAACGAGAAATGTTGCGCCGAGGGCCGTCTGGAATTCAATGAATTTTTGGAGATCTTGAAGTTTTAAAACTAAAGGATTAGTAATTGATAAAAGCAGGGTTAAAAACCAAATTTCTTACAGAATATTCCCACAGCATATCGTCGTTACATAAAATAGAAGCTTCCGCCGTCCCAACACCATCCACCAGATCTTCTTCATTCGGCGCTAGCCCCGAAATCTAAATACCTATTATTTAAATTTGAAAGATATATACAGTAATTATAAGAGTGTGGTCGGCCTGTGGAGCTGTACAAGGGAAAGTACGTATCGCACATCCGGTCGAGAAATCCGTGGATGCTGCACCAAAATCCTAGAAATTACATCGTATTAATTAGAGTGTTTGGTAAAAACCAACAATGGCTAATGGTGAAGTGGTAGTGTCTTCCGTTACTGTAGCCGGGTCACATAGAGCACAAGCTATATTTTACTTCGAAATATTCAGATTTTTGGACCTGGCGGTGTTGTTGTGGCCGTTGACGTTTCGGTTGTCGATTCAGGTGTGGTCATCTAGCCCAAAAGTTAAGATAATTTTACAATATTACCGTAGTACTATAGGAAGACGATACTGTAGCCATAGACGCCTAAAAGGTATATTTTTAACTACAATAGCCCTACGGTAGTACTAAAATTCGGGGCATCAGTTCTTGCCGAGGAGATGCCCGTCAAGATTTGTTGGGTGGTGAATACAGTAGATGGGCAGATTGTTACCAAAGTTCTAGTCGAATATAGAAAATAGCAGATTAAGAAAACGGTTTTGGACATTTTGAATGTATAATTTGAATCCAGGGCTCGGGGGGGGGGTGATTTGAAACAATAGGGGCGTTGTATTTGCACATCCCAGGGGTGTTGAGGCTTTTCGGAGGTCAAAATTTGGGCATAACGGAAGTGGGTGAGTATAGTACAAAAGGGTCTCAAAAACGCTTGAATATAGCTAAACTTTGTGATACTAAAGCGTAGGCTAAGGATTAGGCTTGGGCTTGGGCTTAGGTTTGGGCTTGGCTTCGGGTTGGCTTGGGCTTGGGCTTGTGCTTGGGCTTGTGCTTAGGCTTGGCTTATGCTTATGCTTCGGCTGCGGTTTGGCACAGGCTTAGACTCAGGCTTAGGTTTCGCTTGGGCATAGGCTTGGCTTAGGTTTATGCTCAGGCTTCGGCTTCGGTTTGGTTCAGGCATAGACTTAGGCTTCGGTTTCGGCCTAGGCTTAGGGTTAAGCATGGTCTGGTTTAGGCAGGCCTAGGTTTTGGCTTGTCTTGGCTTAGCTTAGGTTTAGGCTACGATTCTACAGTATATCTAAGTCTTGCTCCCAACCGTAAGCCCCAGAAATCTACTCTTTTTCGACAAATCGAGAGCCAACCACCGCCACCTACTCCTCCACCCATCTTTTGTGTTGGATATTCCGCGGGAGGCGCAAATTGGGTTGTCGGTGTTGAGTCGGTTGAATAAGCTTTTCTCCAACCCTTTTTGCCATCCCCCCCCCCCCTTACTACAGAGTCTCGTTAGAGAGGTGCACATCCACCCCCTCCCCAAAAAGTCCTCCCATTTTTTGGTCCACCGCCCTTTGGGGCCGCCCTAAATTCTGGTATTGCCTCATCTCGACTTCCCAGAAAGAGCTTATAGCCACTTGGTAACCATAGATTTTCGAATAAAACATGGTACTTGGGGCAATGGAAGCTACACGAGGGCGTATTGCATAACACCCAGTTTCTGTTTTTCTATACTAAAAGGAAAGCAGCATCAATTATCTGGATGCTTTATGGGGGCATGACTGTACGTAGGTTGTTGTTTTTGGTTGTACTGTAGGTTGATTTATTGACGCGTACGGCTTCACCAACGGCGGCTGTCGTTTGTTTAGCATTTTGATTTTTATAGCGGCAGCCATAAACTGTCCTTTTTAAATGCTAATCGAAGCACCTTGCCGTACATAAAATACCTTACAAAGTTCCCGGGTATTTCTGGGACCCTTTCCAAACAACGCTATAACAATTACAATTTACACCTCCCACCAAATCTATTTACTTGATTTGGGCGGAGGACAATGCCCTCCATCCCCCTACCCCCCCAGATGTGCTCCCATGAAGATCAAATTTCAATCTCCTCCCTCCTCCAGAGGCACTGCCCGTCGATTTTCTTGGCATTTAAGACCTTCCAGATCTACTTCTACTTGTTTACAACAAATTTCTCAACCCAGATTCAAAGCGGACCCTCGCTCCCATTTTCTCACGCGCATTTCCAAGTCAGGCCCGCGGGTTGATTCATCCAAAACATCCCTGCCTCCCTCCCCCCGTCATTGAGCACAGAAACGCAATATTCCAGGATATTCCGATCGGCTACTCTGGACAGTCCATGTATCCATTGCCTATAATGAGAGTCCCCCTTCTATTGTGTTGCCTCCATTTCCCCCCGGGGTCATTCTCACACCTCTACCCCCCACTTCTCCATTCATCCTTCGCAACGATTTTGTGAGCCGGGGGGTAGAGCAGCAAAATAGAGACAGTCCTCCTTTGGGTCTGGCTCTCTTGATCTTGCTCTTTCTCTCTCCCCCTCTCTCTCTCCCTCTCTCTCTCGCTCTCTCTCCCTCTCAGGTAAAAGAGTTTGAAAAACCTGATCAACAGAACACAACTTTTAAAGGCAGAAAATAACCTATAATTTTCCGTATCGACAACTACGCGCCGCTCCAAAAGCCGTATCTTAGTTATATTCAAAAGTTTCGAGGAGATTTTCTCGCCAAGATCATACTGTCGAGACCCAGTCACCCCTTTCACGCCCCCTTAAGAATTTCCATATCTTCCACATCTGGTACCAATTCAACCACCACCCAGCTTTATTTGTTTATTCCATCCATTCGTACTCACAATTCATTTGCCCTCTCGGCCACTCGCATCCACTAGTTCTGCGCGGTCCATTTGGGCATCTGGCCCCTGCCCGGATGCAACTCCGGAAATCGAGGAGTCCACCCCTAATCTGCCAGTGGTCCCGCCATGCCACTCTACTTCACTCTCCATTTCCCTTAAAAATTCGGGGTAGAGCTCACCGTAATCTGTTTTCACATCTGCTCGAAATTCCGTGCAGTGTCCAGAATATCTTGTGCAGAATTTTACGCGGATTCCGGATCTGGTTGCCAGATTTGTGGCGGAATTTCATATCAAGACTTGACTGGACCATTGTTAAAGCATTTTACAGTGTTTTTAAATATAAAAAGCTCCTAAAAACATAGAATATTTTCGAAAATGTATGGCTTTATGGTCAAAACTGTATGAAAATTTACCCAAACAGATATTTTTGTAGCCTTCTAGCAATCAAAAACTACTTAAAAATGCGCTATTTATTATTAACCGATAGGCGCTAAACAAATTTTTTTTTGTCCAAGCTCAAAAGCCCCACACCCCCTCCCCCCCGCTAACAGTCCAGAACCTAATTTTTGGCAACAAGCGGTTTACGCTATTAATATGTGATCAGTTCAGGGTGTACTACCCACACCCAAAAGTGTTCAAATACTACGAAAACCTCTATTGGCTATTCCACAAATTTAAAGACAAACCGATGAATTCTACGAGACTTCTTTACCCCTTTAAAACCCATAAACAGCCATATTTATAATGTGCTAACCCTATTGGGATCGAGCGGATCGCGTGCTTGTCCAGCATTGACACCTGCCAAAACGGGGAGGCCCAATCCACCCCCCCACCTTGAGGCCGCTCCTGCTCCGTTTATGTACACTGACCGCCCTTTGAACCCATTTCCGTCTCTACCCTTCATTCCCGATTTAGACCTAAAGCTTCACGAGGCTCTATTCTAGGAGATCCCCATCTGATCCGATCGGTACCCCCCGAAAATGAAGACTTCTGGCTTATTCCTTGCGCTAATCTGCATGTATTTTGGTGAAGTTACCGCAGACCAGACGACAATCCCTTCCAGTTAGTTACGCTTCTAGTTTATAATAATATTACGATAGAAGCTTTTAATTTTTAATTTTATTTGAATTATTTTCAGTTCTATTGGAATCGTGGGCCCAAGCCCTGCGCCCATCACCCTCAAGAGCTCCGACCCCGCCCACCATTTTGAGGAATCGACGACCCGAGGCTGTCACATCACCGCAACAATAATAAAAAAGCATTACAGAATCTTCATTATAAAAAGCTATTTACATTCTGGATAATCTAAAAGCACTTGTATCAAAATGGCTCGATTCTACAGTTTAAACGGACATACGGAGGAAATTCGCGCGCATTTTTTACTGAAAGGATTAAGATGGTCTATTAATTGATTGAAAGACTTCAAAAAAGATCGTTGGTCGTGTGAAAGCATAAAAAAGCAATATTCGCCGTTTTTATGAATTACCGAGCTAAAAAAAAATCCAAAAACAACTATGAAAATCCGGCGGCAAGCTTTAAAAAAATCTAGAAATTTTGGAAAACTCAATTCTTTCTCCTCTCGAACCTAATTATTTAGCTTAAACATTGTGTAACGTCCCTTACTTGTTTTTGAAATCCCTCTCATTCTTTCAGACAAACTAGAGAAGTCCTGGCACGACGGACTGCTGGTTGTATGCTGCCCGGCGCGCCCGTTGGGTTTGTGCGTTGACTGCTAGCCCTCCAAGATGCCGCACGGCCCCATGTTCACCCCAGTCTTGCTAACTATATCTCTTTTATTTAATCTTCCGCCGGGGCTTTATGACACTGCATTACTTTCTAAAAATATTTCTCAAAGATTTACCGTCGTAGAACGACTAAACATCGACCAGAAATGGCAGGCGGCGCGCCAAATTCGTAGAGAGATGAGAGTAGAAGCATTTGACCAGCATCCGGGTTCGATTTGCGTGAAATAGCAACAATTTTTGACGCGAGAAACGCGGACGATCGATTTTACGCCGAAAAAAGATCACAAGCCGCAGAAATCAATACAAAAGTTATACCAAAAGCTACTCATTTTCTTGCTAAAATGTTCTTGCAACTAAAAACGGAACCTTTTCCGACATTGTTCCCCCTATCCCAGATCAGTATTGAGTATTTACAAGCGGCTAACTGTACTAAAATTATGGGGGCCAAATCGGCCCCATCGAAATGTTCCGAGCAACAACCATTACGGATTTGTTGTCGCGCGGAAAAGCGTACTGTGTGAGGGGCCGATTTTAGGAAAGTGAGTTTAATTAACACGGGATTTCGCAAAAAAGAAACGGAAAAGAAAGAAGAAAAGAAAAATAAGAAAGAAAAAGAATAAACAGCGTATAATTCTAAACCATAACTTTAGTTTGGGTAGCAGCGCCGCTGATTTAGATTGGTAAACAATGTGAAAAACGCGCCGTTTTCGAAGAATTTTTTTTGGATAATTCGCCGTTTTCTTCGTTCGCTCCGTGTATCAGTGCCCGATTTTACCATTTCTTTTCAGTATGTTGGCGGCTCGTACTCTGGGATTTGCCCGGGTTTCCGCGCGGGCTGCCTCGTTCCAGGCCGTCCCGACGAATGCTGGCCGGACACCGCCAAAGCTCGAGGACTTCGATCCATTGAACCCTGGGGAGTGGCAACTTGGCGTACGTTTTTCTTTATCTTGAAAAATCGTCATTGAAGCTGAATTCAAAATATCAGCGAAGCGCTCGTATTTTCGTTGCGTTTATTTTTGCCATCGCGGGTTTTTCAATGCTTCAAAGTTTGGCGTCAAAACAGATTTTCGTCCTTTTTCTGTGTCGCCGGGCAATGAGATAAACTTTGATTCCACAGTGATTGTTATATTTTCAGGCTGGCGGCAAGATCCTTCCGCGTCTACCTGAAGGAACCCGATGCGGCAACTTGGTGATGGGAAAGTATGGTCTCTATGACCCCGTGCTGAAGAAGCGCGTCGATACCTACGCCGTAGGATTTATCCAAATAATTTTAAATTCTAGTTTAGAAAGCCCTCCTCGATGGTGCCAAGTCTGAGGATGCTGGACCATTCGACCGCGGATTGACCAAGGCCGTGAAGATTCTTTCCGCCGCTTGCCTCGCTATTGGTCAGTTTTCTTGATTGAAATGAGAGGCCTGTAGACTGGGGAAGCACCTATTTCCAAAAATGCAAGAATGTTGATCCATCAAACGCATTTTTAACCCAAAAATAAGGCTTCGTGCCACCCGAAGCGACGGCCCGCCTGGCGTGACAATGCTACAAGCGTAGTTCTCACTATGAACTTGTTTTTGGCTTATATTATCGTCTAGGCTAGAACAAACCGCTTTTTAGGCGTTAACATGAACAAAAGGAAAAAAATTTTGAATTTAAAACGCAACTTTCATTGTTCGGGATAGTGATTTTCGGAATCAGCGCGCAAAATTCCGCCAGAAAAACGAAACAAAACGTTTTATTAGGGCCCGGATTCCGAAATGGCGCCGGCTCTTGTTAGTTTTTCGGCAAGGAACATTGGATCTTTCTCTATTTAGCTTTAATATACAGGTGTTTACAATATTGCAACCCTCGTCAACGGCAAGCCCCTCCCTCCATTCACCAACCTGAAGGCACCTGGATCGAACTAAACAGAGAACCGCCCCCACTCAGCGTTGTAGATCATAAATGTTTTTGTAACTGTTAAAATTACTAGTTATAGTCGCTATGACGAGTCAGCTTTCCCACTCCGTTTTCGATGTATTCTTATTGTCTATCGTCTGCGATAAATTTTTTCAAATTACCTCGGCAATATTTTGAGAATGGAACCATTTGGACGCATCTTATTTTTGTGTATTTGAGGCGATTGTTTTGGTGCATGGGAGGGGTCAGAGTTGATGAGTGATGTATCGAGCTTCTGTCGATAGTGTCGATATGACTGGAAGTATAGAAGGACGTGATGATGATCTGGGAGTTCCGACAACTTCTGAGCCAGTACGGCAGGTAGATTTCGGCAGTAACCTTCGTAGATTTTATAAAATATAGAGTCCTGTTAAATTGTATAAAATTCCAGTTACCATCATTAAAACTCGATCGAGGGTTTTTGCTCCAACATGCACTCGATGTGGAATAGTAGGCTTCTAATAGTCTCGCTATTCTTTTTTAGCGCAATCGTGTGCCGCAATCCTCTCGATGGTATTTACGTCGTGCCGAGTGCAAACGACCCACTGAGTAAGTGTCACAGTGGTTGATCAACGAACCCATCCAGGGTGGTTTGGCATGCTGTTCGTCCGTCGTGGTGAATATGCCGGCGCCATCCTGAGGTTTACAATCCAGATGCCTGCCGATTTCCCAGCCACCAATGAACTACCGGTTAGGCAAAACAAATTATCGGTAATCAGCCTATTAGGAAGTCAAATTTGAAAATGATATATTCCATCCGAGCATCGATCTGAAGACGAAAATCTTGTGCATGTCGAGGTAAGCAAAAACGAACGATTTCTAAACGTATTAGATACTTTCCCGACGGCTGGAAGCGTGACAAACATCATGTATATAACGTGCTACTTGTTGTACAGGTGCGCCCAGGTATCAAGTCAAATTTGCGTTTATTTAGAGAATATTTTTCACCTCACAATTCCCGCCGGAACAGGCTGCGAACCCAGAAGCTGCGATTCTATATTCGAGTGATCGGGTAAATCAACTCTCAGGACACTTTTACAGCGAATATTTCAGAAACGTTTCCGTGAAATGGTGCTCTCTTGTGTGAATCAGACGAGGGTTCGAATCTATGATGATCCGCCGCAAACGAACGACCCAAATGCTATTTGGTAGGCATGGCTTTACCCCAACTACGAATGTTTATAGGGTCAGCCCTTGGAATTCTGAAATACATGAGCCGCAAAGGAAGCAAATGATGCTGTTAGGAAAGGGGCTTGGATCAGGTGCGCTGGCATTTAATCCCCGGAAATATCACTAATTAACAAGCCTAACCGACACGTTTCAGAAACGCAAGCGTGGAGTGAACGCGGGCATAAGGGTGGCTTTTCATGGTTGGACACCGAAAGAATGACCTACATGACCGAGCCACTATCTTCGCATCAGGTTTGGTGTCATCTAGAAGTCGGACAGACTAAGAAAAAGCCGGGGGAAACTAGCATAAGAGGATTTTAGGACGAAACAATGGAAAAAGCAGCTGTTGATCGGGCCATCCACGGCATCGAACGACTTGACCTCAGTTCCATGGACCGCGATGAAGATCAGGCGGCAGCACAGAAGGTTTGTCAAGCATAAGGGAGCTTTTCAGTTACAAAAAAAGCTGCCCTAACACAAGCGCTTTTAGGTAAACGGTGCTGGCGAAACGGAGTACGAAGAAACGGCCGACGTCTAACCGTTTAAAAGATTTATGAAGGCCGTTGCTACAACAAATCATTGTGATACCCTATTCGCTTCATACACTTGCATATTTTTGGAGTTTTTACGGGAATAAAACGGTTTAGCAGCAAAAATCGATAAAACATCCATGACAGAATTCACAGGAGGGAATAGCAGCGTTTGGCATGAGCTAAAAAAGCAGCTGACTAGCATATTAAAGTAGCTTGGCGAGTATTAGTGACAAATTTTGACAAACGGGACGCGCATCGCTTTTATCGGAACCCTAAGATCAGAGAACCCTACATGAATTCCGCGATCAAGACCAAAAACTCCTCATCTACTCGCTAAAATATTCCAGGTCCAAAAACCCCGGACATAGTTTTCCCTTTTCCCAGTTCAGTATTAGATCACAAAAAGACCTTCATACTAAAATTCGGGGCGCCAAATCGGGCCCATCGAAAAGTTCCACGCAACAACCATTACGGATTTGTTGTCGCGCGGAAAAGCGTACTGTGTGAAGGGCAGATTTTAGCAAGTGAGTTTAATTAACACGGGATTTCCCAGAAAAAGATACGGAAAAGAAAGAAGAAAAGAAAGAGAAGAAAGAAAAAGAAAGGAAAAGAACCAGCGTATAATGCTAAGTCATAACTTTAGTTTGGGAGGCAGCGCCGCTGATTTAGATTGGTAAACTATGTGAACACGGCGCCGTTTTCGAAGAATTGTTTCTGAATAATTGTTACTGCTTTATTTTCTACATTCGCGTGCTTTTCGCAGCTCTTTCACTTTTGTTTTGCCTTTTCCTTGTCCTTTTTACCATGCTGAGAAGTAGTTTTATTACTCGACGTTTTCTTCGCTTCCTCTGTTTTTAGGAAAATAAATTTGATTGATTCTAAAAAAGGTATGAATTCTTAATCTCAAAATTAAATCTGTAAAATAAGTGGCGACCGGTGGTGATATTGCTAATTTTTGACCTTAGCAGAGTCTTTTAGTTCGGGTTTCGAGGCGGCTGACATGAATTCAACAGACTAGAGAAAACTCAGCCGTTTTAAAGGTAATTATGTTTGTTTTGGTATTCTTACCCCTTTTTTGACTGCAGATTCGTGAATTTATTCTATGAATTCTTGGTTTTAACTATAAGTTTTGTCCTATTTCCAGGAATTGTCACTTTCGGCGTTCAATTTCCAGATGACGAGTCCATATTGACGGATAGCACGGGGCATTGTAGAGGATCCTGCAGATAACGAAAAGGGATTTTGTTCTTCTTTTGGAGTGGCGGAAAGAAAGAGAAATCTAAATTCCAGCGAGAGCCCCCCGGGTGGTATATGCGCGTGTGGGGGTACAACCCAGTTTATCGCCTCGGGCGGTGATTGTCCCAATTCCTTGGAATCGAACGTTAGATAGAAGGAAGGAAAGAGGGGGACTGATAGTCCGATCCTTGCTTCCAATTTACCCTCCTTTTGTATCTCCCCCTATCCTATCACCACCCTGTTTCCGTCGTCCCCGCAGCATTTCAATCCACTTGGATTCCACTAGGGCTTATGAGGCGAAAGTTTTAGTAGTTTTTCGTTTGACCTCATTTGGTCTTTGTGTGATCGTTTTGAGATATGCTCTTGTAGCTTTGGATTTACAGGATTTTCTTTAATCTAAGCCGAGGCGTTTTATTTTTTAACGGCTTTTGTTTTTAGCTCGATGAAAATACGGAAAATCGACGGCTCAATGGATCGATTTTGTTCAAATCAATTGTCTTTTTCATTCTAAGTAGCTGAAACCGCCTAAAACTACTAGTCCAATGCATAAATCGAGTTTCTTGCACATTTTGGGAGGTCTAAATATAACTTTTCCAGATTTTCAGAAGAGATTTTGAGCAAATATTAGTGAATAAAGGATTTTGAACACTTATTTCCTTATTTTTCTCTAAATTTAAATACAACCACTCTCTCCACTTCCCATTCCCTTTAACTAAAACCGCCCAATCGTCCTTGAAGCCCAGATTTTAATCTCACACCCCTATCCATCCCCCACCAGCCCTCATTAGCCACACCCTGTTTTTTTCAGTCGCTTCCCTAACTAGTTCCGACCTTACGCTTCACGTTTTTGGCAGATTTTACTATTTATTTATTGGTTTACGATCATAGATGTCAAGCCGAGCCGGCTTCTGGCAGCAGCCAAAGGTGGCCGACGAGCCGAAAAAGGTGCAGCGCAACGAGTCGGCTGTTAGTAAACAGTTTCAAGTGGGTGTTCAGGAGGGGTTTGAGATTTTAACGGAATTTTTTTAGCCTTCGCGGGAACGAAACGGCAGTACGGAATGGCTAGATACACAAAGTCGCACTTCCGTAAGTCTACAATTAAGTTGAGAATTGATTTATTGATGTTTGTAGGCGAACAACCACGGGTTTACTCCGTTTAAATCCGTGAAAGACGCGAATGGCAAAGCGGAAAAGGGGAAAGCCGATCCATTTGAGTATACGCCTTCTGCTTTTGCGAATGGTTAGTTGAGCAATAGTATAGAGAAATATATAAATATATAAAGTAAATAAATATAAATATTTTGTCAGGCCAACATCAAGCTCATTCTACACCCAAGATCGGTCGACCCGGATCAGCCGTCCCACGCGTTCCGACGATACCTCGGGGTGAGAAGAGCTATACGTGGGGCAGGAATGGAAGTGAGAATTTAAAAGTATAAATATTATTTAATGAATTTCTAGTGCCAGCACCTCAGCACTATCGTTCTGTCTCCGCTATGGGACATCCAAACATGGGCACCTTGCAGAGGGCCCCGTCAAGGACATCCGACGTTCCAGTTCATACACGTAAGTCCTGGAAATCTTACAAGTTGTAAAAGTAAGTAATTATACCTTTTAATTTAGTGGGCTCTCGCTACCAATCCTACACAACCCTTCCCCGCCCTGAGCCAATGGATGCGTACCGTCTAGAGGAGCAACCGTACTATGCGCAACAACATTATTACCCCGGACCGCAGCCAAAAATGGTGGGGATTAGCATAAAAGGCTATAAATAAAAAGTATAAATTAGCTATGAGATTTTACAGCAATTCCTAGAGGTTTCGTCGCTCGAAAATCGCAACTTTTAAGGCTGACAAAGCCAAGGTCATTGCCGAAAGGGAGGGGTATGCATTAGCCGGGGGCTGGCAGAAGCTTTTAAGGGGATTAGATAGTCTTTCCGCTAACATTTGCCTTGCTTCCTGACAAATTTCTTTTCAATGCCATTCTACTATGACGATAATAATGCATCGATTGAGGTTAGCAAAGATAAGAAAAAACAAATATAGAACAGTTTAAATTCTTCCTAGCGAATTATAATTTAAAAATCACGATAATAAAAGTATAAGACTATAATCATAAATTAGTATTATTTATAGATAATCTCCCGCCCACCATCAGCCCTCCCGATGGGAAGTGAGTACGGCCCGATGATGGCCCCTCCCCATATGCCCCCACCGCCACAATCCTATCTACCTACCGTAAGCGGATCTCAGGTACCGTATCTCCGTTGTAAAAAATTAAATTTTGATACATTCAGACCAACCCAAATGCGTCAATTGTCATGCGCCGGGAAGAAATTGTCGCCTGGAATACCCTGTGGCTTTTCTGTTCTTTGAAGGTAAGTGAAATCCATAATTATTAACAGTCTTTAAATTAATAGGTCGTATTCGCATTGGCCATTTTTGCCGCCGGAGCCTACCGTATGCTTGTACATGCGAAGTGGGCATATGGTGTCGAGTTTGTGTACGCATTCTCGGTGTTTATTGCAGGTAAGGTTATGGTTTTTGCCGGGCTGGTTTCTATATGTATATTTTGAAATTCTGCATTTTTTATCTCATAGTTATCTTGTTTTTTTTTCTTTTTTTAAGGCCACTTAATTTTTAGGCTTGATTGGTATCGGCTCTGTCCGTAACAAGTCGTACTGCGCCGCCACGTTCGCCTACATTCTGGCCGGGCTGAACTTCTTTGCGTCGCTTGTCCCGTTCACGCTTGGTATTAATTTTTGATTAAATTAATATACATAATACTTGATTTCAGGTGTCCTCCCATTCCTGAGCTATTTCTTCCCGGACGTCGCGCAACAAGTGCCGGTGACGAAAAACGAGCCCTGGGAGGTGGATTGTGGGTTGGCGCTGGCTGTCGCGACATGTGTAAGTTTAAAAAATTAAATTGATATTTTAGTTCGTTCATTTATTTAATTGACATTTTAATAGGAATTGAATTGCATGAATTTAATATTTATTAAATTGAATCTAAATATAGGTTTATATAGATTATTTTAATTTCAAACTTCAAAATGATCTAAAAATTACATTCTAGGGTCTTATCTCGTTCCTAATGGTTCTATTTGGATGCAAAGCGCTTGGAAATACCTGCCGTGGTGTGGAGCAATTGAGGGTAATTTTACAATAAAAAATACACATATTTTAAATAGATCCGCTCCGATTTGGATACGTCATTTGGTGCTGAACCACTCCCCGTCAAACAATAAACTTCTCAAATATTTGCTTTCCTACCAAATCACCTTTTTCCATGATATTCCGCTACCGTAACCTTTTCCCAAATTGAACTTGTCAATCCTCTCACAAAAACAATTTTCAAAACTTTATTTATCTCATCAAAGCGCAATATTGCCCAAATATTCCTACATCGAAATCAAAATCGAATATATTTCATATTATTTCTTGGTTCTCCGGCTTTTCGACAAAGCAAAGAGATTGGAGAATCGGGGAGGGCAGAACTATGATTATTCTTTATATTATGAAAATGAATAATAAATAGAAATTTGGAGACTACAGGCTACAGATGGGCCTACACAGCGCAGTGCTAGCAAGCAAAATGGGGACAACGGAACCGGATATATCATCGAAGATTTTGACACAAAATATTTGAATCACGAATGAAATATGGGGGCGTAGCAAAGAAATGGAGTTTTTGAATGCGGTTTTCCAGTAAAGCCATTTCTTAACTGCCCCTAAAAATAATGGCAGTTTTAAAATAGAAGTGCCATCGGGGAAATAAAAAATATTTTTGGGAAATGGGGCTTTGTGCTAGATGCTTTTTTAATGAAAGAATTGAGCGAACTGAAGGAACGAGGGGGGTAAGGTTCGAATCTTTAGAAACAGAAAAATCGGGGAATAAAATCGGGTTATTATGGGCATGAAATGGACAATTTATTGACCGTAGAGTGCTCGGGAGAAGGTGACGTAGTCGAAGGCCCCATTTGGCGCTTCTGGATCTCTGCTAGGGGCCATACGTTGCATACAGTAGCTGGCTTGTTCGGAGGGAAGCTCGCGGCGTAGTTCATCGGCGGTGATAAAGCTCTGGAAATATGAGAAATTGTTGCTAATGTGTTTTTTATGAAAAATAAGGTTTTTAGAAACAGCTCTGTGACGCTCTCTCTCGGTCTCTCGCTCTCTATCGGTATCTCTCGGTCACTCTCCCTATCTCTCTCTCTCTCTCTCTCTCTCTTTCGCTCTTTGTCTGTCTCGCTGTCTCACGCTCTCCATTTCTCTCTCTTTCTCTCTCTCTCTCTCTCGCTCGCTTTCTTGCGCTCTCTAGCTGTCTCTCTCACCTTTCCAGCGGCCAAAATACGGAACGATTCGACCATCTGATCGACAGTATCCTGATCCTGATTCTCCTTTGTCAAAAAGGCAAGAATAGCTTCAAAAGGCACACGTCCCATCCGGTTCGGGTCCAGAATCGACAAAAGTCGCGACAGCTCGCCGTCGCCCTGAAAATTCTTCTATAGTACGCGACGCTCCAAAATTTCCGTAAAAACTGTGAACACACCTCACGACCAGGGCGGATAGGGTATCCGATGGAGAGGAGGAAGGCGCGAAGCTGCTCTTGATCAAGACCAGCACTGGAAAAATAGAAAATTGAATGTAAGCGCAAAATTTGCATACCGATCCTTGTCAAAATGATTGAAAGACTGTTTATACTCGTTCAGCTGCTCTTCGGTGATGCCCTTGCTGTCACGGGTGAGGATCTGGAAAAGTACATAGCTTTACCAGCCTTCTTAGCACCTTTAAATCACGGAACTATAAATTCATACCTGGTTCTCGCATTCGTTGATCGTTTTGTTAATGGATGTAATCAAAGATTCCCAACCAACACGCAGAGATTCCATGGAATATCTGGAAATTAGAATTAAATTTTTACTTTGTAAATTTTAATGTAAATTTAATCTTTAATTTTGTAAATATTGATTCGCATTTAAAATGCTTAAATTAATGATTATATAATTTTCCTACCGGCTCTTCCTGTTCTCAAACACAAAGTTCTCCTGCATTTCCTGGTGGATACGCTCGAGCTCGTCGAGGTTTGGCTTGTAGCCCAGGGACTGAATTTCAGGAATTTGAATCTATTTCTACAAATTTTACCTGTTGATGAAGCTGGTTAAGCTGATCAATAGCGTTCTCCAGCGATCCGCGTCCGCCCATACCAATGGCGAGCACTTGCTCAATCTGGCGCTCCAGCCATGGGCCGACGTTGTTGGCCTTCTGGGCGAAGAGTTCGCGCAAACGTTCGTTGTCTGAAAATAAATAAGTTGGTTTGATTTTTATAACATTGTTTACTGAGTTATAGAGTATTAGCGGTGGGATACTGTCAACGAAGCTAAATAACGTACTCTGCTGCCGGCGCAACTCAGATTGCAGCTGACCATCACGGCGAGGAACAGATTGTTGCACCTAAAGGTTTAAAAAGATTTATTTCTAAGGATTCTACTTACATCTCCCCATTTACGACGGATATCCGCGGCGACAAGGTCGGTGTAAGGATTTCTGAGGAGGGAATGATCGAGGCCGTTGGAGGTGACGAGGTGCTCGATCTCTTGCTCGATTTTGGCGATGCAGCTGAACTCGCGGTCGGCATCTCCGAGGGTCGCCTTGAATTGGTCGTGGGCCGAGACGAGCTCCTCGATCTGGAAATGATGGGGTTATTACTGTGGCAATAGGTAGGTTCTTACCTCCTTCATTTCATGTACAATCACCATATCGGCAAGATCTTCGCGAGCACCATCCATCCAGTTGTTGAATGGGGCGGCCCTAGAAAAAAAAAGCTTTGACATCATAGTCCCTTTAAAACCACATTTTTTCGGTTCTATTAAACGTTACGAGACCATTTTAGCCCTCTAGAACACATTCGAATTACCGTACCTCTTGGCAAAGTCCAAATATAGAGCATCAAGCCGTTCAGCCACCCTCTCGGCCTCCTCCAAAGTCTGGCGACGTTGCCCAGCCAACTGCCCAAGGCGATCCCATTGGGCGCAGATAGTCTAAAATCTTGATGAAGCCCAGATGTGAAAAATCCTACTTGGCATCTTTGGTTGACCTCGGCGATTCCGGGGTATCGGAGGTTAGCAAGCTCGCGGGCGATGGCTGCAATTTGCTCGACACGATCTTGGTGGGCGCCTAGATCGGACTCAAAGGCCTCGTGACGTTTGCGTAGGGCCTGAAAACGTGTAGTTAAAGTACCAAGGTCAGCGTAAAAGATTTGGAAATTCCATAGCCAAGAAAACCTATAGATATGACTTCTCCACCCCTTTAAAAACACCCACCTTAATCTGGTACAATCCAGATGCCTTCCAATCGGTGCTCCTCAGCGCGTCTTCCTTTCCGTGGCTCCACTCCTCGTGCAGCGCGCACTTACGACGGAACTTTTCGGCCAAATGCTCCAGCCGCTCAAGCCTTTAAAACTTTTTTTAAAAAGTTGCGGAGTCAAACCTCATGATTTCAGAAAGGAGCCAATCTTCGAAGCCTTTCTCTGAATCTTCGAGGCGTCCCCAAGCCGAGTTGATGTCCTAAATTTTTTGGTTAGAATGTGGTGTATTGGTAGTGTGCTAACATTCCAGGTTTACTACGCGGGTTCGATCCCGGCGGTGGCGTTTTAGTAAAAGCTTGGAGTATTGGCCTTTTCAAGGGCTTATAGAGACTTTTTACATACCTTGACAAGATGCCCCTCCTTTGGCATAAATGGCGGCCGTCCGGTCAGACGAAGCCGGGTCTGCAGCGTGTTGAAAAGCGTCTCCAGCTTGGCCTTTTGCTCAACGCGTGGCGGCTTCTCGTGACGGCGGTAGTTACGGTAGTCCTGGGATATAAGAATTGGTATAATCTGCATAATTAAATTTTTACATCAAGTCTCTGCTTGGCGATGGGAAGTGTATCATCGGTCGAGCGGTTCGACAGCCACGGCAGCCAGCGGTTGATCCAGGCGAGCAGCTGTAAAATCCAGGTTTAAGAACTACAAACTACAACTTCTTACATCGCTAGCCATCGTCTCATATTCCTGCATCATTTTCTCGTTCTCCTTGTTGAAATCGAGGACGCGGCTGATACGATTTGCAGCCGCTTCTGCCTAAAAAAAATTTGGTTTTATTTTTTAATATTAACAAATATCTGCTACTTCATGCAACAAATAAAAACTACATAAAAATATTTTCGGATGCAAATTATCGATTAATGGGCGGGAATGAGTCTAAATTCCCGGGGATGACAGGGAGGCGGCTATGAGGATATCTGGTTTTCGGACCATGGGTGGGAGGCTTATCTTCTGCGGAGTCGGACTCCCCGGTGCCCCCGCGGCGTTCCGATTTGCATATGAGATAAGCGATGTGGGAAAGAGGGGGACAAAGGGGTTCAAAGAGTTGATATTGGTGTTGCTATTTAATTTAGAAATTTTAAAAACTAACTGACTTTTCTTTATGCTAAATCCGGTTCGAAAAATAGGTTTTTGTACGAGATTAAACAATTAATTTTTTGCAAACCTGTCTCATGCCGGAGAAATAATGGTAGTAGCACGATACATAGGTCATGACGGCCTTCTCATCCGGATGCGAGTTTACCATGTCTGCAAGGCAACGTTTAGGTTAGTGAATGTAGGGGGGACTGGACATTTAGACGATATTTTAATTAAATTTTTAGTTTTTTAAACAGAGGTTTAATGGTAAAAATTATAGTCTCCAGGCAAAGTGGCTTTTGCAATTTGTAGTCGTTGCTTGTAGTTTGTCGCGTAATAGGACAGGACTACAGATTGCCGGTGAGGAAGAATATTCCTGTAGTCGCATCTGCAGCTTGGAGTTCTAGCGTGTTGCTTGTAGTTTGTAGCTTATAGGGAACAGGACTATAAACAACGACGATGATCGAGACGCTGATGGTGTAGAATTGAGCACGACGACGTGTAGAGAACCATTTGAAGCGACGACAACGACGACGACTACACAACACTCCGCAATCACGATGCTTTCCCTCACGTCTTTACGCCAATCGCGCTCTGGCGGTGGTGGCGGTGGTGGTGGCTGAACGAGACGAGCAGGTTGTGGAGTCTGAACCCGCTGCTCGATCTGGCCCCTCTCGGGATGGCCACGGAACGCGTGGTAGAAGCACGAGACGTATGTCATCACCGATTTCTCGTCCGGTCGCGCGGAGAAAGCGAGATCTGTAGCCGGTATTCGGACAGGTATAAGGGCTTTTTAATTAATTTAATCGGAAAAAATGTTGCTTACTATTGTCAAAGTAATTTTCCTAAACCTTACCCTCAGCATCCAACATTCTCGGGATGTCCAGGTGCTTTTCAGCAATGTCGAAGGCCAAGTTGAGATTGTGGATGGGGTCTCCCTAAAATTACATACATACAGATATTATATACAAGATTTAAATGTTGTTTTCAAACTTCAAGGGCTAGTGAAGTCTGGATACCTTGTGCAACTGGCTGTAGTCGAGCAGGTCGGGGCGATGGCGATGGATGAGGGCGCAGAAGGCCAGACCGTCTTTCCAGCTATAAAACATTATTGCAATTTCCGATTTTAATTAAATCAATGCGTTATGTGACGGTATTATTACATACCTATTATGGAAATTCTGGACGTTGACGTTGTTGTAGGGTGCTGTTTTGCGCTGGCACCACAAGAGCAACCCATCGCGGGCGGACATTTCTAAAATAGTGAATTTTTTGATGGTTCTGTATTTGTAGTTTGTAGCCTGTAGCAATATGAGTAGAGTTTGTAGTCTGTAGTTTATACCTTCAACGTTAATGTCCTGGATGGCGAAACGAAGAATGATGGTCCAGATCAGACCCAACGTCATCTTTACGTTTCCATCGACGATTTCTATAGTAACATCAACTATATAATTTATGTGATTATTCTACCTTCAGCTCCAATTGACACGAGCTTCACCCCCTTGCGCTCGATGTACTCGATTGCCTAAACTAATTTAAAAATTTTTGCCATTTTCCGGACCTTATTGACGTTGGCAATCTTGTGGAAGCGCATCTTGCCGCGATCGGGTCTGGGCAGCGGCTCGCCGGAGATGACCTCAAGGAGGAGCATCAGCTTCAGACCTTGGAAGGATGGATATAAGCAATAGAGAGACAGAAAAATTACCATTTCTGAAGTCCTCCTCGATGACCTCGATGGAAGTGCCGGCTTTTCGGAGGTGGGAGTTGCACCAAGCCGTGAAGGTCTGCAAGTTATATTATTTTATTGGTTTCCTTACAAAAAGCCAGATCTTGAAATTTATTTTTGATTTTTGTTTTAATAAATTTGGAAATTTGCTATTCGCTCTACGTGTATTTTAAAGGAATATTGAAGGTAAAATATTTTTGTTCTACCGTTTTCTACCTTTTGCCTTCTTTCCCAACAACAACGCCCAAATTTCGCAACGTCTTCAAGGTGTGTGCAACCGAGGAATGCGGTGAGTCTGTTTCTGTTCCATCCCTCTCTCTCTCTCTCACTCTCTCTCTCTCTCTCTCTTCTTGGGTAAATAATGGTCGGAAGGGGGACGTTGGTGGACGAATGGCGGAAATGCTTCCATCCCCCCCCCCTCCAAATAAACAGCTCCCACAGTCCTGGCGGCACGCGCAACGTGACAGGCCAATGGCCAATGCGAGAAATTAGCATAGGAATTGAATGGTATTTTGATTAGTATTATTCCAATACAATAGTCTAATTATTTTAAGCTCAAACAAAGCGGAAAATGTCACACCTTTTTCTGCTGTTTCTCCCACATCGGGTCGAGCAACCCCTCGCGATCCCATTCCTCTTCTTGCTGTGTGTAGTCGTGCCTTAAGAAAAAAGTTACATAAAATTATGCTAATTTCTTAAATCGATTATCGACTATTTTGTCAATAGCTCAATCAAAATCCTCTTCAAGTTTTAATAAAAGTATACAACCCAAAAAATTACCCTTGGTAGTACTGCGCCGGGGCCGGCGCATAGTAGTCCACCATCTTCTGCAAAAATTGAATTAGAAGGGTATATAAATATACATAAGATTTAAAGGTGAAAATATAAATATGAAATTTTGCAGATTTCATAAACTCAAGCATCAAAAAAGACAAGATAAAGAGCAAAAGGCAGGGGCAGAACCGGGGGCAAAAGATGACACGAATCGGGGGGCGATAAGAAGGTAAAGCCGTTGGGATTCGCGTTTTTAGGGCAATTCTAATTTAGTGGTCGACATATTAATGTTATAATTTTTATTTAGGATGGAAACAAATACTAAATCTTGTGTTGGGTGTGAAATAAGAATCAATTGGTTGGAGAAGAAGAAGGTCAGGGAAAAGGAAAACAGAATGAAGAAGAAACAGGGGATGGCATGAGGCTTTTTTTGAGTGGGGCCCTCGAGGGGATGGTGACTCGACTCGCGTAAGAGGGCAGAAAAAGAATAATTTTTTATGAGGAATTGCGTAAATAGGATGGTGTGGATGATGATTTTTAGAAACACATTTTTCATAGATGCGTAGAATTTTTTTTACATTCTTCCCGATAAAAATGTAGCAAAATAATCCTAGTTTCTCCTCCAAAATCCATCAAAAATTAAAAAAATCTACAAAATAATGTAAGAAACATTTTGACAATCCTTCAAAAAATCTCAGCGGCTCAAGTCCCATCGAATCCAGGCTTGCCAGCCCTTTATAACCACAAAATTTTCTGGATTTCGATTGGAAGCAGAGAACATTTGTGCTTTGCGCGCCGGATCCGCGACATTCCACCGGACATCTCCATCTCCCCGGCGATGTTCTTCTACAAAAACAGATGGAGAACATGGGGGAGACAATGGGGCGGACAAACATGGCCGAACTCCCCTGGGTCGCTTGCTTTTCGTTGGGGCTGCAGAATTTAGTTTTTATGAAACTTTCTGCGGGAGTGAGATATTTATTTGTATCTGTTTTTATGCAAAAATATAAAGTAAATACTTACTGGAGCATAGTGACTTCCGGCAGCCTTTAAAAGCTAGATTCTAGTTGAAAAATAGATTTGAGTCGAAAAAGTATTTTTGAGTTTAAAGATGCTGTAAGGAAAAACTCTATATAAATTATAATAGCTCGAGTGCTGTAAAAGGGCGGTAATCAATTACGCAATGAAAAAAGGTCGGAAATCCTTAGAAATCGCTACGAACTCCAAAGTGATACCTTGTACGCTCCTTTAAATGAAATACAACTGCGAAAATATGCTAGAAACCAAAATCTAAATATAGAATCCAAACACCAACAACCCCGTCTAAATTACACCCATATCCTCATGGCACATACCCCAAAAAAACACCAACTGATAATCAATAACATCAAAGACGACCCACTTCTAACACCAAAAAAAGGTTGCTGTAATGGAACGGGGGATGGTTGCGGGAAAAAAACAGAGATTGATAGGCGGCAGCCCGAAAGAGAGAGAAAGAAAGAGACTGGGCCCTATTGGTTGGGACCCAGCCGGGGGTCCCTGGTTGGGGAAGGCCCTTTTCGTGGTTCTATGTCGAGAACGGGAAGAAGAAGAAGGAGAAGAAGAAGGACCGGTCGGTCGGAAGGGACCGGGAGGGAGGGCCTGTTTGCCGAGAAGTGGCCCGCTTTTTTTGTCTTTTTCTCTCGGGCCTCTCATCTATGGTCATCTACCAACAACCCTCTGGAAAAGCACCTAAAAACGAAGCGCTGGCTCGGCAGGCATGGATTCTGGGGGTATGAATTTGGTATCAGGGAAATTAGGAGAATGGGGGCACGGTAGGGATAAATGTGAGAGTACTGTAATCCGACTTCATGTTTTTTTTTTGCAAAAAAATGAGCAAGCGAGAGAGAGACAGAGAGAGGGACAGGGAGGGAGAGAAAGAGAGCGAGAGAGAGTAGAGAGAGAGAGAGAGAGAGAGAGAGAGAGAGAGAGAGAGAGAATCAACGCGAGAAATCGAGGGGGCTAGAGAGTAAGCGAGAGAGCGAGAAAGCGACAAATAAAGTAAACGAAGAACACTCGTTCTCTCGAAAAAACAGCATAAACTTTCCAAAAACCCTTCCTGGCACGCTCCCATTAAACGTCCCGGTTTAGTTGCCAAGATGAGGCGACAAAAAGCCACCCCCCCATATGACGATAGGACAGTTTCGGCCAGTTTTTGCGGCCGGAAAACAAGAAGAAACCAGCCACTACCAGCTGACGGGGCGGACCCCTTAGAATTCGTACCCTGACAATAGCCGCTTTGTGACTGTCCGGGGTGAAGGGTGGGGTGAAGAAGGCGAAGAAATGGACTGTATTCAAATTCAAGGATGGGCTAGGAGGGGGGAAGATGATTTGTATATTTTGGCTTGGATGGTGGTGAAGCGTAGTATAGGAGAAGCTACCGTAATCGGTTTAAAAGGAAAAAGTCAACAAATTTTATGGTAATTTTTTAAAGGGACAGGAACATCAAACACAATAATAATCGATTTTAAAGGGAAGAACAGCAAATGCCACAGAGTGGTTTTAGAAGTATAATTACAGTAAGTAACACAAAAAAAGCGATTGTAAAGGTGCGAGGACATCAAATACTGCAGAATTTCCACAAAATACTACACCATAACTATGGATCAACAGGCTTTAGGGATGGCAGGCTGTGGGCGAAGATGAAGCGGACCGACGCGAAGGGGGAAAGTGGCTCTTTTGTGGTAGAATGGTGGGGTAAGCGAGAGAGTGTGTGATCGAAGAGAGGACAGAGATGGAGAGTGGATGGAAGGAAGACTAATAGGCACTAAGGGGGTATATATGCTCGACTACACATGCGACCGGATAGGGGGGAAGTAGCATAGCATGTGGGTTACCATTTGCGTGGCTTGTGCATGGGGGTATTTAACTTTTATTAGAAACTACTTTAATTCCAGGCCCCTAAAGTTTCCAAAGTCTAGTCTAAACTATAGTTGATAATCTAAGAGGATATCCTTATGTTTATAATTTCTAAGGATCATTTTTAGTGCTCTAGGGCCCATTTTTCAAAAATTTCGGTGGGCGAAGTTGGTTTATTAATTTTTGAAATATTTTCTCGACTTTTTGCAACTATACGTATTTTAAAGAAGGCATACAAGGAATGGCATCTCGAGGGTTATTCCGTACTCTAAAGGATCAATGCTAAAGACCTAGAAAACTTTATATATAACGCCCTAAACCTACCATTTTTTCAAGTCCCCATAATGGATGCCGTCCGATCAGGTATAGAGTATCGTCGCGTACTTTAAATAAACAGCGAAACCCCTGCGAAACCTTGATAAACATCTTTTTACTAATTAAACCTATGACTTGGGCCCTAAAAATGGATACAGTACGTTGAGGTCCAGAGTATCATTCCGTACTTTAAAGGGACAGTGAAAAACGACAAACCATTGTTAACCATCCTTTGAGACCTACAACTTTTCCAGGACCCAAGAACTCAACCCAACCCCCCTTATCAAAAGCTACAACCATGACTCAGTACAAATACTATACACAACATCAACGGCCCAACAGCGCAACTTTCCAAGAAGAATTCCCCCCAAAAAGGATGGCTGACGACGATTCATAGGGGATGGTGAAGGTATGGCAAATAGGTGGGGGAGGGGTATAGGGCGAGTATACGAGAGGGCGGAATGGGTCATTTTTTAGGGATTATATAGCACGAGCAGCCGATGAACCAGCAACGGATTGATGGCTTTTCGGAGGCGAGGGTAGGAATGGGTGAATCGTTTGTCACTAATGCATGCACGGGATTTGAATGAAGCAATTTATGGTAGATGTTTACCGAAGAGGAGTTAAAACTGAAAAATAGGAGTTGTTTCCTGCATAAACTTTGCTTGCTGGCCTTTATTTTTCTTTCGAAGTGGAAATTGAAAAAAGATAGGTTCGCCTGACTAATCTCTGCCAGCTTGACTAGCTTTATCTTCTTTGGTGAAAGATCGCAAAATATATAAAATTGCTTCCGAAATAATCCCTGTTAGCTTACTTATATTTTTTTCTTACTGGAAATTGAAAAAACATAGGTTTCTTCCGGAAGAATCTATGCTAGCTTGCCTATATTTTTCCGGCAGAAGTTCGAAATATGGATTTCTTCCTAAGGAATCTCTGCTGGCCCCCGTTTCTTCTTCTGGCTTTTATAGTATGCTCATTATGATGGCATACGCGAAAAACAAAAAATAAAAACGCGATAAAAACTACCAATAATTATGAATAAAAAAGAATTTAAAATTGACAAATTTAAGCTGGCTCTTGAAAATAATTATAAAAACAAATTTTTGTCGTCAAACATTTTTAGTTGTGTTTTGGAAGGGAATTTCAATTGATAAAATTCAACAATTTACAAAAGATCCAGCGATTTAAAGGAAAAGCGAATAACTGAAAAAGGCAAAAATTCCCTTTATGGTGTTCTTGTGGGTGATTCTCATGCGTCGAGACAGCCGGGGTAGAGGATCAATTTCAAATACTGTTTAAGGGGGCCCTTTGCGGCCTAGAAAGAAGGCGAGGGCCAGGTGTCGGGGTGGGTTGACTGCTTGACATGAACATTTTTGCGGGGAGCAACTCGAGAGAAGGGGGAACCGAGAAGGAGCTTGAGCCTGGCGGGACTCTGTTCAACCTCCCGGGGTAGAGGAGGCTCTTCCTCCCCTATGGCGGCAATGCTGTAATGTGCGAGGGGTGAGCGAATGGGTGGCGATGGATGTGTCTAACTGCTAAACCCCCCTTGCCTTGCCGCAATACTCTCGTTTTTGTAGAGGCAACAGACGGTAGGTAGCTAAGGGCATTGATAGGTTAAATTCCGGCTTACCAAGCTTACAGAGCCGTTTATATACGGTAGAAAAGTAAAAACAATTCTAGTATGGAAGCCAATTTAGGTTCAGCTACGAAAAATCTAGACTGCTAAAACCAGTATCCGGCCACTGTAGTAAAATACGCCATGTACGCTACGTACGCCACGCTACGGTGGACAGACGTTAAATTCCAGTTTTCCCAGTGCAAAAACCACCCTTTAACGGTATAATATATTTATTAAAATCCAAGGAATTCCATACAAACACTAAAAACACCGAGGGCACACAGAGATCATGAGCAGCGGGCAATAGGATGGTCATTGGCAAATGAAGTGAAAAAGATCCAAGAAAATGTTATAACGAGCGCGTCGTGGATACTGTCGAATTTGAGGCCGAGTCGTTGCTAAAATAGAAGTTAATAATTTTCATCAGGGGTCAAATCTAAGGCTTCAAAAAATAAATTATGCTGACTACTTTTCGGAAAGCGATTTCCACAATTTGAAATCGATAGCATAAATGCAAAGCTTTGAGTTTACCGTACGAGCATTAACTTTAGTTTTGCCTAGAGACTTGAATATTTCCGTAATTTTTTCCGAATTCCTATTTTTACCTTCCAATATGCACAGCTCCACGTCGAGCCAAATTTTTCAAATAGCTAAATGTAGTATGCAGTAGATAGAGCACCATCGGCAGAAACAGAAGCGCATGGATGGAACCTAATTTGAATATAAGTTATTTGAATCTAAGCTTTAAGCTTACCAAAGATAATGACTAAAAATACGGTTTTGAAACACGTTTGGACTACATAGGAGTCTACTGTGGCCAGTATCGAAACGCCGAGGAGGACAGAGAATGATGCCTGAATATTGTAATTTATGAAGTACCATTAAAATGAATAAGCTCCTCTTTAAATTTCTTTAAATATACCTGCGTTACTGGCCATCCAACAGCTCCAAGAGCACCGGCCAGGTGGCAAAATGCGGTGCTGAATTTAAGTATTTAGTATATTTTAATGTAGAAAATTGAAAATAGTGTATAACCTAATGTTTGAATATAAACTCACCTCTCCCCCGGTATCTCCCGCTTTTCCATCACGTATGCAAATGTGACGTGAGCCGCAAAATCGACACTAAACCCGACGGACATCGCGATCGTGATCATAGACGTAGCATCCAAATTTACGCCCCACCTAGGGATGAAAATTAGTGGGTAATTTTTGCGAAGTATACCAGCTCATAAATCCGAGGACCCCGAAGGCGATGCTGGCAATATTTAATGAAATCATTAGCGCGCAGAGGGGTTGCGGTACAAAGAGGAGAGCCACGGGCACCATTACGGCTGAAAAATGAGTGATAATTGAGTGCAAAATATGAAATTAACGATAATGAAATTTTGGTAATGTATGATACAAATTTTAATAACGTTAAACACCTACCAATAGATATATACAAATCCTGCATCGTCTGCGGCCACATAATCTCAAATTGGTCGGCCAAATTCCAGAGTGGCGAATAAGACACGAGTCCGTACTCTTCGTACTGCGCGCAGATTGCCCTAAAATTTGAATAAACTAAATTTAATAGATCAAACCTTATTTTCTGTGCACAATCCACAACATGCTGGTCGAACGGCATTTTTCGTAATGTTACGGAAAATCGAAAGGCGGTGATCTAAAGTCAGGATATTGATTTTAATTGTCAATAATTACCGTATTATTGTCATCTCGGAGCACGTCGTACGCATACCGATCGCTAGCCATTAAAAATCCTTGAAGTGTGGAAGAAAATTCCTGAAAAGGGCATATTAAGCTGCAATCCAAACTACAAAGACTACCTCAGCTGTCATATTCAAATTTTCCCAATCAACCGGAAATCCAAGGCGTTTATGGTATTCGGCAAGGGCGAAGAGCCAAAAATCCGATCCCGGCCTCCCAACGGTGCATTCTGGCTCTTCAAATTTTGACAGTATCGATAGAAAAGCATTCCGTTGGCCCTAAAATTTCGAGAATAACTAAAAGTTGCGTTTTTACTCTTTCTCCCAAATTTGGTGGTTTCATCACGGCCACGTCGAGGTGGGTGACGTCGTCCGGAAAGAGTTCTGAGCGTACCTCCAGGAATCGACGAGCCGGCGACGATGGGGGAACGATATTTGACAACTGTAAAGGTTTTGTATATATAAAAATTAAAGTGAATCCTACATCGAATCCAACTGAAAGCCGCTTCACGCCAAAATACGCCCCAACACCGTAGCCAACAATCAGGACAATGGTGATAAATTGAAGGATTCTGGACTGGAAGAGACGGGCAAAACGATCTTCGAAAAATCGTTGATACCAAAGCCGAGGGTCCAGTTCCTGGATCGATTTGTATTTAAATCTCTATAAACTTAAACCACCTCCAAGCTACACGATTTGCTGGTTTGGATTGGCGCTCGACTTCCCATTTTGAAGATACGCTCGAGGAATGAGGTTTTTTCTAAAATATCGTCGATGCGGAATTTCAAGGAGCCCAAAAGGCTTGAAATCTAGAGCAATATTTTGCATACCTATCGAATCCATATCCCGTGTCCTCCCCATGGTAATATTATGACGATGGGCTGCCTCTAACCTTCCTTGTAAGCTGAGTAGGGCAACAAATATAGTGACAGAATACAGGAAGATAAAAGATATTGCTGCGGCTGAGTAGTAGCAGAAGTACATTACCTAGGATTTTAGGCGTTCCGGTACCTTGAGGGTAACTTACAGCTGGTAAGGGAGCGATCGCGCCAATGAGGAAAGCCAGCGCATCGGTGAGGGAAGTGATTGAGATTGAGACAGCGGCGTGTCGCATGCTCTGTTCGATTCTAAAAAAGGAGAAACTTAAGTTTGAAGTATAAAAATTAGCATACCGATCTTCCACGCTCAATCCACGACTCGTTTCATGCCAAGCAGCCAGCATTAAGAAAGTGTCGTCAATACCGACGGCTAAAATTAACGCTATTAGAATCTGAATAAGATATATCTGAATTGTTGCATATGTTTTAAGCTACCACTTCAACGGGCCCCCTGTAGAAAAGTTGTAATTGTTTAAAATTTAGGTTTTAAAGCGGAGTGCTAGCAATGTGAAATTTTCTAGCACTTACTCTTAAAATTAAGGCAGTTTCATTTCTATAAATCACTTATAAGGTGCTTACATAGCTTAATCTCAGCACTTACTCAAGCTCAAGAACGGCATAACCGTGCACATATCGACAAACGTCACGCCGAGCATCAGACAAGCACCCATCGCAGATAATACGGCCATTCCGGTCACGGCTACCCCAACCACGCCCATTACCTATATCAAAATTAGAGATTATATTTTAAAGGGCACGCCACAGTATTTCAAATTTCAATTAAATCCGCTTACCGGCTTGCTGAGTACCCAATCGATAACCGGAAACATTCCTCCGCCCCGCTGTACCCATCGCGTATTAAAGGTGCAGCACACCGAGAAGATGATCAACAACGTGAAAGTGACGGAAAATCTGTATAAAATATATAAAAGGACATAATATTAAGTAAATCTGTATAACAATACAAGATGATACACCATACAAAATTAATATCAAAATGTACTTAGGTATGAGCTTTGTATTCGCTTCCGCCAATTCCTTGTCCAGGGTATTAGAATGGAAGGGGGACACTCGAAGTAACCGGGTTGGTAATCGGCGTTGTACTACGTAGTCTTCGATCAGGTTTTCGAATTCACTACAAAATATAGTGAATTAAAAACAAAATTTGAGTATAGCTTACGAGCTGAGTTCCATCAATTCTTTATCGTGCTGTTTTAGCTGAAAAAGTAGCATCCAGGCTTGGGCGGAAGTTACATGCTCATTTTCGTCGAGCGTTACACCACCTAAAAAGCATCGTTTTTAAAGGGGTATTGGCAGCAAAAATTGGATTTTTCTGGGAATAATATGACATAAAAAAATTAAATTTTATCGTCTTTGAAACCCACCCAAAGTTGTCGCCAAATTGATCGGCTCACTTGAAAACTTCGAAATAAACAGCGGATAGGTTAGGTTAAATACATTCTGAATTCAACAATATGATATTAAAAATAGGTATTGATTACCTGATCCCCCTTTGCATAGATCGATGCAATCATCTTTGCTTGTGCATTTAAAAAGCAATCGCCTTGGAACCGCAGGCAGAGATCACGGTAAGAAAATGGGTGATTTTTCTAGATAGTAGATTACCTAGTATACGAAAATTATAGTACCGAATTTAAAAACGTCGAATTCGTGACAAAATCCATAAGCACGAGCATTTCGGCGGCTTCTTCTGCCCGAAGCACCGATCCGCCGTCTTCAGATTCCACCAATAAGTATATCCCCTTCCTCCGGAGTACGTCTTTTCCTAGAAACACCTCCATTATATCGATTTTTCGTTGTAATATTACCTGGATAAAAATGGACGTCGTCTCCCGCCCAATTCTTCTGTAAAACCGCTTCCTCGGTCTTCCAGGGTGCATTTAATGGCGAGTATAACCAATGCACCCCGCGCACTATTTGGAAATTTCGGAGAAATCCTGTATTTTTATTAAATTGCGCCAAATAACGGTGATAACCTGTGGCCAGGACAACGGTTAGCAAGCAGGGGATGACAATGAACGGCCACGGATTTCTTAAATATTTGTAAAACTCGATTGTTAAGGTGTTACCTGGCGACAAACCGGCAATATCTGCCCATAGCATTTGTCCAGATACGTTCGAGCGGCGCGAAGGTTAGACATTTTCTTTTTTTGCGCTCTAACCTCATTGGGCTAAAAATTCAAGTGTTGAATTGAAGAGAAGCGAGAGAGAGAGAGAGAGAAAGAGAAAGAGAGAGAGAGAGAGAGAGTAAGAGAGAAAGCGAGAGAGAGCGGGAGAGAGTGCGCGCGAGAGCGAGGGCGAGAGAGGGCGCGGGGGAGAGAGCGAGAGAGGGAGAGCGATAACGGCATAAACAAATTTAAATACAAATAAATGCTCTTTTTAGAAAAAATATGAAAATTTTGAACGTAGGATTATACCTCCAAGTTCGTCAGCAAATACAGTAATAAAAAGGAAGAGTTGATTCTACCAGCGAATTTTAACAAAATTGTGATATATAATTTTTCTGATTTAGCCAAAAGGAACCGTACTCAAAAAAAAAACGGTAGAGGAAGCTATCATTTTTAAAAAACGATCCCGATAGCTATAGATCAGGCTCAACCTCATCCTCACATCGATTAGGGCGTGGGAACATGCCTTAACCTTTCTTGGGGGTGTGGCAAGGGGGTAGGGGGAGAATATTGAGCATAAGGTGCACATTGCAACTAGTTTTTGAAGTAGTCTCACATGAGCAATGCAGAAAGTAGTAGCAGTAGAGGGCAGGGGGCGAATTTTTGGAGGACACCTCCGGCTGAACCCCTTCCCGAAGGCGGCTGTTTCACTCAATTTTCAGACGGTATGGAATAGGTGGGGAGGAGAAAGGAGATCGGTGGTAGAGTGGGGGAGGGGGAAGTTCCTTAAAATCCGTGAAAATTGGCTTTAAAGGGGGAGGATGGCATGGGGGTCACGCGGAGGAAGGAATACTGGATTTCAGGGGGATGCGTCAGTCTCGTCTGTTCGTCTCTTTGTATGTCTGTCTGTCTGTTCGTCAATTGTTTGCATTAGCCCTCAGGCACTGTTCAGCTCTTCAAAAACCAAATCCCCTGCGAGGTACTTGAAAAAGGAGACTGAGGGGGTGGAAACGGGATAATAGGAGAGGGGTGAACATCTACGGGTGTCGCGTAGGGAATTCGATGGCAAACCGGGTGGTTTCGGAATTGAGGATGACGTGGGTTTCAAAATTGCTTAAAAGTAAACTGACAACGCTCTTAAAAATCCTCCTATAGAAGAATGGCAGTTGTTGAACATCATGCCAATACAATTTTTCTAACCGGCCGTAGCCGGCTCGCCGGAGCTACGCTACAGTCCTATACACGCCTAATTACGCAGACTTCAGATTCATGCGTTCAGATATTAAGATTCTACGGATCTTCCTCAGGCGCTACACGCGACACGTACACTTGACAACCAGAAAGATATCTAAAACCAAAACGCAATGACTAGCCCAGCACGCGTTGCAAATCTAGCCGGGACGTATCAATATACGATATACGAATCACGATATATCAATATACGAATCGTATAATTCACGTGCCATGTTTATTCGTAATTTTTATAGAGTAACTATATTCTCAAAACCACCACCCACAACACCCTCCAGAAGTTGGCGGTCATCAAACCGGTAACTGCCGCCCGCTACCCGTTGGTCTCCGCTGCTGCCCGGTTGAGGGGCACTAATTTGTTTGGTCTGTCTCAGGAAAGACCGGAGAGACTCGAAGAGGTTGTAACCAAATTAAACGAGACGTCACGAGGAAGTTGGGCTGGGAAGGAGCTTATTATAAGGGAACGGTCCGGTCGAGTGAGGGTGTTTTCAAAAAAAAAAAAATGGATTTTAGTGGCTGAAATTTCGAGGGGGAAAACTACAGTCCTTGAATTTTCTAGGATTTTAAAGCGTACGTGACATCGGGTAAACTTTGAGGTCTGGGGAGGTACGAATCTTAGTGATGCCATTTAAATGTTAATAAAATGGAAAATTCATTTTGCCGTCTTTTTTAAGCCGTTGAAAATTCATCTAAATGAGTTTCGGTGATTTAAAAATTTGTATGTAAAGAAACCAAGCTTGTCAGTGTCTTTAAAAAATTAATATCGTTCGGAAAAAGAGCTAAACCGCAAAATAAAATTAAAAAATTGATAATACCCGTTAGAACGTACCTGGAAATTTTAACATCAAGTTCCACATATTCATTAGTGGGGAGACCCAAACCTGAAAGGTGCAGTTCCCTAACCCAAAAAACAGGTTTCACTTAGCCGGCCAGGAACGTAGCGCCCTAAAATTAGGCTGACAGCATCAACCAGCCTTACCCTCTGGCAGCTATCAAAAAAAAAACAGGATTTACCCTAAACCCAAAAACCCCAAAATAGCCAGCCCCAAACCAAAAATACCGACTCCCCGATTTCGCAGCATCGATATGCTATCCCCTAGGTATAAACAAGTGTGAATAGGTGGGTCAGCCGTCTATCCCCCAAGGGATTTAAATACGAGAGAGTGAAAAAGATGTGTAGAGATGAAGTAGAGACGCGGCGATGCCATTTGAGAGAAGTGGAGGGCGATGGGGGCAATCCGGATTGACTCGTACTGTCAGGAGGAGGGTGAGGTGGAGGAGCAGGAGGTGGAGTCTACGGGTTCTTTCTAGAGAAAAAAGGTGTGGTGGGATGGGAATCGGGAATAGGACCGGAAGAAGGGTGGGAATGAGGGCAACATAATGTATATATTTTTAGGTATGTGAAAGATTGCATTAAAGAGGCCATGTACATCTAACATACTGCTCTTCCTTAAAGCGCTATCTTATTATTAAAAAATTGGCTTCAACGTGGTGTTGATATTCATCTGTTTTTTTTAATAAGTGGCTCAGAGAGATAGCAAGTGAGAAAGAGAGAGCGAGAGAGAGAGTGAGTGAGAGAGAGCAAGCGAGTGAGCGAACGAGATAGACCGGCGACAAGAGAGAGTCAATAAAAAACGGTGTATCTGCGGAAAAAACCCCTATGTGATTTCCCTGAGTCAGGAAACTGTTTTCCTGTCGTAATCGGTTTTACACGCCTTAAAAATTTTGAAGAAACTGCCCATAATTTTGCATAAAATCCAAAAATGAAACTGGCAAACTACAAAACGTTTTTTCTCTTGAAGCACAAAACATATCATTGTGCTAAAAAACGGCCAGAATGCCGAGAAGCTCAAAACCCCGAAAGTGGATAAAAGATGGTAAAATAAGACAGCAGCTGCAATTCAAAAAATGAGCACAACCCGCCAGAGAAAACCCTAGGCGGAAGGGATTGTAAAACGAACTAAACTCCCACCCTGCCTGCGGATTGAACCTGACGATCTGGGCGCTCATGTGCGAAGGTGGGGGTGGGTGAGTAGTCGGAAGTTGGAAAGGCTCGGAATACCCAAAGTAGAAGAGGACCAGGAAAATGGGCAAGAAATACCCAAGGTCAGTTTCAGGGAACTCTCTCTGTAGCTCGTTCCCTCTTTTTGCCCGGGCTCAAATACTCACTAATTCTAGGACAATCCTCTTTCGACTTTGGGTCCCAGCACGATTGGGGCGGGCTATCTACTGCTACAATTTAGGGGGAGGGGAGGCTGTAAAAAGTGGGGATGAGGGAGGGGATTGGTCTAGTTAGGTCAGTTGGACCAACGGTAATTAGAGGGGCGGAAAACGAATATTTAAAAAAATGGTAGGGTTACTGTAAAAATTTCAGATCCTAAAAATCCTTCAAGCTGAGAACTCTGCAAAATACCGAACATTTTGCCAAAAAAAGAACATTTTCGAGGGGCGCCCCTCATCACCTCACCAGATTGTAGCTAATGCTGACTGGTATGCATCCGCGCCTCCCGAGCGGGGGCCCGGGTTCGACCCCCGTCCGCGGCAAAAATCTTTGCTTTTTCCAAGAAAACGTCCCTGAACGTGCCCTTTAAAACCTTTTCAACATGGGTTAAAAAACGCTAAAAATATACAAATTACGAGAATCAATTTTTCAATCGTATAAAATCGTAATAAGTCATAAAATTGCGATAAGTCAGATGATCTTTCACTACTTTAAACTGTGACAAAATTTAACGATCAACCTTTATCAATGAGGAAACCTCCTGAGAACTGCGGCTGCGATTATACATACTTTTCAAGAGTGATAAAACCGCATCAGGGTTTGAGCACTGCTTTTCATTTCAGAATTTTTATAATGCCGTCAATTCTGTAGCTCGAAACCAAAATTTGAGCTGGATCTCGAGTAAAAACCAGAAAATCCATTAAATCCCGAAATTTACATATTTTTTCGCTTCGATAATTTTCATCCATCCATTTTTTTGAGTCTCAAGTCTCAAAAACCAGCCCCAGGACTTACTTTCCTTCCGAAAAACGTGGACCAGCCCCAAAATGCCAAAGACGAAAGGGCGCGCGCAAATTTGCATATGCCCTGCGGCTACTTTTGGGAAGGGGCGGATGTTGACAATTGGGGGGGGGCGGATGACCATGAAAAGGACTAGCCTTCACTGTCCCTTTAGAAGGGGAGGGGGATGGCTACTGTCCTTCTACAAACATTCGATGCTCCTTTTCATGACATATGTGTAAAAGTGGGCACGAGTCGCGGGGGGGCCCCGGAGGGTTCGGTTTTGTATATGGTTGTTTGAGTCATTCGCTTGAAACTAGGATTTTTCTAGGAAATTTTGGAGGAACGGAATTTTTTTGGAAAGTTGCCGATTGTTAATCCATTTTTCGTTAATGCAGATACGTATTTTTGTCCTCATTTTTGATACTATATTTTTTTCACTAAAGCTGCATATTTTCACTTCAATAATTTCCTCTCCGTCAAAAGCTTTAAAAGCTTGAATCTTTAAAAGCAATTTTAGGTTTCGATGTATGTTTTATCTACTATTTTTACATTAAAAATTCGAATTTTCCACTCCAAAATATTCATTCCTTTAAAAAAAAAATTGAGAACGTCGTTCTATTAAAGCGCACGTTCAGGGAGGGGCCGCGTACTCGTCCCAACATGTACACCCCATGGACGTAGCGACCGCGCGCACTGCCTGCCCGTGGCGTGGCAGGCCATTCCCCTCCTTTGCGGCGTGGGGCGCCCCTCATCCCCTCGCCATGTTGTAGCGTGGCTGACTGGTATCCATCCGCGCCTCCCGAGCGGGCGGCCCGGGTTCGATCCCCGCCCGCGGCATAGTCTTTGCTTTTTTCCAAAAAACGTCCCTGAACGTGCCCTTTAATGCCCGTTTCCTGTTTTTATCTCTTATTTTGTATTGCCTTGCAATATTCGATTAATGTTCCTCTCATCGATTTCATTAAAAACCACTTATCAATTTTAGTCATTCCGGGTAAGCGACAAATCACCAACCATCCACAACCTGTTACAAAACCTCTATGCTCTGCCGCTGGCTCCCAGCCACCATCTCAATTTCCCTAATAACTTTAGCGCATACGGTATGCCCCTATCCTTCCTGTCACTCCCCCTTTAAAGTGCCTCCCAGCCCTCCCTGTGTGCCCGCCAGGCCTCGAATGCACGCCGGCCCCTCCGGCTGCCTGTCTACTTGGCAGTTGTGCAAAGCAGCAACAACTACAGGTCCATTCTTTTAAATTAATTGTAAACCTTTTATATTTAGAGTAACCCGTGTGGAGCTGGGTGCTCATCATATGAGATTTGTACCCAGAAGGGATGCACGAGGAGGAAAGCGGCACATGGGGTGAAGACGTTTCAACAGCATCCGGTTGTTACCAGCTCACCTTTGGTAAGTCGCCGTGATAATTTAAGGTATATAATCTAGAATGTAGACAGTAATATAAATTACATTTTTTATATAAACATTTAGAATCCGGATGCTCGGTTTCTTACTTGCTGTCAGTCGTTGGCAGTGGGTGATGCTTGTATGCCGACCTGTACTTTTGATGGATTTAATAAACCTGAGGTATGTAGCTAGAAGAATAGAGTTTTCTTTTCCATAAATAATTGTAAAGTTGTTGCGTTTAATAACGACAAAAAAGTGTAGAAACACAGCCCCTATTTATTTTCCAAAACCTGGATATTAAAGTGTTATTACTTCCCCCCCCCCGATAATGCAAAAGAACCTGAATAATTTTTCGCTAATGTGTCAAAATTCTCCCTTGCCAATCCCTTTAATATGTTTTTCGCTACAATACCCACCTTTCAACCAGAGTAACCATCTTTTCAGATTTCCGCAATATTCCTAATGTCATCCCAGTGCCCCTCCACCGGTTTGGCGCCAATATTCCATTGTGCAGCCCTGGGCCACAACCATACTTCCTGCTGCCTTGCCTCAAATATCCATCCGGATTGCTTGCATTTTTGCGATCAGGTAATTTATAAAATTCTACCGTAAGTCAGCCCATTCCAGGAATTCTTCAATTTCGAGGAGGTCGACGTTCGGCATTTGAAATGTTTATCTCAATTTGATACGATACGATCTTGTTTTTATAATCACGCGATTCGAGATTATTACCGACAGGATTTGGTTGTTTAAAGGGACTGGGCAGTCATAGTCTACGCATTAATAGTTACCAAAATAGACTCACTTTATTTTAATTCAACACCTATCTCTACAAAATTTTCTAAAATTTTAATTTTAATTTCTAAAAATCTAAAAATTATTGTGCATTTAATTCTTTTATACCACGACCAGCCAACCGGTTTTTATACTTTATAATTATTGTATTTTTGTAAAATACCGTAACCAATTACGACATAAAATTTTATTCACAAATTTCCTCCACAAAACTATGTATATGCGGATTTCTCGGAAATACACAAGGAAAGACGAGGCACTGGGGGGACAGCAAAAATTAGCATAGCTAGGGAGGGGATGTCGATAAGTTAGAAGCTCGATGCGGGGGATACGGTAATTGGGGGGGGGGAAGGCACAAATCAGGGTTAGAAAAGTCGCTACCGTTTTGTCATCTACACATCAATTTCTCACAAGCGATTCGGGGCACCCGGATTTTGATAATAGATATATTCACACACAACGCATTTGGGGTTTGTTTTCTGGGGGAGAATTAATTATATCGAAGGGTACTAGGGTATAAAAGGAATTTTTGATGAGTATCCGTAATCGTTTTGTTTTTAGCTATATATCGGTAAAATTTTGATTTTTTTTGATACAATGGCAGGGGTTAGGGTAAAGTTTTTGTTTCGGGGAATGAGCTGGGTACGGTATAAAGTACAACATGAGGCTCGTGGATACAAACTATAACCCTGCGAAGAGGCGTGCCCATGATGTGGCCATGGTCAGGAAGAGGAGGAGGCATTTTGGAGGCCGATATCCGCTAGAGACATCTCGCGTCGTCGCTTCAACGTCCCTTTAAAATTTGAATACAGGGTGGGAATTGAAGTACCTACCCGATCTCATTTGTTTGCAATCGCCTCTGCTCTGTCGAGGACTTGTCATCGATTTGCTCCTTATTTTCATAATCTTCAAAGTTGATCGGGACGAGATCTAAATAAAGTTTATGGTTTTGAATAAAAGACAAGTGAAAGCTAGAGAGAGCGAGAGAACGGGGGAAAGCGAGAGGGGAGAGAGAGAGAGAGCGAGAGAGAGAGAGAGAGAGAGAGAGAGAGAGAGAGAAAGAGTGAGGGAGAGAGCTAGAGAGAAGATGAGAGAGAGCGAGAGGACGAATTAGAGAGACAGAGTGAGAGGGAGAGAGAGAATGAGAGAGAATGAGAGAGAGAGAGAGAGAGAGCGAAAGAGAGAGTGAGAGGGAGAGAGCTAGAGAGAAGATGAGAGAGAGCGAGAGAACGAATTAGAGAGACAGAGAGAGAGCAAGCAAAATCTTGTAGCCAAAAATTACCATCATCCTCCTCGCCAGCCGTTTGCGGATCGGCCGCTTCAGCGGTAGGGAACAGCACATTTTTGGGAGCTGGCGCAACTCCATCGTCTAAAAAAACAGTTGTAATTTTGTAATAATAATTTTAACCAAATGAGTTAAAAGTTTTATATATAAAACTCACTATCATCATCATAATCAACCAACGGATTTGCTTTTAGCATGGCAGCTCCGGCGATTCCAGGTTTAGAATCTGAAAAAATAATAGAAATCGTAATAGGGCTTTCGAAAATATTTTAGACTTTAAAAAATTCAAAAATGTCAACTGGTAGCTAAATCTTCTATGACTACCTACCGTCTTGTGGCTGGCCCAATCGATTACAGAAATCCTCATGGCAGATGCAATGTTTTCCGACACCATCCGCTTCCATCCAACAGCCGGATTTCTTGAAAAATGTCATTATAAATTTATGTATAATTACCTTATTTTCCTCATTTTTCGTGGCCATTATGCAAAAAGCCGTCAACTTTTTGCCATCGCCAGCGTCGTCTGTAATTTTTGCTTTAGAGGTGATTTCAGAGAAGTGTTAAAATTAAGTAATTTGGAGCTTAATGTACTTACATATCATACAGGCCTTTCCGGTGCAATTGCGTAGTGTGGTGCATTCTTTATGGTCGGGTCCGGTGTCGAAGCAATCAAAACATGTCAATGCCATGGCTGCCATTGGCAGCAACCCGCACATTAATGCTACCCGGGCCCACATCGTATAATCTTGGGAGGCGGTTACTGAAAAATTGAGGCTTATGAACATTAGGTGAATTCGAATTTATGGAAAACATGTGAAAATAATCAAAATAGGATTAACGCTACGGCAAGAAAATTCCAAAATTAAAAATATAGAAAACAGTAGCCAGGTTTTAATTCCTTAAAAGATTTGAAATTTATAGAAATGAAAAATGTAGATTGGGCCTCCCTATATATTAACCTATGCCGAATTTAATGATTTCATCTCACTACCCTACCTCCAAAAACTTATCAAAAATACGGACCCTCGAAAAAGGTGTCGGAATCAAATAGGGCCCCACAGAATACCCGCTATCTTTATCGTTTCCACCAGATGAAAGGTGTTGGCCGACTGGGACCGTAAAACTGAATGCAGAAATCTCAACAAAAAAAAGCTAGGGTATAAATAGTAAGAAAATTGAGGGTGGGCAATGAATCGGCTTCTCCTTGATGTTATTTGAAGAGGGCAATAGGGCAGATGGTGGTTAGTCAGCTGATGATGAATCTGAACGCTTCCTCACGTGAGGGTTTTTTGTGTTTTAATTAACCAAAAAAATTATGAAAAGCTTTTTATTAGGTAAATCAAAGCTTAAAATAAAAAAAATTGCTTGAAAAACCATCACGAAGATTGATACATAGCTTAATTTTATTTAGATTAATATCTATATGGGAAGATCTTATCTACGTTATATTTTTATAAAAAAATCTAGCAAGCTTTTTGTTTATTTTCCGATCAACCGTAAAACTAAATAATTTAGTAAAATTAATAAAATAGCAAATTAATAATAAAAATAATCATTCAGTTAACTAACTATTTCTAAAAATTTTGTAAACTAAATTTTTCAAAGTTTTTTTCCCAGTTTTTCTTAGTTAACCGAAAACACATACTCTCATAAATTTACCAAATCAAAGTTTACATAAAGAAACCCACCCTCAGATCCACCCATCAAACCCCAAAATGAAATCCCAGCAAAAGTTCACCCGTTCTCGGCCGATCTCGAAGGTGAAACCGAAGGGGGGGGGAGGGTGTACGGGGGTGTGAAGTGGAGTGATAGGGAACGTGGAAAAAGAGTTCGCAAAAAAGAGAAGGACGGCTCCCCGAGTTCCCCCCTAAAGCAATCGACGACGACCCAACCGTTTGGCCTCTTCTCCCATCAGCCGATGCTCGAATACTCGACCCTATGGTGGCCCTGTGGCGTCATCAGGAAAGAAATGGAAAGAGATGGGAAGAAGCAGAGTTGGGGAGGAGGAGACTGACTGTCTGTCTGCACTTTTCTTTTCGATCTAATGCTTCAGCCTCAAGGTTCCTATCAACATTGAGCGATTGGGTGATTGAGTATGATACGGAATTTTGGGTCCACGATTTTAATTCTTTTAATTCGATTAAAATTCATTTTAAGTGGGTTGTAAAGCTTCAAAAGGAGTAAAATCCTAAAAATCTTTGGAAGTTCGATAAAAATATTCGCGACACGAAGAATATTGCTGTTTTCTGAGAACGCGCATTAATAGGGTAAATTCTTTACATTCATAACCATGAAATTGAGGGATAGATGGACAATGAAAGAGAGAGAGAGAGAGAGAGAGAGAGAGAGAGAGAGACAAAACGTGAGACGGACACAGAGAAAGCGAGTGAGCTAGATTGGGAGAGAGCGAGAAAGATCCAGACAGCGAGAGAGAGAGAGAGAGAGAGAGAGAGTGCGAGAGAGGGAAAGAGAGATAGGAAGCTAGATTGAGACAGAAAGAGAGGGAGGTAGAGATAGTGAGCGATATCGAGTGAACGAGATAGATAGACACATAGAGTCAATAATAGAAAGTTAGAGAAAGCCAGAAACATTTGATTAAATTACCGGCCATCACCCCGATCACAAAAATTGACTCGCTACGACCCACAACGGTAGTAGCCGCCCCACAGCTGAGCCAAGACAAATATGAGAAGGACCCGAACCCCCGCCGCCCCCCGATCACTCAAAAGATCCCCCATTTCCCCTCTTTTCTCCTCCTCTTCCTGGCCCACTCCCTTAAAAAATCGGGGGCCCGGAATAGAAACCGGGCGGGGTGTGGTGTCCTCCGGGGGGAAGCTTGCAACAAATATTAGCCAAACGGGAAGATCATCGCGCTAGACTACTTGAAATCGGGTTTTAAAGGGATGGTGACAGCTGGGGACAACGGATTAGAAATTTTTGAGTTTGGGATTTTTTTTAACTGGCACGCTCTCTTTAACCCATTTTCTTGTTTTTAGGCCAGACTGAAATGCCTTAAAAAGAGGCCATTAAAATACTACGCAATGTAAACGTATTTTACTTAGAATTCCAGCTGTCACGTCCCTTTAAAAAAATACGTATTTACGAGGAAAAATTATTAAGCTATGGTACCATAGAAGAAAAATTCTTGAACCTTGCCTCAAAAATGACTAAACGCCTTGGGCAGCCAAGAACTGATAAGTGAATGAGAAGAGCGGCGGAGAACGAATATTTACCGGAAACGAGAAGCAGGGGAAGAAGCTTCTTCTTCTTCCTCCTCAGCCCCCGTAATGCTCTGACTAATGGCTAGAGAAAAGAGCACTTTTCTCCGAGTCTTCCACACTTTGGCTCATTGAAAATTCTCAAAATATTGGCGAACGGGGGAGTTGAGACAAAGAGCAAATAGCACTTGGTTTGCACATTAAGGGGAGGTATCTAGGGTTACTGTAGGGACTAGTGAGCGAAGTGTTACGTACTAGAAATGCGTTGGGTCTATAGAGGTTTTGGAAAGGGTTGGGGTACGATTACCGTATCGATTTGCTGAAATGAATCGGTTGTCAACACGGGAAGTTTTTTTTGCAAAAAATGAGCAAGAGAAAGCGAGAGAGAGAGCGAAATCTGGAGTGGATAAGATCTAAAGGGACTCGGATAAAAAGCACTGAGAATAATGATAGTGTGAGATAGAGCGAGAGAGACATTCAGTGAACGAGAGAGAGCCAGAAAACTCGAAAAATAGAGGGTGGTCGTGTTGCGTGTGTGTGAAATCACGAAAATAGGATCAGTTTCACCCAACCCGAACAGCAGGGGCAGTCAGTTGGAGCACAAGAGAGGAGGAGGAGGAGGGCTGAGGGCGACCTGACGCGACCCCCCAACACAAAAAAGAAGCACAAAGTTTTGCGGGGATTTTGGAAAGGGGGGAGGGTGGGTGACTGACTGACTGACTCTGCGAGAGCCAACCCCAAACCAAGGTCAATCGCCCGACGCAAAAGGGTTTTGGACAGGTCTTAGCAAAGCAAAAGCGCCGTCAGGGGGATCTAACGAGTTTCACACCTTTCACACCGCGCAGCTTCACCCTTGGTGGTTGAAATGCCCTCAGGGTATTTTGGATAGTTGGGGGTTTATAAAGGGAAAGTGAGGGGATTTTGAGGTTTAGGTGGAAAAGGGTTTTGAGGGTGTTTTCGATTTTTAAAGGGATGAGGGCTTACGGTACAGTGGCAAGTTGCCAAGGACAAAAATGCCAAAGGCCTCGTAGCAGCCTGCTAATGCTTGAATTTGTAATTCAAGATTATACACATCCTGCCTAGATTTTGAGCGAAATCTGAGTCTTGGTTCAAAATCTGGATAGAATGCTATCATTAATGCTATTTTTCGCAGTCTCAATGCAACAAGCTTTTTCTATCTCTAAAGGGACTGTGAAGGCAAAAAGCTAAGGGAAAAATCTAGAATTTATGAAAACGTTCATTAATGTGAAAATAGATTCCGACGTAAACATTTCGGGTTCCCGGTCCCTTTAGGTTAAACCTTTCGCGTCAAAACGCTAAAAATAACTTCTAACATTTCCCTAACCATTGTCGCATCTTTGCCATCTCTCTCTTTGTCTCTCTCACTCACTCTCTCTCTCTCTCTCTCTCTCTCTCTCTCTCTCTCCCATCGAAACAATAGAATGACCGGTTGGGTCAGTGTGTCCGGTCAGTCATACTGTCATACTGTCATTCCGCATCCACTCAACCAAAATTCTAACGTTTTTGCCCCCAGCCGAACGCCGCGGGTTCCAAAAAAGCGTCAAAAATAGGTCGAAAACTATCGCCAAGCCACCCGTCACCTCCCACAAAAAAATCTACACGCCGTAGAAAGTTATTGGAAATCGTGAGGGGCGCACACGGCACCACCACAGCTGCCTCGCTAGAACCCGATTAAAGGGGTGGGGAAGGGGAGGGATTGGGGCGAGAGAGAGAGAGAGAGAGAGAGAGAGAGAGCGAGAGAGAGCAATGCTTTTTCTACACTACCAAATCACTATTTGCCCGTTGGCTTTAGCTAGTTAGTACTGCCATCCGGAGGGAATGTCGAAAATATTTGGGCGGAAAGTAAGACCGAGCGCGAGTTGGTAAATATATTTTTGGGCGCAGGGCCAATTTGATGGGGGCCATGGGAAAGTGTGGGGTAGTAGTAACGGGGCCAAATTTGCACGGCGTAATTAGGGGCGCCGCGTTGTTTGTAATTAGCTTCGGGAGTTGTCATCATTTTTAAAGGCTTTGAAAGTCAAAAGGAGTATGGAATTGAAAAGACTCGCTGTTCGTAACCATATAAAAATCCTTTATTTAGCCTTACGCATTTTAAAGGAAGTGAGAGGTCAAAATTTGCCTAAACATTTATCATTTCAAGCCGATTATCAAAATTTAAGTATTGTTTCTGGATTTCTGGCTTAAGTTAGTTTTAAAATAAAATATTAGAGGACTTTAAAATAGCTGAACAACTAAAAACCTTTAAGAATTTTCAATATAAATTATCGATTTAAATTGTCAAAATTTAACAATTTAAGGTAAAGGATTTCGTGATTAACTTTAAGACGGATTTATTTTCTAACGAAAAAACATAGCATCTACCAGATTTCCTGGCTCTGGGCTATTAGCGGGGGGGGGAGGACAGGATTTTTAGTGACCTACCTAGCAGACCCGCTCCCATTCAGCAAGCCGAAAAATCCCAAAAAGCATGGAACGGTCAAAACCCCCCTTGGGGAGAA